AGTAGATGTCTCTGTAGATGTTTCAGTAGATGTCTCTGTAGATGTTTCTGTAGATGTTTCAGTAGATGTTTCAGTAGATGTTTCAGTAGATGTTTCAGTAGATGTTTCAGTAGATGTCTCAGTAGATGTTTCAGTAGATGTTTCAGTAGATGTTTCAGTATATGTTTCAGTAGATGTTTTTGTAGATGTTTCAGTAGATGTTTCAGTAGATGTTTCAGTAGATGTTTCAGTGGATGTCTCAGTAGATGTCTCTGTAGATGTCTCAGTAGATGTTTCTGTAGATGTTTCAGTAGATGTCTCTGTAGATGTTTCAGTAGATGTCTCTGTAGATGTTTCTGTAGATGTTTCAGTAGATGTTTCAGTAGATGTCTCTGTAGATGTCTCAGTAGATGTCTCTGTAGATGTCTCTGTAGATGTTTCAGTAGATGTTTCAGTAGATGTCTCAGTAGATGTCTCAGTAGATGTTTCAGTAGATGTTTCAGTAGATGTGATGTTTCAGTAGATGTTTCGGTAGATGTCTCTGTAGATGTCTCAGTAGATGTTTCTGTAGATGTTTCAGTAGATGTCTCTGTAGATGTTTCAGTAGATGTCTCTGTAGATGTTTCTGTAGATGTTTCAGTAGATGTTTCAGTAGATGTCTCTGTAGATGTCTCAGTAGATGTCTCTGTAGATGTCTCTGTAGATGTTTCAGTAGATGTTTCAGTAGATGTCTCAGTAGATGTCTCAGTAGATGTTTCAGTAGATGTTTCAGTAGATGTTTCTGTAGATGTTTCAGTAGATGTTTCAGTAGATGTTTCAGTAGATGTTTCAGTAGATGTTTCAGTAGATGTTTCAGTAGATTTTTCAGTAGATGTTTCTGTAGATGTTTCAGTAGATGTTTCAGTAGATGTTTCAGTAGATGTTTCAGTAGATGTTTCAGTAGATGTCTCAGTAGATGTTTCAGTAGATGTTTCAGTAGATGTTTCAGTAGATGTTTCTGTAGATGTTTCAGTAGATGTCTCAGTAGATGTCTCAGTAGATGTTTCTGTAGATGTTTCTGTAGATGTTTCAGTAGATGTTTCAGTAGATGTTTCAGTAGATGTCTCAGTAGATGTTTCAGTAGATGTTTCTGTAGATTTTTCTGTAGATGTTTCAGTAGATGTCTCAGTAGATGTTTCAGTAGATGTTTCAGTAGATGTCTCAGTAGATGTCTCAGTAGATGTTTCAGTAGATGTCTCAGTAGATGTTTCAGTAGATGTTTCAGTAGATGTTTCTGTAGATGTTTCAGTAGATGTCTCAGTAGATGTTTCAGTAGATGTCTCAGTAGATGTCTCAGTAGATGTCTCAGTAGATGTTTCAGTAGATGTTTCAGTAGATGTCTCTGTAGATGTTTCAGTAGATGTTTCAGTAGATGTTTCTGTAGATGTTTCAGTAGGTGTTTCTGTAGATGTTTCAGTAGATGTTTCAGTAGATGTTTCAGTAGATGTCTCAGTAGATGTTTCAGTAGATGTTTCTGTAGATGTTTCAGTAGATGTTTCAGTAGATGTTTCTGTAGATGTTTCAGTAGGTGTTTCTGTAGATGTTTCAGTAGATGTTTCAGTAGATGTTTCAGTAGATGTCTCAGTAGATGTTTCTGTAGATGTTTCAGTAGATGTTTCTGTAGATATTTAGTAGATGTTTCAGTAGATGTTTCAGTAGATGTCTCAGTAGATGTTTCTGTAGATGTTTCAGTAGATGTTTCAGTAGATGTTTCAGTAGATGTTTCAGTAGATGTTTCTGTAGATGTTTCAGTGGATGTTTCAGTAGATGTCTGAGTAGATGTTTCAGTAGATGTTTCTGTAGAAGTTTCTGTAGATGTTTCAGTAGATGTCTCAGTAGATGTCTCTGTAGATGTTTCAGTAGATGTTTCAGTAGATGTTTCTGTAGATGTTTCTGAAGATGTTTCAGTAGATGCTTCAGTAGATGTTTCAGTAGATGTTTCTGTAGATGTTTCAGTAGATGTTTCTGTAGATGTTTCAGTAGATGTCTCTGTAGATGTTTCAGTAGATGTCTCAGTAGATGTTTCAGTAGATGTTTTTGTAGATGTTTTTGTAGATGTTTCAGTAGATGTTTCAGTAGATGTTTCAGTAGATGTTTCAGTGGATGTCTCAGTAGATGTTTCAGTAGATGTTTCAGTAGATGTTTCAGTAGATGTTTCAGTAGATGTTTCTGTAGATGTTTCTGTAGATGTCTCTGTAGATGTTTCAGTAGATGTGATGTTTCAGTAGATGTTTCTGTAGATGTTTCAGTAGATGTTTCAGTAGATGTTTCTGTAGATGTTTCAGTAGATGTGATGTTTCAGTAGATGTTTCGGTAGATGTCTCTGTAGATGTCTCAGTAGATGTTTCTGTAGATGTTTCAGTAGATGTCTCTGTAGATGTTTCAGTAGATGTTTCAGTAGATGTTTCAGTAGATGTCTCTGTAGATGTTTCTGTAGATGTTTCAGTAGATGTTTCAGTAGATGTCTCTGTAGATGTTTCTGTAGATGTTTCAGTAGATGTCTCAGTAGATGTCTCTGTAGATGTTTCAGTAGATGTCTCAGTAGATGTCTCAGTAGATGTTTCAGTAGATGTTTCAGTAGATGTTTCTGTAGATGTTTCAGTAGATGTTTCAGTAGATGTTTCAGTAGATGTTTCAGTAGATGTTTCAGTAGATTTTTCAGTAGATGTTTCTGTAGATGTTTCAGTAGATGTTTCAGTAGATGTTTCAGTAGATGTCTCAGTAGATGTTTCAGTAGATGTTTCAGTAGATGTTTCAGTAGATGTTTCAGTAGATGTTTCTGTAGATGTTTCAGTAGATGTCTCAGTAGATGTTTCAGTAGATGTTTCTGTAGATGTTTCTGTAGATGTTTCTGTAGATGTTTCAGTAGATATTTCAGTAGATGTTTCAGTAGATGTTTCAGTAGATGTTTCTGTAGATGTTTCTGTAGATGTTTCAGTAGATGTCTCAGTAGATGTTTCAGTAGATGTTTCTGTAGATGTTTCAGTAGATGTCTCAGTCGATGTTTCAGTAGATGTTTCTGTAGATGTCTCAGTAGATGTTTCAGTAGATGTCTCAGTAGATGTCTCAGTAGATGTCTCAGTAGATGTTTCAGTAGATGTTTCAGTAGATGTCTCTGTAGATGTTTCAGTAGATGTTTCAGTAGATGTTTCTGTAGATGTTTCAGTAGGTGTTTCTGTAGATGTTTCAGTAGATGTTTCAGTAGATGTTTCAGTAGATGTCTCAGTAGATGTTTCAGTAGATGTTTCTGTAGATGTTTCAGTAGATGTTTCAGTAGATGTTTCTGTAGATGTTTCAGTAGGTGTTTCTGTAGATGTTTCAGTAGATGTTTCAGTAGATGTTTCAGTAGATGTCTCAGTAGATGTTTCAGTAGATGTTTCTGTAGATGTTTCAGTAGATGTTTCTGTAGATATTTAGTAGATGTTTCAGTAGATGTTTCAGTAGATGTCTCAGTAGGTGTTTCTGTAGATGTTTCAGTAGATGTTTCAGTAGATGTTTCAGTAGATGTCTCAGTAGATGTTTCAGTAGATGTTTCAGTAGATGTTTCTGTAGATGTTTCAGTAGATGTTTCAGTAGATGTTTCTGTAGATGTTTCAGTAGGTGTTTCTGTAGATGTTTCAGTAGATGTTTCAGTAGATGTTTCAGTAGATGTCTCAGTAGATGTTTCAGTAGATGTTTCTGTAGATGTTTCAGTAGATGTTTCTGTAGATATTTAGTAGATGTTTCAGTAGATGTTTCAGTAGATGTCTCAGTAGATGTTTCTGTAGATGCTTCAGTAGATGTTTCAGTAGATGTTTCAGTAGATGTTTCAGTAGATGTTTCAGTAGATGTTTCTGTAGATGTTTCAGTAGATGTTTCTGTAGATGTTTCAGTAGATGTCTCAGTAGATGTTTCAGTAGATGTCTCAGTAGATGTCTCAGTAGATGTTTCAGTAGATGTTTCAGTAGATGTCTCTGTAGATGTTTCAGTAGATGTTTCAGTAGATGTTTCAGTAGATGTTTCATTAGATGTTTCAGTAGATGTTTCTGTAGATGTTTCTGTAGATGTTTCAGTAGATGTTTCTGTAGATGTTTCAGTAGATGTTTCAGTAGATGTCTCAGTAGATGTTTCAGTAGATGTTTCAGTAGATGTCTCAGTAGATGTTTCTGTAGATGTTTCAGTAGATGTTTCAGTAGTGTTCTCAGTAGATGTTTCAGTAGATGCTTCAGTAGATGTCTCAGTAGATGTTTCAGTAGATGTCTCAGTAGATGTCTCAGTAGATGTTTCAGTAGATGTTTCAGTAGATGTCTCTGTAGATGTTTCAGTAGATGTCTCAGTAGATGTTTCAGTAGATGTCTCTGTAGATGTTTCTGTAGATGTTTCAGTAGATGTCTCAGTAGATGTTTCAGTAGATGTTTCAGTAGATGTCTCAGTAGATGTTTCTGTAGATGTTTCAGTAGATGTTTCAGTAGATTTTTCAGTAGATGTTTCAGTAGATTTTTCAGTAGATGTTTCAGTAGATGTTTCAGTAGATGTCTCTGTAGATGTTTCAGTAGATGTTTCAGTTGTCCTTCTCTCACAGATCACCGTTTGTCTTTGGGTCTATCTTCCTCTGATCTGTCGTCTGAACCTGAGATTCAGTCTGATCTGGTGAGCCTTCTGTGTGTGTCTGTGTGTGTGTGTTGTGACTGTGTGTCTGTCTGTCTGTCTGTGTGTGTGTGTGTGTGTGTTGTGACTGTGTCTGTCTGTCTGTCTGTCTGAGTGTGTCTGTCTGTCTGTCTGTGTGTGTGTGTGTCTGTCTGTCTGTCCGTCTGTGTGTGTGTTGTGTCTGTGTGTGTGTGATATTTGTTTTTGTTGTTGTGTTGTCATATACTGTTGTGTTAAGTGTCTTGTGATGTTTCAGCCCATAGACTTCCTGTCCCTGAAACTTCTCCACGACTGTTCTCTGGAGTCTGGGTTTGAGACGGAGCTCACTCACATACAGGTCTGTACCGTCTGAAACATCACAGACAGGTCAGTACTGTCTGAAACACCACAGACAGGTCAGTACTGTCTGAAACACCACATACAGGTCAGTACTGTCTGAAACACCACAGACAGGTCAGTACTGTCTGAAACACCACATACAGGTCTGTACTGTCTGAAACACCACATACAGGTCAGTACTGTCTGAAACACCACAGACAGGTCAGTACTGTCTGAAACACCACATACAGGTCAGTACTGTCTGAAACACCACATACAGGTCTGTACTGTCTGAAACACCACATACAGGTCAGTACTGTCTGAAACACCACAGACAGGTCTGTACTGTCTGAAACACCACAGACAGGTCAGTACTGTCTGAAACACCACATACAGGTCTGTACTGTCTGAAACACCACATACAGGTCAGTACTGTCTGAAACACCACATACAGGTCAGTACTGTCTGAAACACCACATACAGGTCAGTACTGTCTGAAACACCACAGACAGGTCTGTACCGTCTGAAACACCACATACAGGTCTGTACCGTCTGAAACACCACAGACAGGTCTGTACCGTCTGAAACACCACAGACAGGTCTGTACTGTCTGAAACACCACATACAGGTCTGTACTGTCTGAAACACCACATACAGGTCTGTACTGTCTGAAACACCACATACAGGTCTGTACTGTCTGAAACTAACCACATACAGGTCTGTACCGTCTGAAACACCACAGACAGGTCTGTACTGTCTGAAACACCACAGACTGGCAGCCAGACAGATACACTTGAAAAAGTCTTAAAACTCTTAAATCGATCTAATCCCAAATTAAGACACATGTTTTGCCTAATTTCAGCATTTTTAGACTATTTTCTCATCACTTTTCACTCTATGTTCTGCTCTGGCCCTCACAGAACGCTCCGGGTCGAATCTCTCCGATCTGTGACATCATAGCTAGACCCCGCCCCCTTGTCAATCAGCACAAACCACAAAAACAACCCAATATTATTAAAAAAATGACTTTATGCCAAGTGAGAATACGGACTTTGTGGACACATTCGTAACAGCGCAGCCGTACAGAGAACCGTCAATAATGATCTTTAGAAAGAAACACAATCCTAGAAGAAGAACACAACCCAAGGATCCTGTCGCACAAACCCAACATGAGAACAAGGCTTTCCTGGTTATCAGCCAGAAAATGGAGTAAAAATATATATCAAAAACTCCCAGACATTTCCCTTTAATCTGCATCGTAGAGAGGGAGGAGGAGACTTTGTTTTAAAATGACGTATATTCAAAGTGGTAACCATGGAAACGGTGAGATCCTTCCATTCAGTCGTCAAAAAACAGCATATAAAAATATACAGCAATGCAGAGGTTTGAACCGGGCCACGCGGGAAAAGGTGAGATTATGAGCCTTTGAAAGTGAAAGTAAAAGTATAACACGGCTCAGTGCTTTTGTACCTGTGCTAAAAGTTTATTTCATACAATTTATACAAAATAAAAACTGAAATATTAAATGAGATTCGAACTGAACTCATTTGAAACTAAATCTGATATTTGATGTTTTTGATGTTAAGATGTTGTTTAGACCAGAGAGAGACCAGAGAGAGACCAGAGAGAGAGACCAGAGAGAGACCAGAGAGAGAGACCAGAGAGAGACCAGAGAGAGACCAGAGAGAGACCAGAGAGAGACCAGAGAGAGACCAGAGAGAGACCAGAGAGAGACCAGAGAGAGACCAGAGAGAGACCAGAGAGAGACCAGAGAGACCAGAGAGACCAGAGAGAGACCAGAGAGAGACCAGAGAGAGACCAGAGAGAGACCAGAGAGAGACCAGAGAGAGAGACCAGAGAGAGACCAGAGAGAGAGACCAGAGAGAGACCAGAGAGAGACCAGAGAGAGAGACCAGAGAGAGACCAGAGAGAGACCAGAGAGAGAGACCAGAGAGAGACCAGAGAGAGACCAGAGAGACCAGAGAGAGACCAGAGAGAGAGACCAGAGAGAGACCAGAGAGAGACCAGAGAGAGACCAGAGAGAGAGACCAGAGAGAGAGACCAGAGAGAGACCAGAGAGAGACCAGAGAGAGACCAGAGAGAGAGACCAGAGAGAGACCAGAGAGAGACCAGAGAGAGAGACCAGAGAGAGACCAGAGAGAGAGACCAGAGAGAGAGACCAGAGAGAGACCAGAGAGAGACCAGAGAGAGACCAGAGAGAGACCAGAGACAGAGAGACCAGAGAGAGACCAGAGAGAGACCAGAGAGAGAGACCAGAGAGAGACCAAGAGAGACCAGAGAGAGAGAGAGACCAGAGAGAGACCGAGAGAGAGACCAGAGAGAGACCAGAGAGACCAGAGAGAGACCAAGAGAGAGACCAGAGAGAGACCAGAGAGAGACCAGAGAGAGACCAGAGAGAGACCAGAGAGAGACCAGAGAGACCAGAGAGAGACCAGAGAGAGACCAGAGAGAGACCAGAGAGAGCCCAGAGAGAGACCAGAGAGAGACCAGAGAGATAGACCAGAGAGAGACCAGAGAGACCAGAGAGAGACCAGAGAGACAGAGAGACCAGAGAGAGAGACCAGAGAGAGAGACCAGAGAGAGACCAGAGAGAGACCAGAGAGACCAGAGAGAGACCAGAGAGAGAGACCAGAGAGACCAGAGAGAGACCAGAGAGAGACCAGAGAGAGACCAGAGAGAGACCAGAGAGAGACCAGAGAGAGACCAGAGAGAGACCAGAGAGAGACCAGAGAGAGACCAGAGAGAGACCAGAGAGAGAGACCAGAGAGAGAGACCAGAGAGAGAGACCAGAGAGAGACCAGAGAGAGACCAGAGAGAGACCAGAGAGAGACCAGAGAGAGACCAGAGAGAGACGAGAGAGACCAGAGAGAGACCAGAGAGAGACCAGAGAGAGACCAGAGAGAGACCAGAGAGAGACCAAGAGAGACCAGACCAGAGACCAGAGAGAGACCAGAGAGACCAGAGAGAGAGACCAGAGAGAGACCAGAGAGAGACCAGAGAGAGACCAGAGAGAGACCAGAGAGAGACCAAGAGAGAGAGAGAGACCAGAGAGAGACCAGAGAGAGAGACCAGAGAGAGACCAGAGAGAGAGACCAGAGAGAGACCAGAGAGAGACCAGAGAGAGACCAGAGAGAGACCAGAGAGAGACCAGAGAGAGACCAGAGAGAGACCAGAGAGAGACCAGAGAGAGACCAGAGAGAGACCAGAGAGAGACCAGAGAGAGACCAGAGAGAGACCAGAGAGAGACCAGAGAGAGAGACCAGAGAGAGACCAGAGAGAGACCAGAGAGAGACCAGAGAGAGACCAGAGAGAGACCAGAGAGAGACCAGAGAGAGAGACCAGAGAGAGACCAGAGAGAGACCAGAGAGAGACCAGAGAGAGACCAGAGAGAGACCAGAGAGAGAGACCAGAGAGAGACCAGAGAGAGACCAGAGAGAGAGACCAGAGAGAGACCAGAGAGAGACCAGAGAGAGAGACCAGAGAGAGACCAGAGAGAGAGACCAGAGAGAGACCAGAGAGAGACCAAGAGAGACCAGAGAGAGACCAGAGAGAGACCAGAGAGAGACCAGAGAGAGAGACCAGAGAGAGACCAGAGAGAGACCAGAGAGAGACCAAGAGAGAGACCAGAGAGAGACCAGAGAGAGACCAGAGAGAGAGACCAGAGAGAGACCAGAGAGACCAGAGAGACCAGAGAGAGACCAGAGAGAGACCAGAGAGAGAGACCAGAGAGAGAGAGAGACCAGAGAGAGACCAGAGAGAGACCAGAGAGAGACCAGAGAGAGAGAGACCAGAGAGCAAGACAGACCAGAGAGAGACCAGAGAGAGACCAGAGAGAGACCAGAGAGAGAGACCAGAGAGAGACCAGAGAGAGACCAGAGAGAGAGACAGAGAGACCAGAGAGAGACCAGAGAGAGACCAGAGAGAGACCAGAGAGAGACCAGAGAGAGAGAGAGACCAGAGAGACCAGAGAGAGACCAGAGAGAGACCAGAGAGAGACCAGAGAGAGAGACCAGAGAGAGAGACCAGAGAGAGACAGAGAGAGACCAAGAGAGAGACCAGAGAGAGACCAGAGAGAGACCAGAGAGAGACCAGAGAAAGACCAGAGAGAGACCAGAGAGAGACCAGAGAGAGACCAGGGAGAGACCAGAGAGAGACCAGAGAAAGACCAGAGAGAGACCAGAGAGAGACCAGAGAAAGACCAGGGAGAGACCAGAGAAAGACCAGAGAGAGACCAGAGAGAGACCAGAGAGAGACCAGAGAGAGACCAGAGAGAGACCAGAGAAAGACCAGAGAGAGACCAGAGAGAGACCAGAGAGACCAGAGAGAGACCAGAGAGAGACCAGAGAGAGACCAGAGAGAGACCAGAGAGAGACCAGAGAAAGACCAGGGAGAGACCAGAGAAAGACCAGGGAGAGACCAGAGAGAGACCAGAGAAAAGCAAGAGAGAGCTCAGGGAGAGAGACCATGAGCCAGCGGTTTAGCATTGTCCATCTGTATACAGTCTATGGTTTCATTCCTCAAACCCAAATTCAGAATCAGAGACAGAAACCAGAGTGTTTCTCACAAACCGTTCACTTTATTGTAAATCATATTTTTTTACATTTTATAGAACTTAAAAGTAGATTCTAATGACTCTGTCATAAATAACTCAAAGTGTTTGTCACGAAGCAGACGGATGACGCTGCAGAGACACGTGACCAGGGCCTGAGACCAAGGCCTGAGACCAGGGCCTGAGACCAGGGGCCGGAACATTGTGTTATTGTAAGAGCTGAAGCAGGGGTTGAAGTCCGTGGCCTAAAAGCATTGGAGGCACATTGTTGTCCTGGTCTCTCCTCTGGTCTCTCCTCTGGTCTCTCCTCTGGTCTCTCCTCTGGTCTCTCCTCTGGTCTCTCCTCTGGTCTCTCTCTGGTCTCTCTCTGGTCTCTCTCTGGTCTCCCCCTGGTCTCCCTCTGGTCTCCCTCTGGTCTCCCTCTGGTCTCTCTCTGGTCTCTCTCTCTGGTCTCTCCTCTGGTCTCTCCTCTGGTCTCCCTCTGGTCTCTCTCTGGTCTCTCCTCTGGTCTCTCCTCTGGTCTCTCTCTGGTCTCTCTCTGGTCTCTCTCTGGTCTCCCCCTGGTCTCCCTCTGGTCTCCCTCTGGTCTCTCTCTCTGGTCCTCTCTCTGGTCTCTCTCTGGTCTCTCCTCTGGTCTCTCTCTGGTCTCCCTCTGGTCTCTCTCTGGTCTCTCTCTGGTCTCTCCTCTGGTCTCTCTCTGGTCTCCCTCTGGTCTCTCTCTGGTCTCTCTCTGGTCTCTCTCTGGTCTCCTCTGGTCTCTCCTCTGGTCTCTCCTCTGGTCTCTCTCTGGTCTCTCCTCTGGTCTCTCCTCTGGTCTCTCCTCTGGTCTCTCTCTCTGGTCTCTCTCTCTGGTCTCTCCTCTGGTCTCCCTCTGGTCTCTCTCTCTCTGGTCTCTCTCTGGTCTCTCTCTCTGGTCTCTCTCTGGTCTCTCTCTGGTCTCTCTCTGGTCTCTCTCTGGTCTCTCCTCCTCTTCACAGCTGCTGGGTGCTGTTCCCGTTCCACGTGTTGTTTTCGTCCTCACTGTCCTCTTGCGTTCGCAGACGACAGATTTTTCCATCTTTCTTGAAATTCTTGGGTTTGTCCCGACTCTGACTGTGGAGACAAGAGAGAGACCAGAGGGAGACCAGAGTGAAAGGGACCGGAGAGAGACCAGAGTGAGAGGGACCAGAGAGAGACCAGAGAGAGAGGGACCAGAGAGAGACCAGAGAGAGACCAGAGGGAGACCAGAGAGAGAGGGACCAGAGAGAGACCAGAGAGAGACCAGAAAGAGACCAGAAGGAGACCAGAGGGAGACCAGAGACAGAGGGACCAGAGAGAGACCAGAGAGAGACCGTAGTCCCAGGCAGAAAGAGTCAAAGTGAACAGATCAGAACCACAACACACCGTCTTCATCTGAAACATCTAAAACAGATCAGAGTGATCCCTGTGAGTGACTATCTGCCTCCCAGGGCTCGCTCGGCCTGTGTCTGTACCTGTGTGTGAACCTGTGTGCGTACTTGTACCTGTGTCAGTGTACATACCTGTTTCCGTACCTGTGTGTGTACCTGTGTGCGTACCTGTCTGTGTAACTGTGAGCTGCAGTGTGTGTATCTGTGCGCGTACCTGTGCGTGTACCTGTGAGCTGCTGTGTGTGTATCTGTGTGCGTACCTGTGAGCTAATGTGTGTGTACCTGTGTGCTGCTGTGTGTGTATCTGTGTGCGTACCTGTGAGCTGCTGTGTGTGTACCTGTGTGCTGCTGTGTGTGTATCTGTGTGCGTACCTGTGTGTGTACCTGTGTGTGTACCGGTGAGCTGCTGTGTGCGTACCTGTGTGTGTATCTGTGTGCGTACCTGTGTGCGTACCTGTGTGTTGCTGTGTGTGTATCTGTGTGCGTACCTGTGTGTGTACCTGTGTGCGTACCTGTGTGTGTACCTGTGAGCTGCTGTGTGCGTACCTGAGTGTGTATCTGTGTGCGTACCTGTGAGCTGCTGTGTGTGTACCTGTGTGTGTACCTGTGTGTGTACCTGTGTGTGTACCTGTGTGCGTACCTGTGTGTGTACCTGTGTGTGTACCTGTGTGCGTACCTGTGAGCTGCTGTGTGCGTACCTGTGTGTGTACCTGTGAGCTGCTGTGTGCGTACCTGTGTGTGTACCTGTGTGTGTACCTGTGTGCGTACCTGTGTGTGTATCTGTGTGCGTACCTGTGAGCTGCTGTGTGCGTACCTGTGTGTGTACCTGTGTGCGTACCTGTGTGTGTACCTGTGTGCGTACCTGTGTGTGTATCTGTGTGCGTACCTGTGTGTGTATCTGTGTGTGTACCTGTGAGCTGCTGTGTGCGTACCTGTGTGTGTACCTGTGTGCGTACCTGTGTGTGTACCTGTGTGCGTACCTGTGAGCTGGTGTGGGCGCGGCGCTTGGAGACGCTTCAGTTGAACTGGAGCCAAAGACGAAGGAGCTGATCATCCTCCACACTGTCAGCAGGGGGCAGAAGAGAGTCCCCAGGAGAGACCAGAGGGAGGAGGAGGAGGAGGCCAGGGAGGAGGAGCGGGACGGACCCTGGAACAGAAAACACACAGTGAGGAGGGACCAGAGGGAGAGGAGGAGAGACCAGAGAGAGGAGGAGGAGGAGAGACCAGAGAGAGAGAAGGAGAGACCAGAGAGAGGAGGAGGAGGAGAGACCAGAGAGAGAGAAGGAGAGACCAGAGAGAGGAGAAACCAGAGAGAGGAGGAGGAGGAGAGACCAGAGAGAGAGGAGACCAGAGAGAGGAGAAGGAGAGACCAGAGAGAGGAGTAGGAGGAGAGACCAGAGAGAGGAGGAGGAGAGATCAGAGAGAGGAGACACCAGAGAGAAGAGGAGGAGGAGAGACCAGAGAGAGGAGTAGGAGGAGAGACCAGAGAGAGGAGGAGGAGAGACCAGAGAGAGGAGAAACCAGAGAGAGGAGGAGGAGGAGAGACCAGAGAGAGGAGTAGGAGGAGAGACCAGAGAGAGGAGGAGGAGGAGAGACTAGAGAGAGGAGAAACCAGAGAGAGGAGGAGAGACCAGAGAGAGGAGGAGGAGGAGAGACCAGAGAGAGGAGTAGGAGGAGAGACCAGAGAGAGGAGAAGGAGGAGAGACCAGAGAGAGAGAAGGAGAGATCAAAGAGAGGAGGAGGAGGAGGAGACCAGAGAGAGAAGTAGGAGGAGAGACCAGAGAGAGGAGGAGGAGAGACCAGAGAGAGGAGGAGGAGGAGAGACCAGAGAGAGAGAAGGAGAGACCAGAGAGAGGAGTAGGAGAGAGAGAAAGGAGGAGGAGAGAGCAGAGAGAGGAGGAGAGAGAGAGAGAGGAGTAGGAGAGACCAGACAGAGGAGGAGGAGGAGAGACCAGAGAGGAGTAGGAGAGAGCATAGAGAGAGGAGAGACCAGAGAGAGGAGAGAGAGAGAAAGGAGGAGGAGAGACCGGAGAGAGAGAGAAAGGAGGAGGAGAGACCAGAGAGAGGAGGAGGAGGAGAGACCAGAGAGAGAGAAGGAGAGACCAGAGAGAGGAGTAGGAGAGAGAGAAAGGAGGAGGAGAGACCAGAGAGAGAGAAGGAGAGACCAGAGAGACCAGAGAGAGGAGAAACCAGAGAGGAGGAGAGACCAGAGAGAGGAGAAGGAGAGACCAGAGAGAGGAGTAGGAGGAGAGACCAGAGAGAGGAGGAGGAGAGACCAGAGAGAGGAGGAGGAGGAGAGACCAGAGAGAGGAGGAGGAGAGACCAGAGAGAGGAGAAACCAGAGAGAGGAGGAGGAGGAGAGACCAGAGAGAGGAGTAGGAGGAGAGACCAGAGAGAGGAGGAGGAGAGACCAGAGAGAGGAGAAACCAGAGAGAGGAGGAGGAGGAGAGACCAGAGAGAGAGGGAGGAGAGACCAGAGAGAGGAGTAGGAGGAGAGACCAGAGAGAGGAGGAGGAGGAGAGACCAGAGAGAGGAGTAGGAGGAGAGACCAGAGAGAGGAGGAGGAGGAGAGACCAGAGAGAGAGAAGGAGAGATCAAAGAGAGGAGGAGGAGGAGACCAGAGAGAGAAGTAGGAGGAGAGACCAGAGAGAGAGAAGGAGAGACCAGAGAGAGGAGGAGGAGGAGAGACCAGAGAGAGAGAAGGAGAGACCAGAGAGAGGAGGAGGAGAGACCAGAGAGAGGAGAAACCCAGAGAGAGGAGGAGGAGGAGAGACCAGAGAGAGGAGAAGGAGAGACCAGAGAGAGGAGTAGGAGGAGAGACCAGAGAGAGGAGGAGGAGAGATCAGAGAGAGGAGAAACCAGAGAGAGGAGGAGGAGGAGAGACCAGAGAGAGGAGGAGGAGGAGAGACCAGAGAGAGGAGGAGGAGAGACCAGAGAGAGGAGAAACCAGAGAGAGGAGGAGGAGGAGAGACCAGAGAGAGAGGGAGGAGAGACCAGAGAGAGGAGTAGGAGGAGAGACCAGAGAGAGGAGGAGGAGGAGAGACCAGAGAGAGGAGTAGGAGGAGAGACCAGAGAGAGGAGGAGGAGGAGAGACCAGAGAGAGAGGAGAGATCAAAGAGAGGAGGAGGAGGAGGAGACCAGAGAGAGAAGTAGGAGGAGAGACCAGAGAGAGGAGGAGGAGGAGAGACCAGAGAGAGAGAAGGAGAGACCAGAGAGAGGAGTAGGAGAGAGAGAAAGGAGGAGGAGAGAGCAGAGAGAGGAGGAGAGAGAGAGAGAGGAGTAGGAGAGACCAGACAGAGGAGGAGGAGGAGAGACCAGAGAGGAGTAGGAGAGAGCAGAGAGAGAGGAGAGAGAGAGAAAGGAGGAGAGACCAGAGAGAGGAGAGAGAGAGAAAGGAGGAGGAGAGACCAGAGAGAGGAGGAGGAGGAGAGAGCAGAGAGAGAGAAGGAGAGACCAGAGAGAGGAGAGAGAGAGAGAAAGGAGGAGGAGAGACCAGAGGAGAGACCAGAGAGAGGAGGAGGAGGAGAGACCAGAGAGAGGAGTAGGAGAGAGAGAAAGGAGGAGGAGAGAGCAGAGAGAGGAGGAGAGAGAGAGAGGAGTAGGAGAGACCAGACAGAGGAGGAGGAGGAGAGACCAGAGAGGAGTAGGAGAGGGCAGAGAGAGGAGAGAGAGAAAGGAGGAGGAGAGACCAGAGAGAGGAGGAGGAGGAGAGACCAGAGAGAGAGGAGAGACCAGAGAGAGGAGGAGAGAGAGAGAGAAAGGAGGAGGAGAGAGCAGAGAGAGGAGGAGAGAGAGAGAGAGAGGAGGAGGAGGAGAGACCAGACAGAGGAGGAGGAGGAGAGAGACCAGAGAGGAGTAGGAGAGAGCAGAGAGAGAGGAGAGACCAGAGAGAGAAAGGAGGAGGAGAGAGCAGAGAGAGGAGGAGGAGGAGAGAGACAGAGAGGAGGTGTCACCGGCAGCAGGACGATGGAGGCGCTTGGCACCAGTTCCAGATCCTTCAGACTTCGGTCCAGATCTTCTTCTGTGAACTCTCTGCGAGGAAACATGGTCGCCATGGAGAAGTCCCCGTAGGAGCGGCCCACCTCCTACACATGAGGAGGAGGTCTCAGGAGGAGGTATGAGGAGGAGGTCTGAGGGGGAGGTCTGACAGGGAGGTCTGAGGGAGGAGGTCTGAGGGAGGAGGTCTGAGGGAGGAGGTCTGAGAGAGGAGGTCTGAGTAGGTCAGAGTGCGGAGATCTGAGTGCGGAGATCTGAGGGAGGAGGTCTGAGAGAGGAGGTCTGAGAGAGGAGGTCTGAGAGAGGAGGTCTGAGAGAGGTGGTCTGAGAGAGGAAGTCTGAGGGAGGAGGTCTGAGAGAGGAGGTCTGAGAGAGGAGGTCTGACAGGGAGGTCTGACAGGGAGGTCTGAGGGAGGAGGTCTGAGAGAGGTGGTCTGAGGGAGGTGGTCTGAGAGAGGAGGTCTGAGGGAGGAGGTCTGAGAGAGGAGGTCTGAGAGAGGAGGTCTGAGAGAGGAGGTCTGAGTAGGTCAGAGTGCGGAGGTCTGAGGAAAAGGTCTGCGGAGTTGATCTGAGGGAGAAGGTCCGAGAAGGAGGTCTGAGGAGGAGGTGGTCTGAGGGAGCATTAGTGTGTATCTGTACCTGTTGGACAAACTGCTGCGCCTCCCTCAGAGGACTCTGAGCGGGAAACTGGGAGGAGATGGAGGAACCGTCTGGAAGTCTGAACTGCAGCCTGGACACAGAGCTGGAGACAAGAGGAGGTCATGAGGAGGTCATGAGGAGAGGAGATCTGAATCTCCTGACCATATGTGACAGATGCACTGCTGTGAAGCTCCTTAGCGCCTCCTTCTCCTCAGGCTGGTGGACTCACCTCCTCAGCCTCAGCGCCTCCTCCTTCTTCTCCTCTTGCTGTTGGAGTTGTTGTTGGATCCTTGCCTCCTTTGCTGCCGTCTCCTCCACAACATTCTGAGCGTATCGAGCGGCTCTCTCCGCTCGGTCCTGGACACAAACATCTCAGCTGAGCCTCAGAAATTACTCCTCCTGGTTTGAGTCCAGGTCCAGGTCCAGGTCTGGGTCTCGGGTCTGGGTCCGGGTCTCACCAGTGCGATCTGCTGGCGGACCCTCTCCCTCGCCACCCTCTCCTCCTCCTTCTCCTTCTGTCGTTCCTCCAACAGTCTCTTCGTTTGGTCGTCGTCGTGTTTCCTCTTTATCTCCTGCAGCTCTTTCCCTGATTTACGCCGCTCCTGCTCTTTAGACTCACTCTGCAACACAACACAACACACTGAACACACAACACTCTGAACACACAACTCTGCAATACAACACAACTCTCTGAACACACAAAGGTCCATGAGCACGCGCGCTGACACGCTGCAGTACCACCCCGGGCCTGTGGAGGTGGACCCGGAATAAGAATTAGCCAATGCTAACATATAGCATCTTATTATATGACGCACGCTCTGATTGGCTGATTATCGGTCTGATGTTTTCCCATCTCGGACCGTTACCATGACAATTGGTCCGAACAGCGCGTATCACATTTGATATCTTTCCTCGGACCGTTACCATGACAATCGGTCTGCAGCGCGTATCACACTAAAAACACAATAAGGAAAACCAAGTCTGACATGAACATACTTCACAAATATCTCAAAAGCATCGGTAAAGACACAGACGAGAGTCATAATAAAACATTTATTAACCTCGCGCTCGGTCTGTGCAGAGAAATATCAGACCTTGGTCTTTTTGCACCGACCTCGCCACGGCTCGGTCTGTACGTTAAGGTCTGATATTCCTCCATACAGACCTCACGCTCGGTTAATAAGCCGTTATTCTGACCTCTCAAAACGTCTTTACAGGATGGTCCAAAAGTGGCTCTTGGCCCAAAGCTCCGTTCCACATGTGTGTCAACGCTGAGGGAGTGTTCTGGACCAGTCTAGTTTAGTCGCTGTGGACTTTAGAAGTCTCTTGTTTAAATGAATGGGGCTTGTGCAGCTGAAGCATGCGCAGATGCGTTTTATCCATAGACTGTATATATTAACGGACAGAGTCACGCCTATCTCCGCCGCTCTAACTAATGGGCCAAAAAATGTGCTCTACTGGAGCAATCTAATATGGCCGCGAGTGGTCCCGCCCACAAGAAAATTGTGACAAAACGCATCTGCGCATGCGTCAGCCGGCGCAGCTCCATTCATTTGAACGAGAGGCTTCAAAAATTCACAGCAAGTAAACTAGAGTGGACCAAAAAAATCCACCCCCCTCAGAATTGACACATGTGGACCGGAGCTTTGGGCCAAGAGCCAACTTTTGGTCCATCCTGTAAAGACGTTTTTGAGAGGTCTGCTAACGCTATATGTTAGCATTGGCTAATTCTACTTCTGGGTCCACCCCCAACGGCCCGGGGTGGTACTGCAGCATGTCAGCGCACGTCATTTTGGCCACTTTTGAGCTGGGACCCTCCCCCACTGGTTTTATCACATTATCCAGCCCCCGCGGCCATTTTGAATCACTCCATGAAAGCCCAATTTTTGGCCCATTAGTTAGAACGGCGGAGATAGGCGTGACTACGTCTGTTAATAATTACAGTCTATGGGTAAGACCTAACATTTATACATTTGAATCATGGGACTTTACCTCAGGGGCCTTCTGCACAGACCTGAAACACAAACACAGGAGTCAGAGGTTGGGACTCGGGGGTCGGGACTCGGGGGTCGGGACTCGGGGGTCGGGACTCGGGGGTCGGGACTCGGGGGTCGGGACTCGGGGGTCGGGACTCGGGGGTCGGGTCTCTCACCGTGGTCTGGTCTCTGTGCTGCTGGGAGCTGCAGATGTCTCTGTGGATGAAACACAAATGAATCCATAGGTCAGGGTGAAGTTCAGGATCTGGTCCAGGTCTAGTCTGGATCTGGTTCAGGTCTAGTCTGGGTCTGGAACTGACCTGGGGTCACTGCTGCTGGTGTCTGTGGTAGAGTCTGAACTGAAGATTGAGGGACAGCGCCCCCTGCAGTCTGCTCCTGGTGCATCTGCCCCAGAGAAACATTCAACACAGAGTGTTCTGACAGGTTCTACAGAGTGTTCCGACAGGTTCTACACAGAGTGTTCCGACAGGTTCTACAGAGTATTCTGACAGGTTCTACACAGAGTGTTCCGACAGGTTCTACACAGAGTGTTCTGACAGGTTCTACACAGAGTGTTCCGACAGGTTCTACAGAGTGTTCCGACAGGTTCTACAGAGTGTTCTGACATGTTCTACACAGAGTGTTCTGACAGGTTCTACAGAGTGTTCCGACATGTTCTACACAGAGTGTTCTGACAGGTTCTACAGAGTGTTCTGACAGGTTCTACAGAGTGTTCTGACAGGTTCTACACAGAGTGTTCCGACAGGTTCTACACAGAGTGTTCCGACAGGTTCTACACAGAGTGTTCCGACAGGTTCTACACAGAGTGTTCCGACAGGTTCTACAGAGTGTTCCGACAGGTTCTACAGAGTGTTCCGACAGGTTCTACAGAGTGTTCTGACATGTTCTACACAGAGTGTTCTGACAGGTTCTACAGAGTGTTCCGACATGTTCTACACAGAGTGTTCTGACAGGTTCTACAGAGTGTTCTGACAGGTTCTACAGAGTGTTCTGACAGGTTCTACAGAGTGTTCCGACAGGTTCTACACACAGTGTTTTGACAGGTTCTACACAGAGTGTTCTGACAGGTTCTACAGTGTTCTGACAGGTTCTACAGAGTGTTCCGACAGGTTCTACAGAGTGTTCCGACAGGTTCTACAGAGTGTTCCGACAGGTTCTACAGAGTGTTCCGACAGGTTCTACACAGAGTGTTCCGACAGGTTCTACAGAGTGTTCCGACAGGTTCTACAGAGTGTTCCGACAGGTTCTACAGAGTGTTCTGACATGTTCTACACAGAGTGTTCTGACAGGTTCTACAGAGTGTTCCGACATGTTCTACACAGAGTGTTCTGACAGGTTCTACAGAGTGTTCTGACAGGTTCTACAGAGTGTTCTGACAGGTTCTACACAGAGTGTTCCGACAGGTTCTACACAGAGTGTTCCGACAGGTTCTACACAGAGTGTTCCGACAGGTTCTACACAGAGTGTTCCGACAGGTTCTACAGAGTGTTCCGACAGGTTCTACAGAGTGTTCCGACAGGTTCTACAGAGTGTTCTGACATGTTCTACACAGAGTGTTCTGACAGGTTCTACAGAGTGTTCCGACATGTTCTACACAGAGTGTTCTGACAGGTTCTACAGAGTGTTCTGACAGGTTCTACAGAGTGTTCTGACAGGTTCTACAGAGTGTTCCGACAGGTTCTACACACAGTGTTTTGACAGGTTCTACACAGAGTGTTCTGACAGGTTCTACAGTGTTCTGACAGGTTCTACAGAGTGTTCCGACAGGTTCTACAGAGTGTTCCGACAGGTTCTACAGAGTGTTCCGACAGGTTCTACAGAGTGTTCCGACAGGTTCTACAGAGTGTTCCGACAGGTTCTACAGAGTGTTCCGACAGGTTCTACAGAGTGTTCCGACAGGTTCTACAGAGTGTTCCGACAGGTTCTACAGAGTGTTCCTACAGGTTCTACAGAGTGTTCCTACAGGTTCTACAGAGAGTTCTGACAGGTTCTACAGAGAGTTCTGAAAGGTTCTACAGAGAGTTCTGAAAGGTTCTACAGAGTGCTGTGTCAGACCTGCTTCACTGCTTGGATCTTCTTTTCCAGATCTTCTGCTGAGATGCTGCTGGCGATGACCTCCAGAGGAATCCCACTGTCACCGATGAAGAAACTGGAGGGAACGCACACCACCGGGTCTGAGAGGGTCAAGGACTGTACCAGGGTCTGAGAGGGTGTAAACCAGGTCTGAGAGGGTCAAGGACTGTGCCAGGGTCTCAAGAGGGTCTGAGAGGGTCTAAACCAGGTCTGAGAGGGTCAAGGACTGTACCAGGGTCTCAAGAGGGTCTGAGAGGGTCTAAACCAGGTCTGAGAGGGTCAAGGACGGTGCCAGGGTCTCAAGAGGGTCTAAAGAGGGTCTAAACCAGGACTAAACATTAATGGGACATAAACAGAAGGATACAGATCTGAGAGAACTGCGTACAGGCCTCACTGCGGAGAGAACACACACACTTTAGTATGAGTACTGTATGTTTAGTGTATGTTTGTCTATTTGTTGACTCAGTTGTGTACCTCTTGCAGTCCAGTTTGATGGCCACGCAGCCCTCCGCCGCCTCAGTCACTCGCGGCTCGTCCCACGTGGAGAGAAGCTCTGTAGACTGAGGGTCGTCCCCTGGAACAACACACACACAACTTTAGTCTCTCTTGGTCCTGGTTCTACCCAGGCCGAGCTGGTACTAAAGTGTTCTAACTGTCACTGACATAGAGAGCTGCTGGAAGCCATGGTAACCAAGACATTTCCTCTGATACTGGGTAATTATAGGCCAAGTTCAAAAGACACCCCCTGCAGGACACTGTGGAGAACAGCTTCAGTGACAGACTTATTCACCCTCACGGTGTAAAGGAGAGGTTCTGTGGGTCTTTCCTACCTGCTGCTGTCAGACTGTACAATGAGAACTGCTGAGACTGTACATGTCATTCATCTGTAAATAAGTAAATACTGTAATCATGAGCAAGATGCAATTTCAGAAAGTGACTATATCTACTTATTACCCTGCCCTTTACCCACAACTTTGCACTAATATATATATATACACACATACATAGATTGTGAAAGATTTATATCGAAACATTTACAGCTAGCTAAGAAACTTATCTTATATAAGTTGTGTGCTCCCTGTGTCTCTTACTACTGTCCTGTCCTTGTGCTGCAACATTGAAATTTCCCCACTGTGGGAGGATAAAGGATCTCTTATCTTCTATAGAGTCGAGTTTATCACGGCACGGCACGGCCCACAGGGAACTGTAGTGTGTGTACTGCAGTTTATTACAAAGCTCAGAGTTCAGTAGAAAGTGTTATATTCTAAACATAAACTCAGCTGAGTTTCCGCAGATTAAAAACTCATTTCTGTCAGAATAATGTTTATCATGTGTTATATACTTATGAAGTGGGACTCTCACACTCACAGAGGAACACACTGTCACTGCTTCTGTCGAGGGAATAATCAGAATAAAAGTGAATGACTGTTTGTTTTGGTTCGGGAGCTAATGCTAATGCTAATGCTAACATGTATTTGAGTGCTGTGTGGTGGTTCTCGTGATGAACAGCACCGGGTTAGGGACGGGTCCATTACTGTTCCACGTCATGTCATGACTGTATGTTATATTTATTCTTAGACTCTATGTTGTGTTGCGCTGATGCTAATGCTAATGCTAATGCTAAGGGTAAAGCTAACGTGTCTCCTGTGCTTCTCTTTTACGCTGTTTTCCCGTGATTCCAGAGGACAGCGTGACGTGCCCGGTGTGCGAGCCCCGCACTGAAGCACTGACCCGTGATCAGCACCACGAACACCCGTCCGCGCCGCTTCGCCTCCAGGATCGCGTCCGGGATCGAACCTTTGAACCACTTCATGATGACGGCTAGTGCTAATGCTAATGCTAACGAGCTAATACAGCTAATAGGGCTAACAGTGATCCAGCAGACAGTACACAGAGAAGCTTAACACTGCCCCCTCGCGGTGAAGCAGAGAAATCCACTGAGAGGAAATCCACTTTCAAGCTGCATCCGAATATTCCCAACTCACAAAACCATCTTAAAAAAGTGTTAAATTGCACTTCAACTTAGGCTGCCCAGTGTCATAAAAGGTACATACAGCTCTCAAAAAGACGAGGAAGGAGGCATTTTGTTGTTAGAATTACTGTATTATTACTGCATTATTACCATAGACTGTATCCATCCATCTGATACTTCTGCCATTCACTAGTCCCTTCAGCTGTTGATATTTATCACTGATGTTTATTCTGCTCATATTCTCCGCTGCTTAAGAACAATATACACATCTGTAAATACTCCTGAACCAAGTGCAATTATAGCGCCAGAGTTTATTTTATTAGGCCCGAGCCCCGAACGGGGAAAGGGCCTATTGTTTTTGCTCAAGAGATGTCAAATTCTGCATTTTGAGCCTTAATTTGACCCCCTGAACATATATGAAAAGTTGTAACATTTTGCTCAAAAATCAGACCTGGCGAAAAATTTGATATTTTGGTGTTTATTTTTATGGGACTCAAAAAATGCCAGAACAGCGCCACCTACAACAGCTAAAATAATACCCCTATGGGAGTTTTGGAGATCAAATTTATTGTAGAGCCATGTAATTTGGTACCCATGTTCCTCAAGTCAGGACAAGAAAAAAAATGTTATTATGACAAACAGGAAGCCCATAAATTTCACTGCAAAATGGAAAAATTAACAGCAATAGTTTTCATACATGTCGGTTGGAAATCTTCTCCTCCTCGGCCGTTTCACCGATTCACCTCAAAATCGCTCCACATCATCTAGCAATAGAAGAATGAATAACATTCTTCTATTGCTACGGGAACAATCATCACACGGCGGCGCCACCTCCTTTGCGCGATGCTGCGTGGTACGGTGTGGTGCGGCGAAGTGCGGGACGTTGTGGAACAACGCGTTGCAGCTTGGTGCGGGGCAGCGTGGTGTGGGGCGGCAGAGGCGCGGTGAGGCGAGGGCCGTTCGACACCGCTTGCGGCTTTAATTTTGTTTTATTTTGTATCTTATTTTATTATATTGTCTATTATCTTAAATCTGAGTGCTGTTATTTCCCTTCTTTCTCTAATGTGTGCAACAATGACACTGACATTTTTCCACTGCGAGACGAATAAAGGAATATCTTATTTTGGCTGAATTCAGATGTAGCAAGACAGATACGTACACAGTTAAGTATAGATACTAGTTAGAGCATATGTAATCTATATTTATAGATATAGTTATTATGAGAGCAATTCAGCTGTTGTCCCATTGTCTGTCTCATGATGTGAGGAGGGGACCCCTGAACCCGGCCTTCTTCTTATCTGCACCTGTGGACCCCCCGGTCTCAGTCCTGCATCGTGTGGCCTCAGTCCTCGTTCTACAGCCTGTTCTAAAACTTTGTAAACTCCTTTGAGATAACCACTGTTGTAATTTAGGGCTGTACACAAACACATTGAAGCTTGGTAAATTCTGAAATAGCGCCCTCCTCTGGCAGTCACCGTGCGCGCATCTTTGGTTCCGCAGAAAGCCCATAGTTCTTTCACTGCATTGGAGTTTGTGTGGACAGAAACGTGAATTATTTCATGTGTTCATGTGGATCCATGCTAATGCTGAGCTGGTTATTAACTTTTGTGTTGTATGGAGTTATTACCAACTTCACTGTGTTTTTGACAAGTTTAGCTGAAGTATTTTCTTTCTGTTTAGCTTAGCATGCGGCTAACAGTGACTGTCTCCACAAAAGATTAGGATGTTCTAAAGTGTAATTATGACACAGAACACTTACAACACGTACAAATGTTCTTTATTCACTTCAGATTCATGACGACGGATTGATTAAAAACTTTTCCCTCTGTGCTTTCTCCTGCAGAAGCAGACTGCAGCCACCAGGGCGGCGACACACGACACCATCAGCAGGGCAAAGGTCGTGTGGAATCCCACCTCTGCCTGCTCCGGGGTCAGGGTCAGGCCCAGGAAGTTCAGAGATGGATCAGCAGGGGGCGCTACGGTCACTGTAACACACACACAAAGAGAGACACACACACACAGAGGGAGAGGGAGAGGGAGAGGAGGTCTAAAGCAAGTCTAAAGCTGGACTAAAACAGGACTAAAGCCCAGGCCCCTCCCTCACCGTTGGGCTTCGGTTGCAGACACTCATGGCCCGAGTCGGGATGGGGGAATCCGTTGCACCTGATGATCTGGTTGTAGGTCTTGACCGAGGCTTTGGGGGTTCGCTTCAGGTCCGGGTCGGTTCTGTTCACATGGTACAGACCAAACTGCTCTGCAAAACCAGTAGCCCACTCCAGGTTGTCCATGAGGGACCAGGCGGTGTACCCACGGATGTCCACTTTGTCCTCCAGGTAAGCTGTAGAGAGACACCTGGTAGTGAGGGACCTTAAACTGGTCTGGCCTGTAAGTGAGGGACCTTAAACTGGTCTGGTCTGTAAGTGAGGGACCTTAACCTGGTCTGGCCTGTAAGTGAGGGACCTTAAACTGGTCTGGCCTGTAAGTGAGGGACCTTAAACTGGTCTGGCCTGTAAGTGAGGGACCTTAAACTGGTCTGGCCTGTAAGTGAGGGACCTTAAACTGGTCTGACCTGTAAGTGAGGGACCTTAAACTGGTCTGACCTGTAAGTGAGGGACCTTAAACTGGTCTGGCCTGGAAGTGAGGGACCTTAAACTGGTCTGGTCTGTAAGTGAGGGACCTTAAACTGGTCTGGTCTGTAAGTGAGGGACCTTAAACTCACTTACAGACATTCATACATTTGATTGCATAAATGTTTTAATGGATTTTATGTAATAATAAATATTGTAAAGGGCTCAATAGATAAAAAATGATTGACTGAGGAGACTGATGAGACTGATGAGACTGAGGAGACTGATGAGACTGATGAGACTGAGGAGACTGAGGAGACTGATGAGACTGAGGAGACTGAGGAGACTGAGGAGACTGATGAGACTGAGGAGACTGATGAGACTGAGGAGACTGATGAGACTGAGGAGACTGAGGAGACTGATGAGACTGAGGAGACTGAGGAGACTGAGGAGACTGATGAGACTGATGAGACTGAGGAGACTGATGAGACTGATGAGACTGAGGAGACTGAGGAGACTGAGGAGACTGAGGAGACTGAGGAGACTGATGAGACTGATGAGACTGATGAGACTGAGGAGACTGAGGTGACTGAGGAGACTGAGGAGACTGATGAGACTGAGGAGACTGAGGAGACTGAGGAGACTGATGAGACTGATGAGACTGATGAGACTGATGATGACTGAGGAGACTGAGGAGACTGATGAGACTGATGAGACTGAGGAGACTGAGGAGACTGATGAGACTGAGGAGACTGAGGAGACTGAGGAGACTGATGAGACTGAGGAGACTGAGGAGACTGAGGAGACTGAGGAGACTGATGAGACTGAGGAGACTGATGAGACTGAGGAGACTGAGGAGACTGATGAGACTGAGGAGACTGAGGAGACTGAGGAGACTGAGGAGACTGAGGAGACTGAGGAGACTGATGAGACTGAGGAGACTGAGGAGACTGAGGAGACTGAGGAGACTGATGAGACTGATGAGACTGAGAGACTGAGGTGACTGAGGAGACTGATGAGACTGAGGAGACTGAGGAGACTGAGGAGACTGAGGAGACTGATGAGACTGATGAGACTGATGAGACTGAGGAGACTGAGGAGACTGAGGAGACTGATGAGACTGAGGAGACTGAGGAGACTGAGGAGACTGATGAGACTGATGAGACTGATGAGACTGATGAGACTGAGGAGACTGAGGATGAGACTGAGGAGACTGAGGAGACTGAGGAGACTGAGGAGACTGAGGAGGACTGAGGAGACTGAGGAGACTGATGAGACTGATGAGACTGAGGAGACTGATGAGACTGAGGAGACTGAGGAGACTGAGGAGACTGAGGAGACTGATGAGACTGAGGAGACTGAGGAGACTGATGAGACTGAGGAGACTGAGGAGACTGAGGAGACTGAGGAGACTGATGAGACTGAGGAGACTGAGGAGACTGAGGAGACTGAGGAGACTGAGGAGACTGAGGAGACTGAGGAGACTGAGGAGACTGAGGAGACTGAGGAGACTGAGGAGGACTGAGGAGGACTGAGGAGGGACTGAGGAGGGACTGAGGAGGACTGAGGAGGACTGAGGAGGACTGAGGAGGACTGAGGAGGACTGAGGAGGACTGAGGAGGGACTGAGGAGGACTGAGGAGGACTGAGGAGGACTGAGGAGGACTGAGGAGGACTGATAGGAGACTGAGGAGACTGATGAGACTGAGACTGAGACTGAGGAGACTGAGGAGACTGATGAGACTGAGGAGACTGATGAGACTGAGGAGACTGAGGAGACTGATGAGACTGAGGAGACTGAGGAGACTGAGGAGACTGAGGAGACTGATGAGACTGAGGAGACTGAGGAGACTGAGGAGACTGACTGAGACTGATGAGACTGAGGAGACTGATGAGACTGATGAGACTGAGGAGACTGAGGAGACTGAGGAGACTGAGGAGACTGAGGAGACTGAGGAGACTGATGAGACTGAGGAGACTGAGGAGACTGAGGAGACTGATGAGACTGAGGAGACTGAGGAGACTGAGGAGACTGAGGAGACTGAGGAGACTGAGGAGACTGAGGAGACTGATGAGACTGAGGAGACTGATGAGACTGAGAGACTGATGAGACTGAGGAGACTGATGAGACTGAGGAGACTGAGGAGACTGAGGAGACTGATGAGACTGATGAGACTGAGACTGAGGAGACTGAGGAGACTGATGAGACTGAGGAGACTGAGGAGACTGAGGAGACTGAGGAGACTGATGAGACTGAGGAGACTGATGAGACTGAGGAGACTGAGGAGACTGATGAGACTGAGGAGACTGAGGAGACTGAGGAGACTGAGGAGACTGAGGAGACTGATGAGACTGAGGAGACTGAGGAGACTGAGGAGACTGAGGAGACTGAGGAGACTGAGGAGACTGATGAGACTGATGAGACTGAGAGATGAGACTGAGGAGACTGATGAGACTGAGGAGACTGATGAGACTGAGGAGACTGATGAGACTGAGGAGACTGAGGAGACTGAGGAGACTGATGAGACTGATGAGACTGAGGAGACTGAGGAGACTGAGGAGACTGATGATGAGACTGAGGAGACTGAGGAGACTGAGGAGACTGATGAGACTGAGGAGACTGAGGAGACTGAGGAGACTGAGGAGACTGAGGAGACTGAGGAGACTGAGGAGACTGATGAGACTGAGGAGACTGATGAGACTGATGACTGAGGAGACTGAGGAGACTGAGGAGACTGAGGAGACTGAGGAGACTGATGAGACTGATGAGACTGAGGAGACTGATGAGACTGATGAGACTGAGGAGACTGAGGAGACTGATGAGACTGAGGAGACTGAGGAGACTGATGAGACTGAGGAGACTGAGGAGACTGAGGAGACTGATGAGACTGATGAGACTGAGGAGACTGAGGAGACTGAGGAGACTGAGGAGACTGAGGAGACTGAGGAGACTGATGAGACTGAGGAGACTGAGGAGGACTGAGGAGGACTGAGGAGGACTGAGGAGGAGGGACTGAGGAGGACTGAGGAGGACTGAGGAGGACTGAGGAGGACTGAGGAGGACTGAGGAGGACTGAGGAGGACTGAGGAGGACTGAGGAGGACTGAGGAGGACTGAGGAGGACTGAGGTGGACTGAGGAGACTGAGGAGACTGATGAGACTGATGAGACTGAGGAGACTGAGGAGACTGAGGAGACTGAGGAGACTGAGGAGACTGAGGAGACTGAGGAGACTGAGGAGACTGATGAGACTGATGAGGAGAGACTGAGGAGACTGAGGAGACTGAGGAGACTGATGAGACTGATGAGACTGAGGAGACTGATGAGACTGAGGAGACTGAGGAGACTGAGGAGACTGAGGAGACTGATGAGACTGAGGAGACTGAGGAGACTGAGGAGACTGAGGAGACTGAGGAGACTGAGACTGATGAGACTGAGGAGACTGAGGAGACTGAGGAGACTGAGGAGACTGAGGAGACTGAGGAGACTGAGGAGACTGAGGAGACTGATGAGACTGAGGAGACTGAGGAGACTGAGGAGACTGAGGAGACTGAGGAGACTGAGGAGACTGAGGAGACTGAGGAGACTGATGAGACTGATGAGACTGATGAGACTGAGGAGACTGATGAGACTGAGGAGACTGAGAGAGACTGATGAGACTGATGAGACTGAGGAGACTGAGGAGACTGAGGAGACTGATGACTGATGAGACTGAGGAGACTGAGGAGACTGAGGAGACTGATGAGACTGATGAGACTGAGGAGACTGAGGAGACTGATGAGACTGATGAGACTGAGGAGACTGAGGAGACTGATGAGACTGATGAGACTGAGGAGACTGAGGAGACTGAGGAGACTGATGAGACTGAGGAGACTGAGGAGACTGAGACTGATGAGACTGAGGAGACTGAGGAGACTGAGGAGACTGATGAGACTGATGAGACTGAGGAGACTGAGGAGACTGAGGAGACTGAGGAGACTGAGGAGACTGAGGAGACTGAGGAGACTGAGGAGACTGAGGAGACTGAGGAGACTGAGGAGACTGAGAGACTGAGGAGACTGAGGAGACTGAGAGACTGATGAGACTGATGAGACTGAGGAGACTGAGGAGACTGAGGAGACTGAGGAGACTGAGGAGACTGATGAGACTGATGAGACTGATGAGACTGAGGAGACTGAGGAGACTGAGGAGACTGAGGAGACTGAGGAGACTGAGGAGACTGAGGAGACTGATGAGACTGAGGAGACTGAGGAGACTGAGGAGACTGATGAGACTGATGAGACTGAGGAGACTGAGGAGACTGAGGAGACTGAGGAGACTGAGGAGACTGAGGAGACTGAGGAGACTGAGGAGACTGAGGAGACTGATGAGACTGAGGAGACTGAGGAGACTGAGGAGACTGAGGAGACTGATGAGACTGAGGAGACTGAGGAGACTGAGGAGACTGAGGAGACTGAGGAGACTGAGGAGACTGAGGAGACTGAGGAGACTGAGGAGACTGAGGAGACTGAGGAGACTGAGGAGACTGAGGAGACTGAGGAGACTGAGGAGACTGAGGAGACTGAGATGAGACTGAGGAGACTGAGAGACTGATGAGACTGAGGAGACTGAGGAGACTGAGGAGACTGATGAGACTGAGGAGACTGAGGAGACTGAGGAGACTGAGGAGACTGATGAGACTGAGGAGACTGAGGAGACTGAGGAGACTGAGGAGACTGATGAGACTGATGAGACTGAGGAGACTGAGGAGACTGATGAGACTGATGAGACTGAGGAGACTGAGGAGACTGAGGAGACTGATGAGACTGAGGAGACTGAGGAGACTGAGGAGACTGATGAGACTGAGGAGACTGATGAGACTGAGGAGACTGAGGAGACTGAGGAGACTGAGGAGACTGAGGAGACTGAGGAGACTGATGAGACTGATGAGACTGAGGAGACTGAGGAGACTGAGGAGACTGAGGAGACTGAGGAGACTGATGAGACTGATGAGACTGAGGAGACTGAGGAGACTGAGGAGACTGAGGAGACTGAGGAGACTGAGGAGACTGAGGAGACTGAGGAGACTGAGGAGACTGAGGAGACTGATGAGACTGAGGAGACTGATGAGACTGATGAGACTGAGGAGACTGAGGAGACTGATGAGACTGAGGAGACTGAGGAGACTGATGAGACTGATGAGACTGAGGAGACTGAGGAGACTGATGAGACTGATGAGACTGATGAGACTGAGGAGACTGAGGAGACTGATGAGACTGATGAGACTGAGGAGACTGATGAGACTGAGGAGACTGAGGTGACTGAGGAGACTGATGAGACTGATGAGACTGAGGAGACTGAGGAGACTGAGGAGACTGATGAGACTGAGGAGACTGAGGAGACTGATGAGACTGATGAGACTGATGAGACTTGAGGAGACTAACGAGACTGAAGAGTCCTGGTCTTTACGGTCTAGTTTTATGATGTGTTAATGTGTTTATGACGTTGATATAAACTCTGTCGTTGATCAGATAAAGTTCATAACAGACAAACAGAACACAGCTACCTCCAGGTCAGAGGTGTGACGCTCAGCAGGGCCAGCCCTGGTCAGAGCTGTGATGGGAGACTCTGTAGGATATGTCAATGATCAAAACAAGAGCAATGTGCTGACACCTGGACCAGTCCTGGGTAGTCCTGGTTTAGTCCTGGTTCTGTCCTGGTTCAGTCCTTGTTCAGTACTGGTCTTATCCTGGTTCAGTCCTCGTGTTTCTCTTTCCACAGCTCGGATCCAGTCCCAGTTGAACCTGGTCGGGTTTGATGTGACGTCCATTTTGAAGCTGGAGGAGGAGGTGGAGGAGGAGAAGGAGGTGGAGGAGGAGGAGCCAAGGTTCAGGTCTGAGGAGCACTCATCATGTTATTACTTCTTTCGCCAAATAAATGTTTTTTTAGTTTCAAATGTCATCATTAAGCTGCTCTGTGCAGATCTCACATGTACAGTTCATGCAAGGCAGCCCAGGAAAGAGACCAGAGAGAGACTAGAGAGACTGATGAGGAGACTGAGGAGACTGAAGAGTCCTGATTTTTACGGTCTAGTTTTATGATGTGTTTAAAGAACTTATGCCGGGTTTGATTTATTTAGAAATACAGTTTTAATACCATTTTATATTAGAAGAGAACTACTAAAGGTTTCAAAATCAGTTGTTGTTTTTTTTGTCTGATCCCCCCAATTCGAAATAACCCCATAGCAACGCCCTTAGAAACGAAAAAACTTCACAGCCCTTGGTGACGTCAGAGTGGGTACGTTTCAACGCTGTAAGTTGTTTACAATTTGGTATTCGTTCATTTTTCGCGGATATTCAAGTTGACAAGGCCGTGTACAGCGGGTTTGAGTTACTACTAGATTTTTATTCTTCGTTGTCACTGAGACAGTCCAGTGGTTGTGTCGATGGACTGTCAATCCAGATACTTAGGTTCAAATCCCACCTCAGACACATTTTTACTCTAAAAACGGCAATTTATGTGTAGTGAGCAATTGTCACCTGTAGAGGGCAGTATTGTGTTGGGCATCAGTGGAGAGAAGAGAGAAAAGGCAGTCCTGTGGCATAGATCCATGGTTTTCAATGCATGGGCGTTACCCGCTGTGACGTCACACACAGGTTAGAGCATAGACAGCTTAAATTCATGAAAAACAGGTTCTTTTTATAAAATATAGGATTTTTTTTGCCGGAATCTATTTCAGATTGACATTGTCATGCAATTTTGATATCCACAATTAAAAAAAAAAAAAAACCCGCATAAGGTCTTTAATGTGTTTATGACGTTGATATAAACTCTGTCGTTGATCAGATAAAGTTCATAACAGACAAACAGAACACAGCTACCTCCAGGTCAGAGGTGTGACCAGAGAGACACCCGAGAGAGACCAGAGAGAGATCAGACAGAGAGACCAGAGAGAGAGACCAGAGAGAGACCAGAGAGAGATCAGACAGAGAGACCAGAGAGAGAGACCAGAGAGAGACACCAGAGAGAGAGACCAGAGAGAGATCAGACAGAGAGACCAGAGAGAGAGACCAGAGAGAGACCAGAGAGAGATCAGACAGAGAGACCAGAGAGAGAGACCAGAGAGAGAGACACCAGAGAGAGACCAGAGAGAGAGACCAGAGAGAGACCAGAGAGAGACCAGAGAGAGAGACCAGAGAGAGAGACACGAGAGAGACACCCGAGAGAGACCAGAGAGAGAGACATGAGAGAGAGACTAGAGAGAGACCAGAGAGACCAGAGAGCGAGACCAGAGAGCGAGACCAGAGAGCGAGACCAGAGAGCGAGACCAGAGAGCGAGACCAGAGAGCGAGACCAGAGAGAGAGACTAGAGAGAGAGACTAGAGACTAGAGAGAGACTAGAGAGAGACCAGAGAGCGAGACCAGAGAGAGAGACCAGAGAGCGAGACCAGAGAGAGAGACACGAGAGAGAGACCAGAGAGAGACCAGAGAGCGAGACCAGAGAGAGAGACACGAGAGAGAGACCAGAGAGAGACCAGAGAGCGAGACCAGAGAGAGAGACACGAGAGAGAGACCAGAGAGAGACCAGAGAGAGCTGGGGGATGGAGACTTATGAACAGGGTCAGAAGAGGAGTTTCTGACACCTTTATTTGACAGCAGACTTCACACGACCACAATGACCCTGATGTTACCCTGTTCCCTCAGTGCTCACCCCGCTCTCCTGCCCCCACCCCCTTCCCTGAGAGCCCCTCTGCCCCCCTCCTCCGTCCCCTCGGCCTCCAGCGCCGTGTGGCAGTCCTTCTCGCCCCGCACCGAGTTCCAGACCAAGAAGTTCCACTACGGCAGCTTCCCGGCGGACTTCCTGTGGGGGGTCCAGTCCTCGGCCTATCAGGTGGAAGGGGGCTGGGACGCTGACGGGAAGGGGGCCTCAGTTTGGGACACCTTCACGCAGAGGAACTCGTCTGGGATCCCGGAGAAGGCGACCGGGAACGTGGCCTGTGACAGCTACAACAGACTGGACCAGGACCTGGAGCTGATCCAGGCCTCGGGGGTCTCAGCGTACAGCTTCTCTCTGTCCTGGGCCAGACTCTTCCCCCGCGGGGACGGAGACCACAACCCTGCTGGTACAACCTCTCCCTGGTCTCTCTCAGCTCTCTCTGGTCTCTCTCAGCTCTCTCTGGTCTCTCTCTAGTCTCTCTCTAGTCTCTCTCTAGTCCCTCTCTCTGGTCACTGGTCCCTCTCTCTGGCATTTCCCTCTCTCTCCCTGGTTTCTCAGTCTCTTTCTCTGGTCTCGCTTTGGCCTCCCTCTACCCTCTCTCTCTCTTGTCTCTCTCTGGTCCCTGTCTCTGGTCTCTCTCTCTCTAGTCACTCTTTCTGATCTCTCTGGTCCCTCCCTCTGGTCTCTCTTTGGTCTCTCTCTGGTCTCTCTCTGGCCTCTCTCTGGCCTCTCGCTGGCCTCTCTCTGGTCTCTCTCTGGTCTCTCTCTGGTCTCTCTCTGGCCTCTCTCTGGCCTCTCTCTGGCCTCTCTCTGGCCTCTCTCTGGTCTCTCTCTGGTCTCTCTCTGGTCTCTCTCTGCTCTCTCTCTGCTCTGTAACTGGTGTGTTATGGTTTCAGGAGTGCAGTATTACAATTCCCTGGTGGACGGGCTGCTGAGGCTGAAGGTGGTGCCGGTGGTTAGCCTGCATCACTGGGACCTGCCTCAGTCGCTGCAGGACCATGGGGGCTGGAGAAACCGCTCCATGGTCCATCTCTTCACCCGCTACGCAGACTTCTGCTACCGCACCTTTGGAGACCGCGTCAAGCTCTGGATCACCATCAACGACCCCCTCAGCCTGGCCTGGAGAGGCTACGGGACCGGGGAGTTCCCACCTGGTGTGAAGGTGAGAGACCAGAGGAAGACCAGAGAGAGAGCTGAGGGTAAACCAGAGAGAGAGACCAGACAGAGACTAGAGAGAGACCAGAGAGAGACCAGAGGGAGAGCTGAGAGAGACCAGAGAGAGACCAGAGAGAGACCAGAGAGAGCTGAGAGAGACCAGAGAGAGAGACCAGAGAGAGACAAGAGAGAGACAAGAGAGAGAGCTGAGAGAGACCAGAGAGAGAGACTAGAGGGAGTCCAGAGAGACCAGAGAGAGACCATTAACACCTCCCCGCAGTGACCTTTGACCTCTGACCCCTCCCACAGGACCCTGGTGTGACCCCGTACCATGTGGCCCACACTCTGCTCCTCGCCCACGCTGGTGCATACCATGCCTACACACCGTACCGCGTGTCTCAGGGCGGGTCGGTGAGTATCGCTCTGAGGGGAGACTGGTATGAGCCCCTGGACCTCACTGTCCCCCGGGAGCTGGAGGCTGCAGACAGAGGCATGCAGTTCACTCTGGGCTGGTTCGCTCACCCCATCTTTAGAAACGGAGATTACCCGGAGGCCATGAAGGAGGCTGTGGGCAACAAGAGCGAGCTGCAGAGGCTGAAGGGTGAGACCAGGACGACACATAATGAGGAGAGGGGACCCACAACCAGGACAGAGACAGAGAGACAGAGGAGTACACATTATCAGGACAGAGAGAGACCAGGAGGACACATAACCAGGACAGAGATACCTGTAGAGAGAGACCAGGAGGACACATAACCAGGACAGAGATAGAGAGAGACCAGGAGGACACATAACCAGGACAGAGTGTAGGACCAGGAGGACACATAACGAGGACAGACACATAACTCCAGCTCTCCCTTGCTCCCTCAGAGACCCGTCTGCCCGTGTTCTCGGAGCAGGAGATGCTCCAGGTCCGCGGTTCGGCTGACGTCTTCTGTCTGATTCACCAAACCACAAGAATCGCTAAGTACTCGACTCAGCGGCTGAAACCGGCCTCCTACCTGTACGACCGCGACCTGACTGAGGCCGAGCTCACGGACTACCCTCAGACCGAAGTCCCAGGGCAGAGGGCCGTGTCCTGGGGCCTCAGGCGGGTCCTGGCCTGGGTCCGGGACGAGTACGGAGACCCAGAGGTTTACGTCACAGAGAACGGAGTGAGCACCAAGAGAGACGAGGGAGACGAGGACACAGAGCGAGTGTTCTTCATCCAGACCTACATCAACGAGGCCCTCAAAGGTAAGCAGACTAAAGCAGACTAAAGCAGGCCTAAAGCAGGCCTAAAGCAGGCCTAAAGCAGGCCTAAAGCAGGTCTAAAGCAGGTCTAAAGCAGGTCTAAAGCAGGTCTAAAGCAGGACTAAAGCAGGTCTAAAGCAGGTCTAAAGCAGGCCTAAAGCAGGCCTAAAGCAGGTCTAAAGCAGGACTAAAAAAGGTCTAAAGCAGGACTAAAGCAGGACTACAGCAGGTCTAAAGCAGGTCTAAAGCAGGCCTAAAGCAGGCCTCAAGCAGGCCTAAAGCAGGTCTAAAGCAGGTCTAAAGCAGGACTAAAGTAGGTCTAAAGCAGGTCTAAAGCAGGACTAAAGTAGGTCTAAAGCAGGTCTAAAGCAGGTCTAAAGCAGGACTAAAGCTGGCCTAAAGCAGGTCTAGAGCAGGACTAAAGCAGGTCTAAAGCAGGACTAAAGTAGGTCTAAAGCAGGTCTAAAGCAGGTCTAAAGCAGGACTAAAGCAGGTCTAAAGCAGGACTAAAGTAGGTCTAAAGCAGGTCTAAAGCAGGACTATAGCAGGCCTAAAGCAGGTCTAGAGCAGGATTAAAGCAGCTCTAAAGCAGGACTAATGCAGGTCTAAAGCAGGTCTAAAGCAGGTCTAAAGCAGGACTAAGGCAGGACTACAGCAGGACTAAAGCAGGACTAAAGCAGGTCTACAGCAGGCCTAAAGCAGGTCTGAAGCAGGACTAAAGCAGGACTAAAAAAGGTCTAAAGCAGGTCTAAAGCAGGTCTAAAGCAGGACTACAGCAGGACTAAAGCAGGACTAAAGCAGGTCTACAGCAGGACTAAAGTAGGTTTAAAGCAGGTCTAAAGCAGGTCTAAAGCAGGTCTAAAGCAGGACTACAGCAGGACTAAAGCAGGTCTAAAGCAGGTCTAAAGCAGGACTACAGCAGGTCTAAAGCAGGTCTAACCCACAATAATGGAAATGTGAGAAAACGTCATTCTCTCCTCTTCCTCCTCCTCTCCTTTTTCTCTTCCTCCTCCTCTCTTCCTTCTCCTCCTCACCTCCTCCTCTCCTCCTCAGCTCAGAGCCTGGATGGGGTGAAGTTGCGTGGGTACCTGGGAGCTCCTCTCATGGACTCCTTTGAGTGGCTGCAGGGGTACATCGTGGGTCAAGGTTTGCACCAAGTGGACTTCACCAAACCAGAAAGGCCGAGGACCATGAAGACCTCAGCACACGCCTACCGCACCATTGTCCAGAACAATGGCTTTCCACCTGGTAGAGACCAGACCCCGATCTACGGGTTCTTCAGAGAGGACATGATGTGGAGCACCGCCACAGCCTCCTACCAGGTCCAGAGAGAGTCCAGAGAGAGACCTGAGAGAGACCTGAGAGAGACCTGAGAGAGACCTGAGAGAGACCTGAGAGAGACCAGAGAGAGACCAGAGAGAGACCAGAGAGAGACCAGAGAGAGGCCAGAGAGAGACCAGAGAGAGACCAGAGAGAGACCAGGGAGAGACCAGAGAGAGACCAGAGAGAGACCAGAGAGAGACCAGGGAGAGACCAGAGATACGGACCAGAGATACAAACCAGATACAGACCAGAGAGAGACGTTGAAGGACAATAAACGGTTAAAGCACTGGGTATGGAGACTTATGATTAGGGTCAGAAGAGGATTCTCTAACCACATTATCATTTGAACAGAGGAACCCTGTGTCCAAAAATAGGGCTGACTGTAGTACCTGTGTTCACAGATAGGGCTGACTGTAGTACCTGTGTTCACAGATAGGGCTGAATGTGGTACCTGTGTCCACAGATAGAGCTGACTGTAGTACCTGTGTTCACAGATAGAGCTGACTGTAGTACCTGTGTTCACAGATAGGGCTGACTGTGGTACCTGTGTTCACAGATAGAGCTGACTGTAGTACCTGTGTTCACAGATAGGGCTGACTGTGGTACCTGTGTTCACAGATAGAGCTGACTGTAGTACCTGTGTTCACAGATAGGGCTGACTGTAGTACCTGTGTTCACAGATAGAGCTGACTGTAGTACCTGTGTTCACAGATAGGGCTGACTGTAGTACCTGTGTTCACAGATAGAGCTGACTGTAGTACCTGTGTTCACAGATAGGGCTGAATGTGGTACCTGTGTCCACAGATAGAGCTGACTGTAGTACCTGTGTTCACAGATAGGGCTGAATGTGGTACATGTGTTCACAGATAGAGCTGACTGTAGTATCTGTGTCCACAGATAGAGCTGACTGTAGTACCTGTGTTCACAGATAGAGCTGACTGTAGTATCTGTGTCCACAGATAGAGCTGACTGTGGTACCTGTGTCCACAGATAGAGCTGACTGTGGTATCTGTGTTCACAGATAGGGCTGAATGTGGTACCTGTGTCCACAGATAGAGCTGACTGTAGTACCTGTGTTCACAGATAGGGCTGAATGTGGTACCTGTGTTCACAGATAGAGCTGACTGTGGTATCTGTGTTCACAGATAGAGCTGACTGTAGTATCTGTGTCCACAGATAGAGCTGACTGTAGTACCTGTGTTCACAGATAGGGCTGACTGTGGTACCTGTGTTCACAGATAGAGCTGACTGTAGTACCTGTGTTCACAGATAGGGCTGACTGTAGTACCTGTGTTCACAGATAGAGCTGACTGTAGTACCTGTGTTCACAGATAGGGCTGACTGTAGTACCTGTGTTCACAGATAGAGCTGACTGTAGTACCTGTGTTCACAGATAGGGCTGAATGTGGTACCTGTGTCCACAAATAAAGCTGACTGTAGTACCTGTGTTCACAGATAGGGCTGAATGTGGTACCTGTGTCCACAGATAGAGCTGACTGTAGTACCTGTGTTCACAGATAGGGCTGAATGTGGTACATGTGTTCACAGATAGAGCTGACTGTAGTATCTGTGTCCACAGATAGAGCTGACTGTGGTACCTGTGTCCACAGATAGAGCTGACTGTGGTATCTGTGTTCACAGATAGGGCTGAATGTGGTACCTGTGTCCACAGATAGAGCTGACTGTAGTACCTGTGTTCACAGATAGGGCTGAATGTGGTACCTGTGTTCACAGATAGAGCTGACTGTAGTATCTGTGTCCACAGATAGAGCTGACTGTGGTACCTGTGTCCACAGATAGAGCTGACTGTAGTACCTGTGTTCACAGATAGAGCTGACTGTAGTACCTGTGTTCACAGATAGGGCTGACTGTAGTACCTGTGTTCACAGATAGAGCTGACTGTAGTACCTGTGTTCACAGATAGGGCTGACTGTAGTACCTGTGTTCACAGATAGAGCTGACTGTGGTACCTGTGTTCACAGATAGGGCTGAATGTGGTACCTGTGTCCACAGATAGGGCTGACTGTAGTAGTTGTGTTCACAGATAGAGCTGACTGTGGTACCTGTGTTCACAGATAGAGGGCGCCTGGCGAGCGGACGGTAAGGGCCTCAGTATCTGGGACACGTTCGCTCATACTCCGCTGCGTGTTTCGGACGATGACACCGGAGACGTGGCGTGTGACAGTTACCATAGATACGAGGAGGACGTTCGAATGCTGAAGGAGCTCGGGGTGGGATTCTACCGCTTCTCCATCGCCTGGTCCAGAGTCCTGCCCGACGGCACAACAGCACACGTCAACGAGCCGGGGCTGCAGTACTACGAGAGGCTGGTGGACGCGCTGCTGCGGGAGGGCATCAAGCCACAGGTGAGGTGTGGTGGCGAGCTATCCAGGTGAGGTGTGGTGGCGAGCTCGTCAGCAGCAGCAGCAGCAGCAGCAGCAGCAGTAACCCTCTCTCCTCAGGTGACCCTGTACCACTGGGACCTGCCTCAGTCCCTGCAGGATGTTGGGGGGTGGGAGAACGTGACTGTGGTGCAGCGTTTCACAGAGTACGCAGACCTCATGTTCTCACGACTCGGGGACAAAGTCAAGTTCTGGATCACCATCAACGAGCCCTACATCATCTCCAATGTAGGGCACGGGTACGGGGCCGCAGCTCCAGGTGAGACACACAAAAAGACACACACAAACACACACTCTCTCAGTCACAGTGCCGCTCTCAGGGTTTCAGTCTCTCACAATCTCAGTCTGGTCTCTGGGTCTTTCAGCCTTGGTTTCCCGTTCTCACGCTCTTTAGGTCTCGCTCTCTGGGGCTCAGTCTCAGTCTCTCTCACTCTCTCTGTCTCAGTCTTACTCTCCCGGTCTCAGTCTCAGTCTCTCTCTCTGGGACTCAGTCTCGCTCTCTGGGGCTCAGTCTCAGTCTCTCTCACTCTCTCTGTCTCAGTCTTACTCTCCCGGTCTCAGTCTCAGTCTCTCTCTCTGGGACTCAGTCTCGCTCTCTGGGGCTCAGTCTCAGTCTCTCTCACTCTCTCTGTCTCTGTCTTACTCTCCCGGTCTCAGTCTCAGTCTCTCTCTCTGGGTCTCAGTCTCTCTCTCCGGGTCTCAGTCTCGCTCTCGGAGGCTCAGTCTCTGTCTCCCTCTCTGGTTCTCAGTCATAGTCTCTCTCTCGGTCTCAGTCTCCCTTTCTGGGTCTCAGTCTCAGTCCCTCTCTCGGCCTCAGTCTCCTTTTCTGGGTCTCAGACTCAGTCTCTCTCTCTGGGTCTCAGTTTCAGTCTCTCTCTCTGGGTCTCAGTCTCGGTCTCCCTCTCTAGGTCTCAGTCTCAGTCTCTCTCTTGGTCTCAGTCTCAGTTTCTGGGTCTCAGTCTCAGTCCCTCTCTCTGGGTCTCAGGGATCTCGTTCCGTCCCGGGACACTGCCGTACATCGTGGGTCATCACCTGCTGAAGTCTCACGCTGAGGCCTGGCACCTGTACGACCAGAAGTACCGACCCACTCAGAAGGGACAGATCTCCATCACCCTCAACTCAGACTGGGCTGAACCCAGGAACCCGTCCAAACAGGAGGACCACGACGCCGCCCGCAGGATGGTGGAGGTACTGCAGACCTGACCCTCTGATGTATACTGAGACCTGACCCTCTGATGTATACTGAGACCTGACCCTCTGATGTATACTGAGACCTGACCCTCTGATGTATACTGAGACCTGACCCTCTGTGATGTATACTGAGACCTGACCCTCTGATGTATACTGAGACCTGACCCACTGATGTATACTGAGACCTGACCCTCTGTGATGTATACTGAGACCTGACCCTCTGATGTATACTGAGACCTGACCCTCTGATGTATACTGAGACCTGACCCTCTGTGATGTATACTGAGACCTGACCCTCTGTGATGTATACTGAGACCTGACCCTCTGTGATGTATACTGAGACCTGACCCTCTGTGATGTATACTGAGACCTGACCCTCTGTGATGTATACTGAGACCTGACCCTCTGATGTATACTGAGACCTGACCCTCTGTGATGTATACTGAGACCTGACCCTCTGTGATGTATACTGAGACCTGACCCTCTGTGATGTATACTGAGACCTGACCCCTCTGTGATGTATACTGAGACCTGACCCTCTGATGTATACTGAGACCTGACCCTCTGTGATGTATACTGAGACCTGACCCTCTGATGTATACTGAGACCTGACCCTCTGATGTATACTGAGACCTGACCCTCTGATGTATACTGAGACCTGACCCACTGATGTATACTGAGACCTGACCCTCTGTGATGTATACTGAGACCTGACCCACTGATGTATACTGAGACCTGACCCTCTCTGTCTCAGTTCCAGCTCGGGTGGTTCGCTCATCCTGTGTTTGTGGGCGACTACAGCCCCCTCATGAAGACCATCATCGGCAACCGCAGCCTCGCCGCGGGACTACCCAAGTCCAGGTGGGACTTGCTTTAGACCCGCTTTAGACCTGATTTAAACCTGCTTTAGACCTGGGTCTCATTTGTGTCCCCCCCCCTCTCTGCCCCTCTCTGCAGGTTGCCTGAGTTCACCCCAGAGGAGATCATTCGGATCAGAGGGACTCATGATTACTTTGGCTTTAACCACTACACGACCAAACGGGCCTATCCCCTGGAGTACGGCAACCTGCAGCACTATGACGGAGACCGGTGTGTGTCCATGGCAACACACCCAATTCACCACAACACATAATACAAACACTACAGAACCCTGCAGTAGGATGGAGACCGGTGAATGTTCACGGCTACACAACGCACAACAACAACACACACCCAACGGTTCTGTTGTTAGCCTGGTTCTCTCGTTAGCTTGGCTCTCTTGTTAGCATGGTGCTCTTGTTAGCATGGTTCTCTTGTTAGCATGGTGCTCTTGTTAGCATGGTTCTCTCTGGTTCAGGTCGGCGGGGACCTTGGTGGACCGGGCCTGGCTGGACTCAGGCTCTGGTTGGCTCAAAGTGACTCCGTTCGGGTTCAGGAGGATCCTAAACTTCATCAAAGAGAACTACGGAGATCCTCCTGTGGTCGTGACGGAGAACGGAGTGAGTCAGAGAGAGTTCAACATGAACGACGAGCTGCGGCAGCACTACTACCAAGAGTACACCAACCAGCTGCTCAAAGGTACTACTACTACTACCACCAAGAGTACACCAACCAGCTGCTCAAAGGTACTACTACTACTACCACCAAGAGTACACCAACCAGCTGCTCAAAGGTACTACTACTACTACCAAGAGTACACCAACCAGCTGCTCAAAGGTACTACTACTACTACCAAGAGTACACCAACCAGCTGCTCAAAGGTACTACTACTACTACTACTACTACTACCAAGAGTACACCAACCAGCTGCTCAAAGGTACTACTACTACTACCAAGAGTACACCAACCAGCTGCTCAAAGGTACTACTACTACTACCAAGAGTACACCAACCAGCTGCTCAAAGGTACTACTACTACTACTACTACTACCAAGAGTACACCAACCAGCTGCTCAAAGGTACTACTACTACTACCAAGAGTACACCAACCAGCTGCTCAAAGGTACTACTACTACTACTACTACTACCAAGAGTACACCAACCAGCTGCTCAAAGGTACTACTACTACTACCAAGAGTACACCAACCAGCTGCTCAAAGGTACTACTACTACTACTACTACTACTACCAAGAGTACACCAACCAGCTGCTCAAAGGTACTACTACTACTACTACTACTACCAAGAGTACACCAACCAGCTGCTCAAAGGTACTACTACTACTACTACTACTACCAAGAGTACACCAACCAGCTGCTCAAAGGTACTGCTACTACTACTACTACTACTACTACTACTACTACTACTACTACCAAGAGTACACCAACCAGCTGCTCAAAGGTACTACTACTACTACCAAGAGTACACCAACCAGCTGCTCAAAGGTACTACTACTACTACTACTACTACCAAGAGTACACCAACCAGCTGCTCAAAGGTACTACTACTACTACTACTACTACCAAGAGTACACCAACCAGCTGCTCAAAGGTACTACTACTACTACTACTACTACCAAGAGTACACCAACCAGCTGCTCAAAGGTACTACTACTACTACCAAGAGTACACCAACCAGCTGCTCAAAGGTACTACTACTACTACTACTACTACTACCAAGAGTACACCAACCAGCTGCTCAAAGGTACTACTACTACTACTACTACTACCAAGAGTACACCAACCAGCTGCTCAAAGGTACTACTACTACTACTACTACCAAGAGTACACCAACCAGCTGCTCAAAGGTACTGCTACTACTACTACTACTACTACTACTACTACTACCAAGAGTACACCAACCAGCTGCTCAAAGGTACTACTACTACTACTACTACTACCAAGAGTACACCAACCAGCTGCTCAAAGGTACTACTACTACTACTACTACTACCAAGAGTACACCAACCAGCTGCTCAAAGGTACTACTACTACTACTACTACTACCAAGAGTACACCAACCAGCTGCTCAAAGGTACTGCTACTACTACTACTACTACTACTACTACCAAGAGTACACCAACCAGCTGCTCAAAGGTACTACTACTACTACTACTACTACCAAGAGTACACCAACCAGCTGCTCAAAGGTACTACTACTACTACTACTACTACCAAGAGTACACCAACCAGCTGCTCAAAGGTACTACTACCAAGAGTACACCAACCAGCTGCTCAAAGGTACTGCTACTACTACTACTACTACTACTACTACTACTACCAAGAGTACACCAACCAGCTGCTCAAAGGTACTACTACTACTACTACTACTACCAAGAGTACACCAACCAGCTGCTCAAAGGTACTACTACTACTACTACTACTACCAAGAGTACACCAACCAGCTGCTCAAAGGTACTGCTACTACTACTACTACTACCAAGAGTACACCAACCAGCTGCTCAAAGGTACTACTACTACTACCAAGAGTACACCAACCAGCTGCTCAAAGGTACTGCTACTACTACTACTACTACCAAGAGTACACCAACCAGCTGCTCAAAGGTACTACTACTACTACTACTACTACTACCAAGAGTACACCAACCAGCTGCTCAAAGGTACTGCTACTACTACTACTACTACTACTACTACCAAGAGTACACCAACCAGCTGCTCAAAGGTACTACTACTACTACCAAGAGTACACCAACCAGCTGCTCAAAGGTACTGCTACTACTACTACTACTACTACTACTACTACTACTACTACCAAGAGTACACCAACCAGCTGCTCAAAGGTACTACTACTACTACCAAGAGTACACCAACCAGCTGCTCAAAGGTACTACTACTACTACTACTACTACTACCAAGAGTACACCAACCAGCTGCTCAAAGGTACTACTACTTCTACCAAGAGTACACCAACCAGCTGCTCAAAGGTACTGCTACTACTACTACTACTACTACTACTACCAAGAGTACACCAACCAGCTGCTCAAAGGTACTGCTACTACTACTACTACTACTACTACCAAGAGTACACCAACCAGCTGCTCAAAGGTACTACTACTACTACCAAGAGTACACCAACCAGCTGCTCAAAGGTACTGCTACTACTCCTACTACTACTACTACTACTACCAAGAGTACACCAACCAGCTGCTCAAAGGTACTGCTACTACTACTACTACTACTACTACTACAAGAGTACACTTTCTGGTCTCTTTCTGTCTCTCTTGGTCTCTGGTCTCTCTGTTCTCTGGTCTTTCTTTCCGCTGTCGAGCAAAGCGTGTCTAGCGTCTGTCTCTGGTTGCTATCTCTGGTTTTTGTCTTTTCTGAGTCTTGCCCCGGACACTTTACAAGTATGGAACTGATTACTGGTCCTCACGCAATTGATTCTATCTTTTCACGTAAGCGTGGTCTGAGCGCCGTGTGCCGGACGGGATTCTGCGGGGTATCTTTGCAGCTGGCCAGTGGCGCTCTGTCTGTGACGTCCATTGAAGCTTCGGTAGCGTCTATCTCTTGGCTTTCTGGTGGTGGGTCTCTCTCTGGTTGGCTCGGTTTCTGTCTCTCCTCTTCGTGGCTGCGTTCTCTGATTCTCGCCTCTGGCCACCCATTGTGGGTCAGGTCTTGGCGTCGTGGTTGAGCGTGCTCTCTGGTCCTCGATGGTCTTTGGTGAACTCTGCTAAGTCTCGCAGCTCGTCTCTCGCTGGGAATACTCTTGAGTCTCTAGCTTGATGACTTGTGTGTCAGGTTGACTCTCTGCGGTCTGGCTTTGCCTGTGTCGGGGTCTGCTGGCTCGCTCTCGGTTCTCTCTGGTCTCATCGAATATCTGGTCTCTCTTGTCTGTCTCATGCTCTCTCTTGGTCTCTCTCCTGGTGTCTTTCTTTCTCTCTGGTCTCTTCTCTGGTCTCTCTCTGGGCCCTAATACTAGGTCTCTACAACTCACTCTTTCGTTCGTCGCTCGGTCTCTCTCCGGCTCCTCTCTATCTCTGCTCTCCTCGCTCCTCTCATGTGTTCTCGCTCTCCCTCTCTGGCCTCCCACTCTGCGCCATTGGGCTCTGTCGTGGTCTCATCCAGAAGAATCTCGTGGTCTATCAAGCAATGTGTCTCTCAGTCTGTGTCTCCTGTATGTATTGCTCTTGGTCTCTCTACTGTTCTGTCGCTGGCGCCGCTGATGGCCCGTGGTCAGCTCTGGTGTGTCGTCTTCTCTGTCTGGTGCCCGGTGTCTCTTGCCGTTTCTCATGTGGTTTTCTGCATGGTCAATCTGATCTGATCCTGATCTGCTCTCTCTGGTCTCTCTCTGGTCTCTCTGGTCTCTCTCTGGTCTCTCTCTGGTCTCTTCTGTCTCTCTCTGGTCTCTCTCTGGTCTCTCTCTGGTCTCTCTCTGGTCTCTCTTCTTGGTCTCTCTCTGGTTCTCTCTGGTCTCTCTCTGGTCTCTCTCTGGTCTCTCTTGGTCTCTCTCTCTGGTCTCTCTCTGGTCTCTCTCTGGTCTCTCTCTGGTCTCTCTCTGGTCTCTCTTGGTCTCTCTCTCTGGTCTCTCTCTGGTCTCTGGTCTCTCTGGTCTCTCTCTGGTCTCTCTCTGGTCTCTCTCTGGTCTCTCTCTGGTTCTCTCTCTGGTCTCTCTCTGGTCTCTCTCTGGTCTCTCTCTGGTCTCTCTCTGGTCTCTCTCTGGTCTCTCTCTGGTCTCTCTCTGGTCTCTGGTCTCTCTTGGTCTGCTCTCTGGTCTCTCTTGGTCTCTCTTGGTCTCTGGGTCTTTCCTGTCTCTCTCTGGACTCTTCTGGTCTCTTGGTCTCTCTCTTGTCTCATCTCTGGTCTCTCTTTGGTCTCTCTGGTTTCTCTAGTCTCTCTCTGGTCTCTTTCCTGTTCTCTTCGGGTCTCTACTGGTTCTCTGGTCTCTCTCTGGGTCTCTTGGTCTCTCTCTGGTCTCTCTGGTCTCTCTCTGGACTCATTTCTGTCTCTTCGGGTCTTCTTCTGGTACTACTGGTCTCTCTTTAGTCTCTCTCTGGTTTCTTTACCTGTCTCTCGGGTCTCTTCTGGTCTCTTGGTCTCTCTTGGTCTCTCTTGGTCTCTCTGGTCTCTCTCTGTTCTTCTCTGGTCTCTCTCTGGTCTCTCTGGTCTCTCTTGTTCTCTGGTCTCTCTTGGTCTCTCTTGTTCTCTCTGTTTCTCTGGTCCTCTCTGGTTCTCTCTGTTCTCATTGGTCTCTCTGTTTCTCTGTTTCTCTGGTCTCTCTGGTCTCTGGTTCATGTCCTCAGGCTGGGGATCGTCTCCGTCCATCTGAGGACAACCTGTTGATTGTCTGGAGCAGAGGCTGCTTCAGTTTGGTGCAAACAGTTCCAGCCAAAGGCTTCATCAGAGCGGACAGGAGCGAGTGCAGCTGCAGGAGGGCGAGCAGTACGTGGTCCTGGACAGTGGAGGTACCGTGACGGTCACCATGACAAAGGTATCCTAGCACAAGCTGTCAGGATTTCTGTGTTTCAGGAGGAACCATCGACATTACAGATCATGAAGTCCTTGAAGGGGAGCCTTCAAGAGCTGCAACAAAGCATCAGGACACAACAAGGCGGCGAAGAGTGACACAGAGGTATAACCAGTGTCTGAGAGAGTTCTTCTGTGGCGGTTGTGGGGAAGCTACGAGAGAGAGTTTCCAAGAGGCTCGCGGTTTGTGGAGGATTTACATTTCCATGCGCCCCACGAGCGTGTTTCTAAGACCACATCGACAGAAGTTTAAGGCCAAAGTTCACACGGCTCGAAAAGTTCAGGAAGAGGGCGACTCTCGTTCAAACCCTGGAAGGTGTGGCGCTGGAGGGGGACAAACTGAGGATCTCAGAGAAGAAGATGGAGTCTTTCTTCATGAGAGTTGGTCCACATCACTGACAGTCTGTGCGAGATCTGGACTCACATTCTCAGATACCGTACATTCTGTTAGTGGGAGGTTTCTCTCGAGCAGGATCCTCTGTGCCATGTGCGCAACAGTTCAGTGACGGGCAGAGTGCTGTGCCTAAGAACCTCAGGAGGCCATTAGAAGGGAGCTGTGGTGTTCGCACGAGACCAGGCGGTCATCGCTCTGCAAGAGCGCATTCACGTACGGCTACATCAGCTGCGCAGGTTTGATCAAGAATACATAAACCAGAGACGAAGTTGCCCACGCCGACGGGGATGGTGTGAGACCTGTTTGGAAAACTAGTGGAACTAGGAGACAGATGTGGATGGAACCACAGTGTAGCTATAACCTTAAAGCAATCACAGACAAATCACAACAGTCATGGATTTTGAGTTTCTACCGCACTGAGAGGCAGTTGTGACTAGTGGAAGAGTGGGGGGTGAGGGGTCCTGTGGCTGCTGTACTGTGGCCCATGCCAGACACAGCAAAGGCTGGATCGGTCGGTCAAATGGAGGTGTTCTTTGGCTCCCTGAGTCAGAGCCAAGGCCACCGACCTGGAGTCGAACTGCATGCTTCTGTCAAAATAGATTCATCGGGAAATGAACGATGATGTCCTGAGAACGTGAGGTTCCTTCAGTCTGTCCTTTGAATGGAGCTTCTGTTGGTTTGTCTGGTTTTTGTAGTGTCTCCAGGTCCCTGGTCTTTCGGTCTGGTCCTCTCCGGTCCTGTCCTCTCTGGTCCTGGTACTCTCGGTCCTGGTCCATCTCTGGTCCTGGTCCTCTCGATCTGGTCCTTACCACATAACGCCAAACAAAGCTGCTGACTGTGCCTTTAAACTTACATGTTGGATCTATTTACCAACAGTTGGAGCAGATCCTTCTCTCAATGTGAGCTCTTTGAGGTTTCTCCTTTCTCTCTTGGGTTTTTAAGTTGTTCGGGATTAGTATGCCTGTGGACTCTCGTGATTTGTGTTCTTACGGAGGAGGCTGAGCTCTCAGTCTGTGTTGTGTCTGTGATTCCTAAGACATGTCCAAACACAGATGATTCTGAGGTCTGTGTCGCTGTGATGATACTTTCACTTTACTTTAGCCGTGACTGCTGTGTCCACAGAAGGTCATTACACAACAGTTTCAAGCCCAACCAAGTGAACTGAAACTTCATGTTTCAATCTGATGATGCAGTGCTTTATTACGATCTTTGATGCTTCTAGCAATCGTTTCTTACAATCTGCACGCACGGTACAGGACAAGTTTAAGGAACAGGTTAACTGTATTATTTGATAGTAACTCACATCACCAGTTACATTGGACAGACCCGATGCCTTTAGTGTTAGAGCAAGACCCGGTCGTTATTCCACACTAGTCCCACGAAGGTTTTAGGCCAACCTGCACCCTTTCCAACTGTACACATAATAAACGTAATTAAATATTACGTTCCTAACCCTGTGCACAACGTTTCAGATGATTACAGATGTCTTCAGTTTCAGAGTCTGACGCAGATGTTTTTGTCTGTTTGTAGTTTTAGGTCAGTGGGAGCCGCGATTCCCAGTATAGATTCTGTTGTCGCACTACCACAGGGATTATCAATCACTTTAATCATCATGAATTCATACCAGATCATGCCATCTGGGCCAACGGTCAATTTCTGACAATCTATTGATTTTGTAGACGCGCGAGGCCAGGGACGGGAGAGGGGAGCTGCTCGTTGGAATCTGGTCAAGGAGCACGGTGCCGGTCATTCTACTCGTCCTATCAGAGTCATATCCGCGTATATCAGAGTCATCTCAGAGTGTCTAGAGGTCGTTCCAGCGAGTCAATCAGCGTAATATCCGAGTTTATCAGCGTTCTTACTCAGCGTCATCTCAGAGTCGTATCACAGCGTGTATCAGAGTGTATCAGAGTCCTACTCTCAGAGTCAAATCAGAGTCATATCCTAGAGTCTATTCGCGTCGACTCAGAGTGTCTATCCAGCGTCGTATCAGAGTCGTATCAGAGTCGTATCGAGTCATATCAGAGTGTATCCGAGCGTAGTATCAGCGTCGTATCCGAGACGTATTAGAGTCGTATCAGAGTGTATCAGAGGTCGATATCAGAGTCGTCCAGAGTAAGAGTCAGGAGAGGAGGGGTTTTGAGCGACTGTTACCATTCATCTCGGACTAAGAGGACTCCCATTGATAGACTCTTTTGTTTGTTCCATCCTTTAAATACGGGAGAGAGTGAGCAGTCGTCAGATCTATCGAGACGGCCGCGGTTGCGGTTGTATTTCCTGTATATGTACATTTACATGAAATAATAACCACACTTTTATTGTTTTACTATGGTTCTGGTGTTCGGAACCAGAAGTCCCATGACGAGGATCTGGTGTTGGACCAGGCAGCCCCACTGACGAGGAATCTGGTGTTCGGAACCCAGACAGCCCCTCTGACGAGGCTTGGACTAGGACCAGACAGCCCTAGACCGCGGCTTGGATTAGGCACCAGACGCCCCCATGACCGAGGCTCTGGACTTAGGAACAGACGGCCCCATGCCGAGGCTTGGACTTAGGAACCAGACAGCCCCCTGACGAGGCTCTGGTGTTAGGAACCAGACAGCCCCACTTGACCGAGGCTCTGGACCTAGGAACAGACAGCCCCTCTGACCGAGGCTCTGGATATCGGACCCAGACAGCCCCACTGACGAGGCTCTGGACTTAGGAACCGACCGCCCCCACTGCCGAGGCTTGGTGTTAGGAACCAGACAGTCCCCCTGACGAGGCTTGGTGTTAGGAACCAGACAGCCCCACTGACGAGGCTCTGGTGTTAGGAACCAGACAGCCCCACTGACCGAGGCTTGGTGTTAGGAACAGACAGCCCCTGCGAGGTCTGGATTCGGAACCAGACAGCCCTTGACGAGGCTCTGGACTTAGGAACCAGACAGCCCCACTGACGAGGTCTTGTGTTAGGCACCAGCCCGCCCACTGACGCGGCTTGGTGTTGGAACAGACAGCCCCCTGACCGAGGTCTAGGTGTTAGGCACAGCCGCCCACTGGCGAGGTCTGGTGTTAGGAACCAGACAGCCCCTCTGACGAGGCTTGGTGTTCGGAACCAGACAGCCCCTCTAGACCGAGGCTCTGGTGTTAGGAACCAGACAGCCCCCATGGCGAGGCTCTGGAGTTAGGAACCAGACAGTTTCCACTGACCAGGCTCTGGTGTTAGGAACCAGACAGCCCCACTGACCGAGGCTCTGGTGTTAAGGAACCAGACAGCCCACTGCCGAGGTCTGGTGTTAGGAACCAGACAGCCCCACTGACCGAGGCTCTGGATTAGGAACCAGACAGTTTCCACTGACGAGGCTCTGGTGTTAGCAACCAGACAGCCCCCACTGACCGAGGCTTGGTGTTAGGAACCAGACCGCCCCCACCGGCAACCGAGGCTCTGGTGTTAGGAACCAGACAGCCCCTGACTGAGGCTTGGTGTTAGGCTTCGCGAGCCTTGGCGTTGACCGACAGAGAGCAGCGGTGGAACGTGACAGTTAAACATTTAAAAAACCATTTCCTTGTGCAAAAGCGCTTACCAATGTTCAAATGTAAAAAGTTTATGTTTTTTAATGATGTCACCTCAAGGTTATCTGTCGTCGACCTTGATGGTGTACAGGGACTGACTTTAGAGTTGTCTGTGGCGTTTGCGACCCGAGGTCAGGCACGGAGCAGATGTGACAATATCTCATTCGACAGTCATACGACAGTTCTTCTTATGAAGCGGAAGCAGCTCAAGTTTGACTTGACTGTTTTACACCACTTTTCCCTGACTTTGGAACCTTTCACATGGTTGTAGATTATTCTACATACTTGGTCTCTTTCACCTCTTCAATTCTTTTCATGTCTATAATAACTGTCTCAAACTAAATATTTGACAATTGTGCTTTAGTTGAGACAAAATTGCAACAGTTTTTTTGACGTTTAAAGTCATATTGTGCTTGTTGAAGCCAAGTTAACATAATTACAAGGTTCAGTCAACTGCAACTACCTTCTCAAGATTTTAGAACAACAGGAAGGATGGACATAGGCTGAAGTGTTCGGGTGTCTGGCCGTATGGCTGTCTTGAGGATCGGTGTCATTACACTGTACACCTGACAAGTCAAGTTTACTTGAACAAAAACTTGCATATTAACTTCACTTGAATTTCGAGTACATCCTTTACTTGATATTACCAGGTAAACTCAGGTGATTGCGCTAAAGATTCAATTTCAAACTCATGTTCCAGCCGGAATTCGTATTCACCAACCTTAGGTCGTGTGCTACCATCAGCCCACGGGCCACCAGTCCACAATGTCAAAAGTGAGGCTTCTTGAACAGAGACAGTTCACTTCAAAGAAATCTTAGTGATATAGGAAAGCTTTAAATAAACGTACAATAAATGAGTAATATTCACTTACTGGGAAAAATCTATTTAAAATAACTTTGATATCTGAAGTACGATTGAAGTTAGGGTTTACAGTGTACAGCCGTTTTCCAGCAACTTGGGAATGTATTGGACCGGATTGACAGATTTACCAGATGTGTGATGGCTCTAACAGAGTGTGATGGGCTCTAACAGAGTGTGATGGGCTCTAACAGAGTGTGATGGGCTCTAACAGAGTGTGATGGGCTCTAACAGAGTGTGATGGGCTCTAACAGAGTATCTGTGTGTTTTTAATCAGTCCCAAAGACCTGTGCTCTGCCAACTGACCTACTGTCCCTACTTTAAATATTCCTAAATACTTGGTCTCTTTCACCAAGATCTAAGATCATGGATGTCTTTTGACATCGAGTTGCTCATGTTCATCTTGATTTTTATTTAACTTTGTCACGAGACACCTTCTTTATGCAAAATAAATGCAAGTTCATTCACAGAATCAATAAAGACATTGTTCAGAGCTTCTGCCATGGACTGGTTTGATTATGTCTCCTCGTGAAGGGACGGGTTAAAGGGACGGGTTAAAGGGACAGGTTAAAGGGACGGGTTAAAGGGACGGGTTAAAGGGACGGGTTAAAGGGACGGGTTAAAGGGACGGGTTAAAGGGACGGGTTAAAGGGACGGGTTAAAGGGACATGTTAAAGGGACGGGTTAAAGGGACGGGTTAAAGGGACGGGTTAAAGGGACGGGTTAAAGGGACAGGTTAAAGGGACGGGTTAAAGGGACGGGTTAAAGGGACGGGTTAAAGGGACGGGTTAAAGGGACGGGTTAAAGGGACAGGTTAAAGGGACGGGTTAAAGGGACGGGTTAAAGAGACAGGTTAAAGGGACGGGTTAAAGGGATGGGTTAAAGGGACGGGTTAAAGGGACGAGTTAAAGGGACGGGTTAAAGGGACAGGTTAAAGGGACGGGTTAAAGGGACGGGTTAAAGAGACAGGTTAAAGGGACAGGTTAAAGGGATGGGTTAAAGGGACGGGTTAAAGGGACGAGTTAAAGGGACGGGTTAAAGGGACGGGTTAAAGGGACAGTTTAAAGGGACGGGTTAAAGGGACGGGTTAAAGGGACAGGTTAAAGGGACAAGTTAAAGGGACGGGTTAAAGGGACGGGTTAAAGAGACGGGTTAAAGGGACGGGTTAAAGGGACGGGTTAAAGGGACAGGTTAAAGGGACGGGTTAAAGGGACGGGTTAAAGGGACGGGTTAAAGGGACCGGTTAAAGGGACGGGTTAAAGGGACAGGTTAAAGGGACGGGTTAAAGGGACGGGTTAAAGGGACAGATTAAAGGGACAGGTTAAAGGGACGGGTTAAAGGGACAGGTTAAAGAGACGGGTTAAAGGGACGGGTTAAAGAGTTTCCCTGATTGTTTCAATCAGGTCCCTTCTCCATGACTCAGCAGGGAGTCCAGCGGGTCTGATCCAGGACCTCAGTCCGGAAAGCCCCAGACCCGGACGACATCCCTCCTCAGGTCCTGAAACTGTGCTCCTGTTTTTACAAACATTTTCAACCTGTCCCTAAAGAACTGTCTGTGCTTTAAAGAGTCGACCATCACAGAAGGAGACCAGAGAGAGACCATAGAGACCATAGAGAGACCAGAGAGGGACCATAGAGACCAGAGAGAGACCAGAGAGGGACCAGAAAGAGACCAGAGAGAGAGACCAGAGAGAGACCAGAGAGAGAGACCAGAGAGAGAGACCAGAGAGAGACCAGAGAGAGACTAGAGAGGGATCAGAGAGAGACCAGAAAGGGACCAGAGAGAGACCAGAGAGAGACCAGAGAGGGACCAGAGAGAGACCAGAAAGGGACCAGAGAGAGACCAGAGAGAGACCAGAGAGAGACTAGAGAGGGACCAGAGAGAGACCAGAGAGGGACCAGAGAGGGACCAGAGAGAGACCAGAAAGGGTAGTAGTAATCTTTATTTATATACCGCCTTTTCACTGCAGATTTGAGTCTCAAAGCGGTTTACAATTGTTAATTTTTGGGCATTTGTCTCTCACTCCACACAGAGATGGGAGCGGGGCCAGTACAGGAGGCACATGCCAGAACTATTGGACATACTTTTAGTGATAGGGGAAACCGGAGTACCCGGAGGAAACCTACGCAGACACGGGGAGAACATGCAAACTCCACTCAGAAAGGCCCTGGTCCGACCGGGATTCGAACCCAGGACCTTCTTGCTGAGAGGCGAGATTGCTATCCACTCAGCCACCGTGCCGCCCAGAGAGAAGAAGGGACCAGAGAGAGCCCAGATAGAGACTAGAGAGGGACCAGAGAGAGACCAGAGAGGGACCAGAGAGAGACCAGAGAGGGACCAGAGAGGGACCAGAGAGAGAGAGCAGAGACCAGAGAGAGAGCAGAGACCAGAGAGAGACCAGAGAGAGACCAGAGAGGGACCAGAGAGGGACCAGAGAGAGACCAGAGAGGGACTAGAGAGGGACCAGAGAGAGACCAGAGAGAGACCAGAGAGAGAGACCAGAGAGAGAGACCAGAGAGAGACCAGAGAGAGACCAGAGAAGGACCAGAGAGAGACCAGAGAGGGACCAGAGAGGGACCAGAGAGAGAGACCAGAGAGAGAGAGCAGAGACCAGAGAGAGACCAGAGAGAGAGACCAGAGAGAGAGACCAGAGAGAAAACCAGAGAGAGACCAGAGAGAGACCAGAGAGAGACCAGAGAGAGAGATCAGAGAGAGAGACCAAAGAGAGAGACCAGAGAGGGACCAGAGAGAGACCAGAGAGGGACCAGAGAGGGACCAGAGAGAGACCAGAGAGAGACCAGAGAGAGACCAGAGAGAGACCAGAGAGAGACCAGAGAGAGACCAGAGAGAGACCAGAGAGAGACCAGAGAGAGACCAGATAGACTGGAGTCTAGGACCTCACAGATGTCAAAAACACATCCATCCAAACAAATAAATTGATGATTCTAAAAATCTAACAATAATAATAATAATAAGACACAGTCCTTCAGGACACAGCAGCAGAGACGGAGCAGTCGGACCATTTTCTCTGCTCTGGTCTGGACCAGTGTAAGACCATGAATCCTCTCTGCTCTGGTCTGGACCAGTGTAAAACCATGAATCCTCTCTGCTCTGGTCTGGACCAGTGTAAAACCATGAATCCTCTCTGCTCTGGTCTGGACCAGTGTAAAACCATGAATCCTCTCTGCTCTGGTCTGGACCAGTGTAAAACCATGAATCCTCTGCTCTGGTCTGGACCAGTGTAAAACCATGAACACTGAACAGCAGCAACATCATCATAAAAATTGTAAAACACAAAAACTGTTTCACTGTTTCAGAGACACGTAAGACTTGCCGTTTCCAGCACTTTCAACCCATAATGATTAATAAATATTACATTTTGATGATCAGACGGATTGATCTTATGACTGGTAGTAATACATATTATCAAGTAATTTTAAAGATATATATTGTAGGAAGCCTACTCTTTTGAGGTTTTCATGGGGTCTGATAGCGTAATCTCACTCTGATCTATTGTACAAGGTTATAGTGGTCGGAAATTGGAGCACCTGGAGGAAACCAATGCAGACACAGGGAGAACATACAAACTGCTCACATAAGGACCTTGTCTGAAAGTGGACCCAGGACTTTTTAGTTGAAAAACAAGCGCTGCCCACATGACTGTCACAGGTGATACACGTCGACCTGAGAGGAGGAGAGGAAACTTCCCCTCAGATTCATCCGTGTCTGTGGACGTGTCTGTGTCTGTGGACGTGTCTGTGTCTGTGGACGTGTCTGTGTCTGTGGACGTGTCTGTGGACGTGTCTGTGTCTGTGGACGCGTCTGTGTCTGTGGACGTGTCTGTGTCTGTGGACGTGTCTGTGTCTGTGGATGTGTTTGTGGACGTGTCTGTGTCTGTGGACGTGTCTGTGTCCGTGTCTGTGTCTGTGTCCGTGTCTGTGTCTGTGGACGTGTCTGTGTCTGTGATCGTGTTTGTGTCTGTGGACGTGTTTCCTGGAATCCTCCGCTGATCTGGTTCTTCTGGTTCCTTTGGTTCTTCTGGTGCACACAGAGCAGCTGCAGGATCACTGCATCAAACACAGCGCAGTGAGCAGCAGGTAACAACTCTTATTTCTATGTAAGTCTAGAAGTAGAAGTAGGAGTAGTAGTAGTAGTAGCAGTAGTAGTAGTAGCAGTAGTGGTAGTAGCAGTAGTAGCAGTAGTAGTAGTAGTAGCAGTAGTAGTAGTAGCAGTAGTAGTAGTAGTAGCAGTAGTAGTAGTAGCAGTAGTAGTAGTAGTAGTATTAGTAGTAGTAGTGGTAGTAGTAGCAGTAGCAGTAGCAGTGGTTGTAGTGCTAGTAGCAGCAGCATTAGCAGAAGTAGGTGTGGCAGTAGCAGTAGTAGCAGTAGTAGCAGTAGTAGCAGTAGTAGCAGTAGTAGCAGTAGTAGTAGCAGGAGTATTGTGTGTCCATGAAGTAGCGGTCAGATGCAGAGGTCGGCCGTCCCCTCGGACGCCGTGCCCTCCGGCTGGGCCTGTTAGTTATCTTTATTTATATACCGCCTTTTCACTGCACATCAGAGTCTCAAAGCGGTTTACAAATGTTATTTTTGGGAGTGGGAGGGGCCAGTACAGGAGGCACATGCCAGACCTATTGTACATATTTTTAGTGGTAGGGGAAACCGGAGCACCCGGAGGAAACCTACGCAGACACGGGGAGAACATGCAAACTCCACTCAAACCCAGGGCCTTCTTGCTGAGAGGCGAGAGTGCTATCCACTCAGCCACCGTGCCGCCTGTGGAGCCGTCAGTGCTTTGTCCAGATCCAGGTCAGAAAAACATGTTTTTATTTTTGTGCCTGAGACAAATATGAACCAACCACACTGTGCTCTGTCTGTGCAGGCGCTCCATCAGGAGGTGGAGCAAAGACAAGTCCAGGTGAGAACCCTGTCCCAAACCCCGGGCCAAACCCCGGGCCAAACATCAGGCCAAACCCCAGGCCAAACCCCGGTCAAAGGGACACCTTCATACCATTCTGCTTTGTTCAGCTCCAGTCTGTCCCAGAACGAGTACCTCACCAGTCCGATACCGGAAGAACGAGTCCCTCACCAGTCCGACCCGGAAGAAAGAGTACCTCACCAGTCCGACCCGGAAGAACGAGTCCCTCACTAGTCCGACCCGGAAGAACGAGTCCCTCACCAGTCCGACCCGGAAAGAGGGATACTTCACCGACAGGTACTGAATCTGAATCACTGTTTTGGTCTAATCTGTGGTTTAGTGCTTATTTCAACTCGGCCTGAGACTCGGCCTGAGACTCGGACTGAGACTCGGCCTGAGACTCGGCGTGAGACTCGGCCTGAGACTCGGCCTGAGACTCGGCCTGAGACTCGGCCTGAGACTCTGCCTGAGACTCGGCCTGAGACTCGGCCTGAGACTCGGCCTGAGACTCTGCCTGAGACTCGGCGTGAGACTCTGCCTGAGACTCGGCCTGAGACTCTGTGTGTGTTTAATGTGTGTCTTTAATGTGTGTGTTTAATGTGTGTGTTTGATGTGTGTGTTTAATGTGTGTGTTTTATGTGTGTGTTTGATGTGTGTGTGTGTTTAATGTGTGTGTTTAACGTGTGTGTTTAACGTGTGTGTGTGTTTAATGTGTGTTTTTAATGTGTGTTTAACGTGTGTGTGTGTTTAATGTGTGTTTTTAATGTGTGTTTAATGTGTGTTTTTAATGTGTGTTTAATGTGTGTGTGTGTGTGTGTGTTTAATGTGTGTGTGTTTAATGTGTGTGTGTGTTTAGTGTGTGTGTTCAATGTGTGTGTTTAGTGTGTGTGTTTAATGTGTGTGTGTTTAATGTGTGTGTGTGTTTAGTGTGTGTGTTTAATGTGTATGTGTTTAATGTGTGTGTGTTTAATGTGTGTGTTTAATGTGTGTGTGTTTAATGAGGTGGAGCAAAGACCAGGCCAGGTGAGAACCCCAGGCCAAACCCCGGGCCAAACCTCAGCTCAAATCCCAGGCTAAACCCCAACACAAAAGGGTCATCTTCATCCCATTCTGCTTTGTGCAGCTCCAGTCCGTCCCAGAACGAGTACCCCACCAGTCAGCCCCGGAGGAACGAGTACCCCACCAGTTCAACCCGGAGGAACGAGTACTCCACCAGTCCGACCCGGAGGAACGAGTACCCCACCAGTCCGACCCGGAGGAACGAGTACCCCACCAGTCAGCCCCGGAGGAACGAGTACCCCACCAGTCCGACTCGGGGAGAGGCGTACTTCACTGACAGGTACTGAATCTCCCTCCTTCTGTCGCCTTTGTAGCCTGTATATCAATGCATAATGCAACCCTGCTCAATGAAGTGCTCATGGTGAAGTTTGGCTCCTCTTGACTTCCATGTAAAAGTAAACTCAGAAACTGTTTTGGTCTAAATCTGTGGTTTAGTGCTTTCTGTTGAAATCTTCAATGTCTTCTGGATTTGGCAAACACTATGATGTCGTCACACTCTGGACTGAGACTCTGGACTGAGACTCTGGACTGAGACTCTTGACTGAGACTCTGGACTGAGACTCTGGACTGAGACTCTGGACTGAGACTCGGGCTGAGACTCGGACTGAGACTCGGGTTGAGATTTGGGATTGAGACTCGAGATTGAGGATCGGATTGAGACTCGGGATTAAGACTCGGACTGAGACTCTGGCTGAGACTCGGGATTGAGACTTGGACTGAGACTCGGGCTGAGACTCGGGACTGAGACTCGGGACTGAGACTCTGACTGAGACTCGGACTCAGACTTGGACCGGCAGTAAATGAGCCGTTCTAAGTTTACAGGAGATGACGTCACACCTCTCTGTGCATACAGCCCATTCACCTGTAACGATGATGTCATCAGCATGACATCATGATGACATCATGACATTATGATGTCATCATTTGTTGTAAACTCAAAAAAACTATTTCAGGATCAATGAACTCACGCAAGAGAACCAGCGACTCCGGTAAGTGTGTGTTTAATGTGTGTGTGTTTAATGTGTGTGTGTTTAATGTGTGTGTTTAATGTGTGTGTTTAATGTGTGTGTGTTTAATGTGTGTGTTTAATGTGTGTGTGTTTAATGTGTGTGTGTTTAATGTGTGTGTTTAATGTGTGTGTGTTTAATGTGTGTGTGTTTAATGTGTGTGTGTTTACTGTGTGTGTGTTTAATGTGTGTGTGTTTAATGTGTGTGTTTAATGTGTGTGTGTTTAATGTGTGTGTTTAATGTGTGTGTGTTTAATCTGTGTGTGTTTAATGTGTGTGTGTTTAATGTGTGTGTGTTTAATGTGTGTTTTTAATGTGTGTGTGCTTAATGTGTGTGTTTAATGTGTGAGTGTTTAATGTGTGTGTGTTTACTGTGTGTGTTTAATGTGTGTGTGTTTAATGTGTGTGTGTTTAATGTGTGTGTTTAATGTGTGTGTGTTTAATGTGTGTGTGTTTAATGTGTGTGTTTAATGTGTGTGTGTTTAATGTGTGTGTGTTTAATGTGTGTGTGTTTAATGTGTGTGTGTTTAATGTGTGTGTGTTTAATGTGTGTGTTTAATGTGTGTGTGTTTAATGTGTGTGTTTAATGTGTGTGTGTTTAATGTGTGTGTGTTTAATGTGTGTGTTTAATGTGTGTGTGTTTAATGTGTGTGTGTTTACTGTGTGTGTGTTTAACGTGTTTAATGTGTGTGTTTGATGTGTGTGTGTTTAATGTGTGTGTGTTTAATGTGTGTGTGTTTAATGTGTGTGTTTAATGTGTGTGTGTTTAATGTGTGTGTTTGATGTGTGTGTGTTTAATGTGTGTGTGTTTAATGTGTGTGTTTAATGTGTGTGTGTTTAACGTGTTTAATGTGTGTGTTTGATGTGTGTGTGTTTAATGTGTGTGTGTTTAATGTTTGTGTTTAATGTGTGTGTGTTTAATGTGTGTGTGTTTAATGTGTGTGTCTTTAATATGTGTGTGGTTTAATGTGTGTGTTTGATGTGTGTGTGTTTAATGTGTGTGTGTTTAATATGTGTGTGGTTTAATGTGTGTGTTTGATGTGTGTGTGTTTAATGTGTGTGTGTTTAACGTGTTTAATGTGTGTTTTCTTTACAGATCTGAGCTGGAACAAATGCAGACCAGGTAATAGATGTGACTGATGTGACCTGCTCTGATCTGGGAGTAGCTCTGCCCAGACCCAGAAATGGATTAAGGGAAAGATACGTGGAAACAACAAGACACAGGTCAGAGTCAAAGGTCAGAGGTCAGATACAGAGGTCAAAGGTCAGAGACAGAGGTCAACGGTCAGAGGTCAGAGACAGAGGTCAAAGGTCAGACTCTGGTTGTGTTTTCAGAAGAAAGAGAAGCTGTGGTCGCTGTAAAGACCTGACTCAGGAACATGCAGAGAGGTCTGTGCTTTCTCCCCCATGTCCTCTCTCCCCCATGTCCTCTCTCCCCCATATCCTCCCTCCCCCATGTCCTCTCTCCCCCATGTCCTCTCTCCCCCATGTCCTCCCTCCCCCATGTCCTCTCTCCCCCATGTCCTCCCTCCCCCATGTCCTCTCTCCCCCATGTCCTCCCTCCCCCATGTCCTCTCTCCCCCATATCCTCCCTCCCCCATGTCCTCCCTCCCCCATGTCCTCTCTCCCCCATATCCTCTCTCCCCCATGTCCTCCCTCCCCCATGTCCTCTCTCCCCCATGTCCTCTCTCCCCCATATCCTCCCTGCCCCATGTCCTCCCTCCCCCATATCCTCTCTCCCCCATGTCCTCCCTCCCCCATGTCCTCTCTCCCCCATGTCCTCTCTCCCCCATGTCCTCTCTACCCCATGTCCTCCCTCCCCCATATCCTCTCTCCCCCATGTCCTCCCTCCCCCATGTCCTCTCTCCCCCATGTCCTCTCTCCCCCATATCCTCCCTGCCCCATGTCCTCCCTCCCCCATGTCCTCCCCCATATCCTCCCTCCCCCATGTCCTCTCTCCCCCATATCCTCCCTCCCCCATGTCCTCTTTCCCCCATATCCTCCCTCCCCCATGTCCTCTCTCCCCCATGTCCTCCCCCATATCCTCCCTCCCCCATGTCCTCCCCCAAATCCTCCCTCCCCCATGTTGTCCCCCATGTCCTCCCTCCCCCATGTCCTCCCTCCCCCATGTCCTCTCTCCCCCATATCCTCCCTCCCCCATGTCCTCTCTCCCCCATGTCCTCCCTCATGTCCTCCCACATGTCCTCTCTCCCCCATGTCCTCCCCCTCAGGTCTTAAAGTCTTTTATAAAATCATCTCCTGTTTGTGTTTCAGGATCAAAGTCCTGAGGTGAACATCACACCCAAGGACCATAACATCACTGACCCTGACCCAAGGACCATTACAACACTGACCCTGACCCAAGGACCATAACAACCCTGACCCAAGGACCATAACATCACTGACCCTGACCCAAGGACCATAACAACCCTGACCCAAGGACCATAACAACCCTGACCCAAGGACCATAACAACACTGACCCAAGGACCATAACAACACTGACCCAAGGACCATAACAACCCTGACCCAAGGACCATAACAACACTGACCCAAGGACCATAACAACCCTGACAAGTACATATAGACACAGAGAGGCAAAGGTACAAGTGGAGGAGCAGCGACTCTACTCAGAGCTCCTCTGTGTGACTGAGCTCATCCCCCTATCTAAGATCACAAGAGCAGAATTGACCAGTAAATCCAGAGCTCTGACTGCAGCCACTGCTCCCTCGCACCACAATAGTCCATAATGTTTTATGTCTCCACAGATTTGATCTGAAACAAAAAGAGGCAGAACTGAAGCAGAGCAGAGAGAGGTGAGACTCAGTCTCAATGTCCACTTCGAACCGACTCATAGTGTGTGTATCTGTGTGTGTCTGTCTGTGTGTGTCTGTCTGTGTCTATCTGTATGTGTGTGTGTCTGTGTGTGTGTGTGTGTCTGTGTGTGTGTGTGCATGTGTGTCTGTCTGTCTGTGTGTGCATGTCTGTGTGTGTGTGTATCTGTGTGTGTGTCTGTGTGTGTGTGTATCTGTGTGTGTGTCTGTGTGTGTGTGTGTGTGTATTGTGTCTGTCTATGTCTGTTTGTGTGTGTGTGTCTGTCTGTCTGTGTGTGTGTGTGTGTGTGTGTGTGCGTCTCTCTGTGTGTGTATGTGTCTGTGAGTGTGTGTGTGTGTGTGTGTCGGTCTGTGTGTGTGCGTGTATGTGACTGCTTGTGTGTGAGTGTTTCCAGTGTGTTTGTGTGTCACTTCTTTTTGATCACTCTATCATTTGAATAATTTCCAGGAGTGTGTTGTCCGTCTGCCGGCGCTGTGAGGACCAGGCCCAGGAGCACAAGCAGACGTCAGTATTTTACTTTCACTTTCACTTTGACTCTGTCCAAACTCCTGTGTGTGTCTCACAGAGTACAAGAGATGGAGACTTTCTACAGAAGCAAACTGAGTGAGGCCAGGTACACACACAAATATACACACACACAGACACACACACACACACACACAAATAGACACACACACAGACACACACACACACACACACATACACACACTCACAGACACACACACACACACAGACACACACACAGACACACACACACACACACAAATATACACAGACACACACACACACATAGACACACACACAGACACACACACACACAGACACATACACACACGCACACACACACACACAGACACATACACACACGCACATACACACACACACACACACACACACACACACACACACACACACACACACAGACACACACAGACACAGACACACACACACACACACACACACACTCACACACACACACACACACTCACACACACATACACACACACACACACACACACACACTCACAGACACATACACACAGACAGACAGACAGACAGACACACATACACGCACACACACACACACACACACACACACATACACACACACACACACACACACACACACATACACAAAAACACACACACACACACACACTCACAGACACACACACACACACACACACAGACACACACACACACACACACAGACACACAAATACACACACAGACACACACACACACTTCCTGGTTAAACAAAGAGGCCTCTGTTCCACAGATCTGCTCTGGAGCAGAAGGAGGAGCAGTTCAGGTCCTTCAAAGACCGGTGAGTCCAAGCACCTGGTGAGGCGTTCATGGTTCTCTTTGCAGATGTTGATGGTTCTTTTGTAGATGTTGATGGTTCTCTTTGCAGATGTTGATGGTTCTTGTTGCAGATGTTGATGGTTCTTTTGCAGATGTTGATGGTTCTCTTTGCAGATGTTGATGGTTCTTGTTGCAGATGTTGATGGTTCTCTTTGCAGATGTTGATGGTTCTCTTTGCAGATGTTGATGGTTCTTGTTGCAGGTGTTGATGGTTCTCTTTGCAGATGTTGATGGTTCTTGTTGCAGATGTTGATGGTTCTCTTTGCAGATGTTGATGGTTCATGTTGTAGATGTTGATGGTTCTCTTTGCAGATGTTGATGGTTCTCTTTGCAGATGTTGATGGTTCTTGTTGCAGATGTTGATGGTTCTCTTTGCAGATGTTGATGGTTCTCTTTGAAGATGTTGATGGTTCTTGTTGCAGATGTTGATGGTTCTCTTTGCAGATGGTGATGGTTCTCTTTGCAGATGTTGATGGTTCATGTTGTAGATGTTGATGGTTCTCTTTGCAGATGTTGATGGTTCATGTTGTAGATGTTGATGGTTCTCTTTGCAGATGTTGATGGTTCTTGTTGCAGATGTTGATGGTTCATGTTGTAGATGTTGATGGTTCTCTTTGCAGATGTTGATGGTTCTCTTTGCAGATGTTGATGGTTCTTGTTGCAGATGTTGATGGTTCATGTTGTAGATGTTGATGGTTCTCTTTGCAGATGTTGATGGTTCTCTTTGCAGATGTTAATGGTTCTCTTTGCAGATGTTGATGGTTCTCTTTGCAGATGTTGATGGTTCTCTTTGCAGATGTTGATCAGAATTAGAATCATTCTTGGCCATGTGAGTAACAGGAAGTCAGAGACTAGGAAATTGCTGTGGCTCTCGGTGCATCAGTCAGAAAAGAGGTAAAGAACATTATAAAAATCAGCATCACTTCTAAGAGAGTGCACATGGTGCACACATGGTGCACACATGGTGCACACATGGTGCACACATGTGCAGTCAGCAGTGCAATAAGGGGACAGCAGGAAGTGACTTTATAACGTTTAGTTTGGTCTTTATTTGAAGGAACAATGCACAGAGACAATGAACTCAAAGAAAGATATGTTCTGCACCAGATAAAGGGCAGTAAAGTGACTTTATAAAGGGCAGTAAAGTGACTTTATAAAGGGCAGTAAAGTGACTTTATATAGGGCAGTAAAGTGACTTTATAAAGGGCAGGAAAGTGACTGTATAAAGGGCAGTAAAGTGACTTTATAAAGGGCAGTAAAGTGACTGTATAAAGGGCAGTAAAGTGACTTTATAAAGGGCAGTAAAGTGACTTTATAAAGGGAAGTAAAATTACTTTATAAAGGGCAGTAAAGTGACTTTAGAAATGGCAGTAAAGTGACTTCAGAAAGGTCAGTAAAGTGACATTATAAAGGGCAGTAAAGTGACTTTATAAAGGGCAGTAAAGTAACTTTATAAAGGGCAGTAAAGTGACTTTGTAAAGGGCAGTAAAGTGTCTTTATAAAGGGCAGAAAAGTGACTTTATAAAGGGCAGTAAAGTGACTTTATAAAGGGCAGTAAAGTGACTTTGTAAAGGGCAGTAAAGTGTCTTTGTAAAGGGCAGTAAAGTGTCTTTATAAAGGGCAGTAAAGTGACTTTATAAAGGGCAGTAAAGTGACTTTATAAAGGGCAGTAAAGTGACTTTATAAAGGGCAGTAAAGTGACTTTATAAAGGGCAGTAAAGTGACTTTATAAAGGGCAGTAAAGTGCATTTATAAAGGGCAGTAAAGTGACTTTACAAAGGGCAGTAAAGTGACTTTATGAAGGGCAGTAAAGTAACTTTACAAAGGGCAGTAAAGTGACTTTACAAAGGGCAGTAAAGTGACTTTATGAAGGGCAATAAAGTGACTTTATAAAGGGCAGTAAAGTGACTTTATAAAGGGCAGTAAAGTGACTTTATAAAGGCCAGTAAAGTGACTTTAAAAAGGGCGGGGGGACAGGTTATGAAGTGTTCAAGAGTCCAACAGCAGAGGGGACATAACTGTTCTTATGGTTCTGGTCCTAATGGACCATGGTCTCCTGCCTGAGGGGAGTGTTTGGAATAGTCCATGTGCAGGTGAGAGGGGTCGGCTGTGATATGACCAGCCCGGCCTCGAGCTCGGGCGACGTACAGGTCCTGCAGCAGTGGTAGCTGCCGCAGGAAGTACATCCTCTGCTGGGCCTTCTTGATGAGGAGCTGATGGTCGTAGTCGGAGATGAGTCCAATGAGGGTGGTGTCATCCAAAAACTTGATGAACTTCACAGAGTCGTGGCTGGAGGTGCAGTGGTTGGAAGTGCAGTGGTTGGAGGTGCAGTGGGAGGAGGTGCAGTGGTTGGAGGTGCAGTGGGAGGAGGTGCAGTGGTTGGAGGTGCAGTGGGAGGAGGTGCAGTGGGAGGAGGTGCAGTGGGAGGTGGTGCAGTGGCTGGAGGTGCAGTGGTTGGAGGTGCAGTGGTTGGAGGTGCAGTGGGAGGAGGTGCAGTGGTTGGAGGTGCAGTGGTTGGAGGTGCAGTGGTTGGAGGTGCAGTGGTTGGAGGTGCAGTGGGAGGAGGTGCAGTGGGAGAAGGTGCAGTGGTTGGAGGTGCAGGGGAGGAGGTGCAGTGGTTGGAGGTGCAGTGGGAGGAGGTGCAGTGGGAGGTGGTGCAGTGGCTGGAGGTGCAGTGGGAGGTGGTGCAGTGGCTGGAGGTGCAGTGGTTGGAGGTGCAGTGGTTGGAGGTGCAGTGGGAGGAGGTGCAGTGGCTGGAGGTGCAGTGGTTGGTGCACAGGGAGAAGACCAGGGGTGAAAGAACACAGCCCTGTGTTTAATCCTAGAGTCTGAGACATTCTTCCCCAGACGCACTCGCTGCTTCCTGTCCAGGTGGACAGATGTTGATGGTTCTCTTGGTTGCAGATGTTAGATAGATACTTTATGTAGTAGGAGTTCAGGAGACTAATCCAGGTTTGTTGTACAGTCTGACAGCCTTAACAAAGGATCTCTTGAAACGTGTCGTTCAGCAGCGTAGTGATGGGAGCCTGTTGCTACTGTTACTCCTCTGAGCGGCCATAGTGTCATGCAGAGGGTGTCTGGAGTTACCCAGGATGCACTGCAGTAGAGCCCTCATCCTTCTCTCCAGCACAGACTTGTAACAGATGTGCCACATCTGACTGCTCACATCAAAGGACCTCAGTCTACTCAGAAAGAAAAGTCTGCTCTGACCTTTCTTATAGATGGCATTGGCCTGAGCTGACCAGTCTAGTCTGTGGACCAGGTGGACTCCCAGTCCACTCTGTGGACCAGATGGACTCCCAGTTCTCTTTGCAGATGTTGATGGTTCTTGTTGCAGATGTTGATGGTTCTTTTTACAGATGTTGATGGTTCTTTTTACAGATGTTGATGGTTCTCTTTGCAGGTGTTGATGGTTCTTGTTGCAGATGTTGATGGTTCTTGTTGCAGATGTTGATGGTTCTCTTTGCAGATGTTGATGGTTCTTGTTGCAGATGTTGATGGTTCTTGTTGCAGATGTTGATGGTTCTCTTTGCAGATGTTGATGGTTCTCTTTGCAGATGTTGATGGTTCTTGTTGCAGATGTTGATGGTTCTCTTTGCAGATGTTGATGGTTCTCTTTGCAGATGTTGATGGTTCTCTTTGCAGATGTTGATGGTTCTCTTTGCAGATGTTGATGGTTCTTGTTGCAGATGTTGATGGTTCTTGTTGCAGATGTTGATGGTTCTCTTTGCAGATGTTGATGGTTCTTGTTGCAGATGTTGATGGTTCTCTTTGCAGATGTTGATGGTTCTTGTTTTAGTTGTTTATGGTTCTCTTTGCAGAGTGGCAGAGAATGTTCTTCTCTCGTCAACAACAGAAAACACTGAGAACATGAACAGTCCAGTGAACCGGAGCCACCTCACAGAGATGTACCAGCAGCTGAGAGTGTGTGTGTGGCCTCACATCAACTGGACACAGCCCGAGCACCGGGCCAGGGACCTGGTCCAGGTAACTGTGAGGACCCTGTGACTGTGCGGACCTGTGACTGTGAGGACCTGTGACTGTGAGGACCCTGTAACCGTGAGGACCCTGTGACTGTGAGGATCCTGTGACTGTGAGGACCCTGTGACTGTGGGGACCCTGTGACTGTGAGGACCCTGTGACTGTGAGGGTGACTGTGAGGACCTTTTGACTGTGAGGACCCTGTGACTGTGAGGACATGTGACTGTGAGGACCCTGTGAGGACCCTGTGACTGTGAGGACCTGTGACTGTGAGGACCTTGTGACTGTGAGGACCCTGTGACTGTGAGGACCTTGTGACTGTGAGGACCCTGTGACTGTGAGGACCTGTGACTGTAAAGACCTGTGACTGTGAGGACCCAGTGATTGTGAGGACCCTATGACTGTGAGGACCCTGTCACTGTGAGGACCCTGTCACTCTGAGGGCCTGTGACTGTGAGGACCCTGTGACTGTGAGGACCCTGTGACTGTGAGGACGCTGTAACCGTGAGGACCCTGTGTGAGTGTTATATTGTCGTGTTGTTCTTACAGGAGGTGTTCTCTAGAGCCCATGAGAACATGACCAAAGCCTTAAGCACAGTGTGTGCAGGAAGCACCTCCTCACCACAGGTACTGATGAAGAGGAGATGGGGAGGATGATGATGATGATGATGATGATGATGAAGAGGCTGCTGTGTTTCAGGTGGACACATTCAGGCGCAGGGCTCTGGAGAACCTGCAGATGGTGCTGCTGCACAGCAGTAAACAGCAGGTGTGTGTGAAGGCCTTCCCCTCTCTCTCTGGACCAGAACTGGACTTGGCCTCAGAGTGTTACTGGTTGGGTTGTCTGATGGCTCTGCACTCTCCTCCTCTGCATCCAGACTGGGACAGAGGGCCTGGACTGGTCTTCCCACGGGACATCAGGGAAATCAGGACTAAACGACAACGTGCTGCTCCCACAGTCACTCACCTTTGAGCCCGACCAGAAACAGCAGAATATCGACACAGAACAATATAAAGGTGTTTTTCTGGACCAGTCTAGTTTAGTCGCTGTGGGATCTTGAATGCACTCGTCAAATGAATGGGGCTTGTGCAGCTGATGCAAGCACATTTTTTCTACACATTTTCAAGCCCCAGCAGCCATTTTGAAACTGCGGAGAACTGTGTCAGGACAAGCCGCGGTTGAGATTCATGCAGCTAAAATCTGGAACAGTCTTCTGGAAAATGTGAGACTTCTCTGACAATGTTTAAATCCAATCATATCTTCATGATTTTTATCCCACTATGAGGATTTAAAACTTCTGTGAATGTGTGTATCTGGTTTTCAGATTCAGATTCAGTTTATTTGCCATTTGCAGTAAAAAAACCACATTGGTTTTGTTCAGCACTTTGAGTTTCCTTTTGCATGAACTGTGCTATACAAATAACCTTGTCTTAATAATCCGTGGTTCACTGCGCTCTCTGATCCTCGTGTTTATGTTGTGATTTATTTTTGTTTATGAGCCATATAAATATTGACCAATCAGATGCCTTCATTCAGAAGAAACACCCTGTGGTGATGTCACACTCGGTCAGTCCACTCCTTGTAACAGTCTATGAGCTCAACATGTGCGAGGTCAGAGGTCAGAGGTCAGAAGGATTAAACATCAACAACCATTATAATAATAAAAGTAATAATAATAATATTGGGGCGACTGTGGCTCAGTTGGTAGAGCATTGGCCTTTGAGCCTGAAGGTTGTGGGTTCGAGTCCACCATGAGACCTTCATGAGAACTTCATGACTCCCACTGTTAACTGCTGTCATTGTGTCCTTGGGCAAGACACTTAACCCCACTTTGCCTGAAGCCCCCTCTGAAAGATCTCTGCTCCTGTGGACTCAGCACCTGCAGGAGGATCAGTGAGGGGCTGGTGCTCTGTGCACTGGGTGCAGCTCTGACTGCCACCCCCGACCCAGAAATAGATGGATGATAATAATAATAATAATAATAATAATAATAATAATAATATTACATAAAGTGCTTTTTGGACCCTTGAAGATTCATTCACTCTGAACACGGTGCTGACAAACGTTAAAAGTGCCAGAGTGGGTAACACTGATATTGTCTTTTAGTTTTTTTGTGTTGTGAATTTTATAATAAATATTCCACTTAGTTTTTAAACATCGAATAAGATTAAATAAAACATCCCACAGTGGGGAAATTTGAATAAACTGAACCACACCTCAACAGGTGCCGTGGATTCCAGTCTGACACCGCTCAAACCACATTCCCCAGAGCACATTGATTCTGGGAAGACGACGGAATGTCGAAAATTGGTGTATGGTCGGGGAGTGTTTGGGCCTGTGTGTGTGTGTGTGTGTGTGTGAGTGAGTTGTCTTGTCTTATACCATTGGTGGTAGTTACTGTATTATTGTTACTGTATGTACTTTACAGTAAACATTTGTATAATGTGATTGTGCATTTACCCAGTATGGTATTGTTTCTGTCTTATTGTTTTTCCTGTATGTCTGGGTGAGGGGGGTTTGGATTAATATAAGCATTTTGCTTCCTCCAACCCCTTTTCAATCCCTGTACGTGTTTTTGCTTTTGTTTTGCTTGTTTCCTGTAAAATTATGTGTGCAGGTTTTGAAATAAATATTTCATTCATTCATTCATTCATGTTTATGAGAAACAGGAAGACTGTTTGGAGATTTCCTCTTCAGGGTTACACCCTCGCACACACAGGTAGAAGACGTCAGGACTCAGGGCCAAACCTCGTAGACGTACGCACTGTAACGACCACAGCGACTCCCCCTCACTCCCCCTCTCTCCCCCTCACTCGCAGAGATGAGTAGGGGTTACCTCATTGCCATTGACTTTGGCACGTCTTACAGTGGTCATGTTTACAGCATCGCCCCCAGAGGGGCTGAGCTGGTTCCCAACCTGCGGCGCTGGGGTCAGGAGTACGGACACAACACTCCAAAGACCCCCACCTGCATTCTGTTCGATGCCAACGGGAAATTCATGCATTTTGAATACAAGGCCAAAGATAAGTACTTGGAGATGGACAAAGACGATGCAGCCAAGAACTATTTCTTTGAGAACTTCAAAATGGAACTGCACAATAAGGTCAGTCAACCGTTTATTGTTTTGACTTAATCACATTTTAGTATAGATGAGACGCACGTTTATTGTTATAAAAGATTGTATTCCTTTGCTTTGATCATAACACGTGTTGTATCAGATATACACTGAACAGATGTGACAATATTTTACCATTTGAACTCTGTCTCTTTCTAAGCCAAAAAAGACCTTGTCTTCCTCGTCTTCCCTTGTAGTCCAAAGTGCAGGATATGAGTTAATGATAGTTAATCTGGGGGGCCAAGAAGATCTGCATTCCTAGATTCTGTTAATCCACTCAGTTGATATGATAATACTAGGGCTGTCAAAATTATCGCGTTAATTCACGTTAATTACCGTTTTTATTAACGCGTAAAAAAATAATTAACGCATTAACTGGTTTGCCATTGACGTGTTAACACGTCAATTGCGTTTCCCGCTATTTTCACGTTCCCAGATGTCTGTTGTATCAAATATGTAAGGCTTGAGGCAATATTTTATCGAGCCAGCAGATGGTAGCATTGCTCTATGAATGGTTTGAAAACAGCTAGATGCACAAGTGCCTCTTTTTTCTGGTGATTTCAATAAAACTTACCTCTACTCGACTGGGGATTACAGGGGAACGAAACAAGCTAGAAACAAAAATATTTTTGCTGATGAAAGTAGACAGTCCATTCTTTCAGAATCTGGTTTTGGATTTCAGATAGTCATAGTACACAATATTCTGTGGGTACCTGTTCTGAAATAGGCTGGCAGTCAATCGCATGTCCGAATGACCCGCCCATTTATAATAATATCACTCAGAATGCCACGGACACGTGCGTGTGTGATAATGACAGCGGTAACATGGTCATATAATACAGGGGTTCCCAAAGTTTTTAGCCCGCGACCCCCATCATAAATGCCCTGCTAACCCGCGACCCCCCCCCCCCCCAACAGCCCTTCCGTCACATGAAATGAGAATGTATTTCCTTGATACGGAGTAACGCTTTCTAGAGACTCACGCCACTACCGAGCTGCACTGTCCAGCCCAAAAAAGGAGGCTTGCATATTTTTACTCATGTAGTGACACAGTGATGGGCTTGGTGGGCTCCCTCCTCAGCAGAAGTGGAGCGCATTTCTTGCGGCTCGCCCTCTCTGTTCTCCTACCGGCCCGGCTTTCCGGAGTCAGCGGTAAAGAGGTCCGCACATTAAAAGCGGGCGGCCGCTTTCTGCTGTTACTTGTTCATCCCCGCGGCTTCTCTTTCCAAAGTTACTGTCAGTAAAGGCATAAACCGGCCACCCGCTTTTAATGTGCGGACCTCTTTACCTTTGACTCCGAAAAGCCGGGCCTCTTTAACGCGCTGTTCTACCTCCCTCCCTCCGCTGCCCTCTCTCCCTCCGCTGCCCTCTCTCCCTCCTCTGCCCTCTCTCCCTCCTTTGCCCTCTCTCCCTCTCTTCGCACCATCAGCCTGACCCCTGATACAAGTGACTTTTCTCCCCCTCCGGGTTTTTCTTTTGTGGATATTAACCACGTTTCATTTTAAAGCAGGTATTATTTATTTGTAGCCTCCAAACACCTTTAGTTTTAGCAAACAACAGCAGGACACGCTTTGTCGCTGCGCATGATGTGAGCTGTGTTACGTGATGATTTTGATTGACGCTGCAATGACTGGGACAAAATTACTAACGTTATTAAAATATATTATAGTCTCCAAACACAATTTAACAAGTAGTCCTTTTGAAACAAATCAAATGCTAAATAAATATTTATGGGCTTTATATTTGCTCAAAACAAATCTTTTTTTTGTGTGTGGAAATCATCTTGCGACCCCCCCAGGGGTTCCCGCGACCCCCCGGGGGGTCGGGACCCCCACTTTGGGAACCACTGATATAATACACGCATATATATACACGCACAGGGGCCATTCTCTGATGTTCTCTGATGATGGAGGAGAGGGCGACAGTAGCTCAGTTGGTAGAGCATTGGCCTTTGGGCCTGAAGGTCGTGGGTTCGACTGGTTGACTCCCACTGACGACTGCTGTCGTTGTGTCCTTGGGCAAGACACTTAACCCTACTTTGCCCAAAGCCCCAACTGAAAGATCTCAGCTCCTGTGGACTCACCACCTGCAGGAGGATCAGTGAGGGGCTGGTGCTCTGTGTACTGGGTGCAGCTCTGACTGCCACCCCCGACCCAGAAATGGATTAAGGGGAAGAAAATGGATGGAGGGATAACAGCTCTTGTTGGTTGTACCCAAAAGTAGAAGGTTGTGAGCAAGTCAAACAGATTGAAGTACATTTGGTATGAATAATAATGTGTCATTACATTTGAAAATTAAATTAAAAATGCGATTAATCGTGAGTTAACTCACCATTACTATGCGATTAATCAACTAAAAAAAATTAATCGTTTGACAGCCCTAGATAATACACATAACCTTTCTTAACATATATTTACTTTATATTCTAGGTGATTTCATGTGCTATTGATACAGTGTTATTAGTGTGATGTGAGGGTTTTTTGTACTGCACATAGGTTTGTTCTTTAGGAAGCTGGGATGTTAAGGGTGTTGTTTAGATAACGGAGGGGGATGCCAGAGTCCGGAGTCCATTGTCTGGCTGATGGACGCGTATCCCAAAACCAGAAAAAGCCAGATCAGACTGGACCAGTCTGGGACTGTGTGACGTCATCGGACAATCTTTACTTATGGCTTTGCCTGGTGTTTGAGTTTCAGTCAGCAACAGGGCGAGCCACAGGGATAGCAGGATAGTTTAGGATAGGAGCTTTTGTTTGAATTTCTGTATCTGATTGTAAAGATAAATTAAATACAGATGTTAAACTTGGAAATCTTCGTCTTGTTTTCTGCATCAAACTTTGAACACGTCCGTCAAAGGTTTTTTGACAACACACGTCAACAGTTTAAAAAAACAGTTGTCTATCTGCTGTAGGAGAACCTTTATGAGTGTTACAGTACAGCATGAACACCTGCAGCTTAGATTCAGGTGTGGTTTGTTTGTGGAGTTTACTGTCTTCAAATGCAGCTGGTGTGGTCCGTGCACAGGCACACTTAACAGTATTGTCCATTACATCCACATACAGGATGTTTCTAATCCTCAAAAGGATTAAATTCCTTCTCCAGAATTTGGATTCAGTGCACATAAGCTCTCCAAGAACAGGACCATCAATAATGTACATGTCAGATAGAACCTAGAGGAAGCGTTGGTGTCAGTAGTGTCTGTAAGCAGCTCTGCCAGTGATGTAACCCATGTTGGCTTCTGTTTCCTGATCAGAAAATCACTAAAGATCTGACCATCAAAGACGTGAAGAAGCGTCCGATGAGCGCGCTCAAGGTGTTCTCTGCGGCGCTGAGGTTTCTGAAGGACGACGCCCTCAAAACCATCTTCATGAGGACTTCCGGTGAGCAACCGAAATGGCGACAGCCTAACCTCGTGGCTTCCCGAACAAAGTATAAATACCCCCCCTTTTCCCTTGTATTTGAGAGTGCCAAATTGATAAACGAGTAGGAACAACTGAGAAGAAATGACCCGAGGCAAACAAAGTAAGTCTGCGAGACTCCAACCACTGGTGGATGATGATACTGCGGGAGAAGAAGCAGCGGCTAGTCCAACTAGCCAAGCTGCTAGCACTTCAGACACGGAGGGGACTACGGAGGATTTAATGGCTAATGACTCGGCTAATTTACAAACTATACTTTGTGAGCTAAGGAGTTTACGACGTGAAAGTGGAGAACACTTCTGCGAGCTCAAAGAAGAAATTAAAAAGGTTAATATGAGACATGACGACGCTGAAGATCGCATTGACGAAGTGGAGAATAGGACCCAGCGGCTTGAGGAAACTAAAGGAGCTTGAACTCATAAAAATACATGAGGTACTCAACGCAAAAATCTCAGAGTTAGAAGGGAGATCGCGAAGAGATAATATTCGAATTCACGGTATCGCAGAGGGCGCAGAAGACGGATCTCCATCTGTTCCTGACTTCATTAAGAATCTGCTCAGGGAAAAACTGGATTTGCCCCAGTCTCTGGACTTGACCATAGACATAGCGCACCGCTCCCTGGGATTAAAGCCGCCACCCGAGGCCCCACCACGATCAGTGGTAATCAAGTTTTCACTGTATCGGACCAAGGATGAAGTTTTGAAACGGGCATGGCAAAGAAAGGGATTTACGCTGAACGAGAAAAAGGTGATAATCGATCACGACTATGCCCCTGATGTGTTGAAAAAACGACGTGAATACAACGAAGCTAAACGGGTCTTGAGAGAAAATAATATAAGATTTCAAACCCCATACCCGGCGAGGCTGAGGGTGTTCTACGAGGGAGACACACGGGTGTACAGTACAGCAGCCGAAGCAACAAAGGATATGGCCAGCCGTGGACATACAGTCACCATTATAACCCCGCAGACATCATTGGCCGAAAAACTCAAAGGCACAATGTGGCACAAAGTAGCGCGCACAGAGGAAGCGAGAGACGAAAGTTCCACTCGAGGATACAAGAAGAGATTGGAAGCTTTCCGAAGACAATGATCAAGAAAGAAACATAACCAAGAAATACGTTTTTCCCACCGGGGAGGAAGAGGGGGGGGGGGGGGGATCACCTTATGAAGAAAGACCGGGGAGCAGAAATGCACCACAACAACCAGGTAACGCCACTAGAGGGCCCTGCACAGCCATCGGGCGGTACAGGCTTTCCCTCTACATCGCTCACAACACTTAACACACAGGTCACTGAGGAGACCGCAGAGATGGGAGTCACTCTGTCTTTTTGGACTCATAGTTTTGTTGAAGAAAAATGTTTGTTAAAATTGTTCATTGTTTTGTTTTGCTTGAGTAGCGTAGGGAACCACCTGCTTATATACAATAATGAAACCAGCAATGGCTTCTCCATCTTTTGCTTCAGTACATATAATGTTAAAGGATAAAAAGAGAAAAAATTGGAGTGGTTTTCTTACAGGAAACTCAGTTATCTGAAACGGAACATCAGAAGTTAAAAAGACAAGGATTTGGTCACGTGTTTTCTGCATCCCATGTTTCGGGTCGGAAGAGGGGAGTGGTCACACTAATTTCTAACAAAGTTTTGTTTGAAAAAATAGCCGAATATAAAGACAAGGAGGGTCGATATAATATAATAATATAATATAATACCTTTATTAATGTTTACGCCCCCCTGGGTCATCATGGTCTTTTTACAAATGTGTAATTGATATGATGGCCACAAAGGCACAAGGTATTGTTATTTGTGGTGGGGATTTTAATGTAAGACTGAACCCTTTAGAAGACTCTTCCGCACAGACCTCGCACAATAATACTGGGGAAAAATTGAAAAAGTTAATGAAGGAATTAGGAATTGGAGATGTGTGGCGTGAATTACACCTCCACCAGAGGGATTATACATTTTACTCTGCAACACATCGTTCCTATTCAAGACTGGACTATTTTTTCATGTATAATAAAGACCTAGGTCGGGTGAGTGAGTGCTGCTTTGGATCAATGGACCTCTCTGATCACTGTCCTGTGTACATGAAGCTAGACATAGACAAGATTAAAACACCTTTTTTATGGAGACTTAACTTGAGCATACTTAAAGGAGAAATCAGAGAAGAAATTAAAAATGACATCAAATTGTATATTCAAGACAATGATAATGATGAAGTTTCTCCCGAAATATTATGGGATGCCTGTAAAGCGGTCCTGAGGGGTAAATTGATTGCAAAGAGCACTCTTCTTAAAAAAAGACGAGAACAGAGAATCAAGACCTTGGAGCAAAAACTTATCAACTTGGAAGAAAAACACAAAAATAGTGGAGACGATGATACCCTGCAAAAAATACAAGAAATTAAACGCGAAATCAATCAAGAATTACAGAATAAAATAAAGACTCAACTACTTTATCTAAAACAGAGCTATTATGAAGCAGGAAGTAAATCTACAAAGGTCCTGGCCTACAGACTTAAAAAACAACAAGCAGAAAGGTCTGTATACAAAATAAGAGATCCCTCTACTAATGAAGTCACATACAAAGAGTTAGAAGTTAGAGACATTTTTGCTGGATATTATCGGAAACTTTATAGTTTAAAGGAGCCAGATAAGGAAGATATGACCTCACCAATGTTAAACCAATTGGAATTGCCTATGCTCTCTAGTGAACAAAATACAACTTTAACAAGGAATATAAATGCTCAGGAACTGGCAAAAGCAGTTAAAAGGCACAAATTGAATAAATCTCAAGGTTCCGACGGCTACAATGCTGACTGGTACAAGATATACCTGGAAGAACTTTCACCTCTACTCCTTAAGACATTTAACTGGGTTTTGAACGGGGGTCAAATCCCACCCACTTGGAAAGAGACCATTATCACAGTTATCCCAAAGGATGGTACGGACAAATTTCTCAAATTTCAGACCCATTAGTTTACTGAATCAGGATTATAAGATCTTCCCCTCAATCTTGGCCAAAAGACTGGAAAATATTCTCCCGGACATTTCACCTTGGAGAGACCCACGAGGGAAAATGCAGTTAGAAGTTTAAGATTAAGCATGTTTGGCGCCCTAGGCCCGGGAGAGATGCTGATGAGTGCGGCGCTTGCTCGCGCGCATAATTCCCCCCGGGGCCTAGGCACTGGTGACGGCAGAGGCAGTAGGCAAGCACGCTTCGATGAGAAAAGGAGGAGGTGGGGCGGCGGAGGCTTGCAGACTTTAGAAGGCCGGGAAGTAGGCGTCTCCGGCTTTTAACTTGCTGTCCTGGTGGTTATTGGTTGATTAGATGTGGGCGTTGCTGGTATGATGAGTCGAGGATGAGCAGGCTTGTAGATCTGGGCAAGCAGCAGCCGGGTCTACCACAGTGAACTTTCGCGAAAGCTCCATAATAAGTTTGGACCAGACAGGCTTTATCAAGGAGAGGAAAACTAGAGATAATATAAGACGCACACTACATGTGATTCATCAAATACAGAAAGATAAAAAACCAGCTGTTGTTTTGGGTCTGGACGCACAAAAAGCATTTGACACTGTAGATTGGGCTTTTCTTTATAAAGTACTTTCCAAATTTAACTTTACCGAAAAGTTTATAAAAAAATATACAAGGATTATATAACAAACCTATAGGGAAAATTAGAATAAATGGAGGTCTATCAAATCCTCTAAATATTGAACAAGGTTGTAGACAGGGCTGTCATTTATCTCCCATTTTATTTGCCATTTCAATCTGGTGAGACTCAGAAGACAAAATGCAGTTTGAATGTTTTTATTGATAGGTAGTTTGGCGTCCTAGGCCCCTGTGCGGCAATTAGGGCCAGCGAGGCTCCTGCTTAGTGCGCGCACGACCCCCCCGAGGCCTAGGAACTGGTGGTGGCATTAGGGCAGCAGGAAAGAGCGCACGCTCGAGCAAGAGAGAGGCGGAGGAGGGGAGGCGGTGGTTTGCGAGGCTTGAGAAGGCCGTGAAGTGGGAGTCTCCGCTTTTAAGCTGCTTGCCTGGCCTGCATAGGTTGGCTGGGAATGGGCGTTTGCTGTGCGATAGGCCGAGGATGAGAGGCAGGCTTGGAGGAGATAGCTTTGGCAGTCAGTCTACCAGAGTGAACCTTTGTGAAGCTCCATTTTTATTGAGCCCCTGGCACAATATATCAGACAAAATAGAAAGATAAAAGGCATCAAAGTAAAGGAGAAGGAACAGAAGATTGCCCTGTTTGCTGATGATGTCCTAGTTTACTTGGCTAAACCCACCGAATCTCTTCCTGAACTGCATAAAGTTTTAATGGAATTCAGCAACATCTCAGGCTATAGATTAAATTCTCATAAACCACAAGTATTGACATTCAACTACAACCCAGACGATCCCATAACGAAAATATTTAAAATCAATTGGTGCATGGACTCAATAACATACTTGGGAGTACATATTCCAAAGGACATACAAACTTTAAAGTCAATAAACTACGATCCACTTATTGCTAAAATTAAAACTGATTTGGATAGATGGAGCCTGATCCCCTATCTAGGACTTTTAAATAGAGTAGAAGCAATTAAGATGGTAATCTTGCCTAAACTATTATATCTATTTCAAACAATACCTGTTGACTCTTCAACAACAATGTTCCAGGAACTGGATACATTATTTTCAAGGTTTATCTGGGAAGGGAAAAAGCCTAGAATGAGATACAAAACTCTACAAATGGCAAGAAACAAGGGTGGACTCTCTCTTCCAAATCTGAATAATTATTACAGAGCGGCCCAACTAAGCCAACTAACTAATATTTGCAGCTCATCATATACAGCAAAATGGAAAGACATTGAATATAGATCTGAAGTAACCCCTGTACCGGCAATAATTGGCAACACTAATTTAATGAGTAATGTAAGGGATCTTAACCCATGGACCAAGGCAGCACTTGATATCTGGTCAAAAATAATAAAGGACAATCCAAAATGCACCCTTATGATCAAATGGATTGCGTATGACAAGGACTTTACCCCAAATGTAGGAGATAAAACATTTAAAAATTGGTCTGACAAAGGTTTAATGACTTACAATCAGTTTTATCATAAAGATCAAATGAGGAGCTATCAAGATTTGAAAAGGACCTACAATATTGACAACAAAGACTTTTTACGATACCTCCAGGTCCGCCACTACTTGAACCAAAATTATAGAGACCATACAAATCAGCTGTCGGGATTAATAACAATATTTATAAAAGCATATCAGCAAGGACCAAACAATAAGTTGATTTCTAAACTGTATGATGAGCTGCAAAACTTGCAGAATGAAAATATACTGTATATTAAAGAAAAATGGGAGAAGAGGGTAATCTCTCCATACAAATGGAAAATTGGGTTCAAATCCCTGTTAATGTATGGAAAAGCACATCATTCCCTGTATGGAGAGAGTTTTCATGGAAATGTATGGTACGTTTTTAAAAAACTCCAGTCCAGAGAGGCTCAAGTGCTGATACTTCATGTTGGAGGTTATGTGGAACCAAACGGGCTGGCCATCACCACATATTCTGGAGTTGTTCAAAAATAACCAATTACTAGATGGCTATTAAACAGGGCATTGACACAGTTTTTGGCATTAATGTTCCTTTGAATTTTGAAACTATGTTTTTGGGGATACAACCAGACTGTATAAAAGGGGCGAGTAAAAAATATATGTGGAATGTTTTACTGACAGCAAGCAAAAAAGCTATCACAAAGAAATGGATGACAGACAGAGCACCTGTGTTGGAGGACTGGATATCACTTGTTAAAGAAAATTTTCATATGGAGAGAATGACTTTTGCACTAAGTCTGGATCACGACAGATTTGAGGATTATTGGAAATTTTGGACACATTATACCAACACTTGAGGACACGTGTGATATCCCTTTGCTACTCAATTGTTCTTTTGTTTTTGTTCTATTATGTAAAAAAAAAAAAAGAAGTGTTAACAAATGTACAAATTCTAATGTACCATGTATGTAACATTGTGTAGATGTTTAATGTAAGAACTGCGGATCGAGTCAATAAACATTTTAATTATAAAAAAACCATCTTCATGAACACAAGTGGAAAGAGGTTCACTGCCGCAGACTTCAGCTGGGTCCTCACGGTGCCATCTGGGACAACTCTGCTCGACAGTTCATGAGAGACGCTGCTGTCGAGGTTTGAGGAGCAAGTCTAACTGTGACCTGTCCTCAGGCTGGGATGGTGTCTTCTCTTTCTGTTTAATGCACATGTCTCATGTCCTCAGGCTGGGATCGTGTCCTCGTCCTCTCAGGACAAACTGGTGATCGCGCTGGAGCCGGAGGCCGCTTTAGTTTGGTGTAAGAAACTTCCGTGCGATGGCTTCATCACTGAAGAACATGAAGGAGCTGCTCTCCAGCAGACTCCAGGGACTCAGTACGTCTTGTGGACTGTGGAGGTCAGTTTCATATATAAATATTCTGTGGTGGATGTGGTACACACCATCGATCACCAACTACACATGAAACACCTAAATACTAGTCTGTACAAGCTGTTTGGAGTTTGTCCTGTGGCTCTGGCAAACATCGTGGTCAGACCTCAGCGGCTGCAGGAGCTTGAAGTCCTTGGCCTGTATTGTCGATTTACTGACAGCAGATTAGAAGGACCTGATTAGATTTCCAGACAAACACAGGTGTCATGTGAAAACAAATGTCCTCTTTCAAACAGTCGTCTTTAAGGCGTCAATTCTGTGTTTCAGGAGGAACCATCAACATTACAGTTCATGAAGTCCTTGAAGGGGGAGCCCTTAAAGAGCTGCACAAAGCATCAGGAAACGACAAAGGAGGACGAAGAGTGAACAAGAGGTTTAACCAGTGTCTGAGAGAGTTCTTCTGTGGCGGTCTGTGGGAAGACTACGAGAGAGAGTTTCCCAAAGACGTTCAGACGTTTGTGGAGGATTCCATTTACCATGCGGCCCCACAGAGCCGTGTTTATAAGACCCACATCGACAGAAGTTTAAGGCAAAAGTTAAAAAGGATCGAAAAGTCTCAGGAAGAGGGCGGCTCTCTGTTCAAACCCATGGAAGGTGTGGAGCTGGAGGGGGACAAACTGAGCGTCTCAGAGAAGAAGATGAAGTCTTTCTTCCATGAGAGTCTGGTGCACATCACTGACAGTCTGTGCGAGATCCTGGACTCACATTCTCAGATACAGTATATTCTGTTAGTGGGAGGTTTCTCTCAGAGCAGGATCCTCTGTGGCCATGTGCGCCAACAGTTCAGTGACCGGGCCAGAGTGCTGTGCCCTAAGAACCCTCAGGAGGCCATTCTGAAGGGAGCTGTGGTGTTCGCACGAGACCAGGCGGTCATCCGCTCTCGCAAGAGCGCATTCACGTACGGAGTGAAGATAAGTGTGAGGTACGACAAGTCCAAACACAAGAGTAAGTTTACCAATAAAGAGGGGGACTGGTGTAATGTCATGTTTTATAAGTTAGTGGGAATCGATGAAGACGTGGGATGGGATGAAACTAGGAAGTACACCTTTATAGAGCCCTGCACTTGAGCCCTTGGCCCGAGGGCCCCGACAGCCCGAGGGCCGGGCTTCGGGCCGATGAATGTATTGCTTGCTTGCAATCACGTGACGCATCAACTTCCGGTTAGCGAACTGGTGGGCAAGCCAGCACTATGTCCGCTCGTTTGCGAAGAAAATGCGACTCTTCTCACGACTATTTTCGTGGTTTGGATTCTGTTTCTCGAGATCGATACATCGAAAAACTCAAACTGTGTAATGGTATAGACCGTTATACGTTATCCAAGAACGATTTTAGTTACGAGTTGGAAAAATACCCACCGGTGCAGTTCCCGGACATCTCCAACTATCTTGTGTTGCAGTCAAGCTTTTGCACTGCTCAACAAATGAAGGCTTGGAAAAGCATGGATGCCTACAACTTTTTCGTCTGTGGGTGGGTTAAGGAAGTCGGAGTTAAGGTCCTCACAGACAAATCCTGCATCGTAAAGAGCCGTGTAAGTAACGATTGGTTTATGAGCGTGTGTTTGCTATCATGACGTGTACCGTGTTGTTTTCAGGTCAAGCATTCGCAGTGCTCATCTAAAGCGCCAACTCATACCTGGTTATTGATAAAAGAAGATGGGGATGTTACAACTGCGCATTGTGACTGCATGGCTGGGTGAATAAATAAATCTCCGATGTAAAAACGTTTACTAGTGGCGATGTATACATGCTAGCTAGTTAAGGCTAAGCATAATTCAGTTCGTGCACATGAAGATGGCAAACGGAATGTATTGTTGTCGTGACTATCTTGGTCATTTGCTGATTCTAATGCTTTTGACGTTATGTGACATCCCTTTTAAATAGCTTGGCTGAGTCGTGCTCCCATGTTGGCGCTGTTCTGTACGCGCTGGAGACTGGAGTGAGGATGCGTGAATCTGTGGCTTGTACAGATGAGAAGAGCAAGTGGTTGATGCCAACTCATGTCGACAAAGTAAGCAGCTATTATCTTTTTTGGCTTTTAGTATGAACTGTACTCAATAGATTTTCACTTTTTTATTGATTGTATTTTATTTCAACTTTATAAACAGGAATCAATTATAGATTTAACAGCAATAATATATAATACATGATAGAAATGTACATACATGTCTTCCAAGAGCTTTATGAGCCACAACCTACAATTATGCTTTATCTCCACACAGTACAATATATTTTTCATAAAATCGTCTTGAGCAGAGCACTCAAATTCAATTATTTATTTCTTCATTTATTAGTTTAGCTGTCACACTCGTTGACTTTAAGTAGAGCTGATTATCACCCGTGTGACTGCCTCACTTTACCATTAGACAAAGGTAGCTTTTAGTTTTGTTTTCATAATTTTCATTGATTGAAGGAATTCATTATTTCCCAATGAGACCTTGCTAGAAGAGAAATAGGGGTGTTTTTTATTTTAAATTGATGTAATACTTTCGTAATACGTATTGTCTCTCCGTAGATTCCTGTTGCCTCTGTATCAAGGATCGATTTTGCTTCAGCAAGAGCAAAAAAGCAACGATTGGATGATGCCATCTCCTGCTCTACAATTGAACCCAAAAAGAAGCCTGCCAAACCATGTCCAACTGTGGCTAAAGGTTCTGAGACGTACAAGAGATTCTTTGAGGAACTGCCCAAAAAGTGCTGCACTCATTACAAATGAGGCCTTCTATAAAAAAATTCATCCCCAAGTCTGCCACTCCCACGCTCCCAAAGTCAATCATGGACTGTCGTACTGAGGATACAGTCTCATTATCCGATGGTGACATGGACGAGTTGTGCAAGACATTCGCCTTGCCAGCACTTACAGCCTCGCACATAAGTGCAGTTGAGAGGGAGACTCGAAAACAGGCAAGCTCAAGGATTTGGTTCCGTCAAAGGGCCGGTCGCATCACTGCGTCCAAACTGAAGCAAGCTCTCCACACTACAGTTGATAAACCAGCCAAGAGTCTTATCAAGGCTGTATGTTATCCAGAGGCAAACAGATTCTCATCATTAGCTACCAGGTATGAGGTAATTTTTTATTCTGTTGAATTTAATTGCAATTTAACCCACTATGGTCCACATCTGCTTATCAATTCAAACCCCTCCATTTATGTTTGATTCAAATGAACTATCTTTGCATATTCATATTTTGGGGGTTTGTGCACTTGACAAGCCTTAACAGGGGTGCTTATTGGAATACATTTCAGTAAATAGAAATACATGAACCACAGTTGATTTCATGTCATGAAAATGAATCATATATGTTTACATTCATAGGTATGGGTGCCAGCATGAAGCACAGGCAAGACAGGAGTATGAGAAGGCGATGGCAGAGTTGCATGATGGGTTCTCCGTTGCAAACAGTGGATTGCACCTGAATGCAAAATGGCCATACATGGGAGCATCACCAGACGGAATAGTGAATTGTGAATGTCACGGGACTGGAGTTTGCGAAATTAAGGTACAGTGTATGACGCACTCATTATAGACCATGTTGGGTAGTAACTGAATACTTATATTTAGAATACTAATTTCAAGTCACTATGTTTAGGTACAATTACTGTCATTTGAGGGTACTTGGAATACAGTTACTTTTCAAAAAACACAGGAATACATGCATTACTCAGTCCTATACAATACAATACAATTTATTCTTGTATAGCCCTAGGTCACAACAGAAGTCGGACACAGAAGGAAGGAAGGGAGACGAGAACCATGTGGCACTATAGATGCCACACACTAAGGAAGGAAGGGAGACGAGAACCATGTGGCACTATAGATGCCACACACACTAAGGAAGGAAGGGAGACGAGAACCATGTGGCACTATAGATGCCACCACACTAAGGAAGGAAGGGAGACGAGAACCATGTGGCACTATAGATGCCACCACACTAAGGAAGGAAGGGAGACGAGAACCATGTGGCACTATAGATGCCACACACTAAGGAAGGAAGGGAGACGAGAACCATGTGGCACTATAGATGCCAACACTAAGGAAGGAAGGAGACGAGAACCATGTGGCACTATAGATGCCACGACCACTAAGGAAGGAAGGGAGACGAGAACCATGTGGCACTATAGATGCCACGACACTAAGGAAGGAAGGGAGACGAGAACCATGTGGCACTATAGATGCCACGACACTAAGGAAGGAAGGGAGACGAGAACCATGTGGCACTATAGATGCCACGACACTAAGGAAGGAAGGGAGACGAGAACCATGTGGCACTATAGATGCCACCACACTAAGGAAGGAAGGGAGACGAGAACCATGTGGCACTATAGATGCCACCACACTAAGGAAGGAAGGGAGACGAGAACCATGTGGCACTATAGATGCCACGACACTAAGGAAGGAAGAGAGACGAGAACCATGTGGCACTATAGATGCCACGACACTAAGGAAGGAAGGAGACGAGAACCATGTGGCACTATAGATGCCACGACACTAAGGAAGGAAGGGAGACGAGAACCATGTGGCACTATAGATGGACACTAAGGAAGGAAGGAGACGAGATGCAGCACACTAAGGAAGAAGGGAAGAACCATGTGGCACTATAGATGCCACGACACTAAGGAAGGAAGGAGACGAGAACCATGTGGCACTATAGATGCACGACACTAAGGAAGAAGGAGAGAACCAACAGAAAACGAGAACCATGTGGCACTATAGATGCCACGACACTAAGGAAGGAAGGAGACGAGAACCATGTGGCACTATAGATGCCACGACACTAAGGAAGGAAGGAGACGAGAACCATGTGGCACTATAGATGCCACGACACTAAGGAAGGAAGGAGGAGACGAGAACCATGTGGCACTATAGATGCTACCACACTAAGGAAGGAAGGGAGACGAGAACCATGTGGCACTATAGATGCCACCACACTAAGGAAGGAAGGGAGACGAGAACCATGTGGCACTATAGATGCCACGACACTAAGGAAGGAAGGGAGACGAGAACCATGTGGCACTATAGATGCTACGACACTAAGGAAGGAAGGGAGACGAGAACCATGTGGCACTATAGATGCCACGACACTAAGGAAGGAAGAGAGACGAGAACCATGTGGCACTATAGATGCCACGACACTAAGGAAGGAAGGGAGACGAGAACCATGTGGCACTATAGATGCCACGACACTAAGGAAGGAAGGGAGACGAGAACCATGTGGCACTATAGATGCCACCACACTAAGGAAGGAAGGGAGACGAGAACCATGTGGCACTATAGATGCCACGACACTAAGGAAGGAAGGGAGACGAGAACCATGTGGCACTATAGATGCCACCACACTAAGGAAGGAAGGGAGACGAGAACCATGTGGCACTATAGATGCTACGACACTAAGGAAGGAAGGGAGACGAGAACCATGTGGCACTATAGATGCCACGACACTAAGGAAGGAAGGGAGACGAGAACCATGTGGCACTATAGATGCCACGACACTAAGGAAGGAAGGGAGACGAGAACCATGTGGCACTATAGATGCCACGACACTAAGGAAGGAAGAGAGACGAGAACCATGTGGCACTATAGATGCCACCACACTAAGGAAGGAAGAGAGACGAGAACCATGTGGCACTATAGATGCTACGACACTAAGGAAGGAAGAGAGACGAGAACCATGTGGCACTATAGATGCCACGACACTAAGGAAGGAAGGGAGACGAGAACCATGTGGCACTATAGATGCCACGACACTAAGGAAGGAAGAGAGACGAGAACCATGTGGCACTATAGATGCCACCACACTAAGGAAGGAAGGGAGACGAGAACCATGTGGCACTATAGATGCCACGACACTAAGGAAGGAAGAGAGACGAGAACCATGTGGCACTATAGATGCTACGACACTAAGGAAGGAAGGGAGACGAGAACCATGTGGCACTATAGATGCTACGACACTAAGGAAGGAAGGGAGACGAGAACCATGTGGCACTATAGATGCCACCACACTAAGGAAGGAAGGGAGACGAGAACCATGTGGCACTATAGATGCCACGACACTAAGGAAGGAAGAGAGACGAGAACCATGTGGCACTATAGATGCCACGACACTAAGGAAGAGAGACGAGAACCATGTGGCACTATAGATGCCACGACACTAAGGAAGGAAGGGAGACGAGAACCATGTGGCACTATAGATGCCACGACACTAAGGAAGGAAGGGAGACGAGAACCATGTGGCACTATAGATGCCACGACACTAAGGAAGGAAGAGAGACGAGAACCATGTGGCACTATAGATGCCACGACACTAAGGAAGGAAGAGAGACGAGAACCATGTGGCACTATAGATGCTACGACACTAAGGAAGGAAGAGAGACGAGAACCATGTGGCACTATAGATGCCACCACACTAAGGAAGGAAGGGAGACGAGAACCATGTGGCACTATAGATGCCACCACACTAAGGAAGGAAGGGAGACGAGAACCATGTGGCACTATAGATGCCACCACACTAAGGAAGGAAGAGAGACGAGAACCATGTGGCACTATAGATGCCACGACACTAAGGAAGGAAGGGAGACGAGAACCATGTGGCACTATAGATGCTACGACACTAAGGAAGGAAGGGAGACGAGAACCATGTGGCACTATAGATGCCACCACACTAAGGAAGGAAGAGAGACGAGAACCATGTGGCACTATAGATGCCACGACACTAAGGAAGGAAGAGAGACGAGAACCATGTGGCACTATAGATGCCACGACACTAAGGAAGGAAGAGAGACGAGAACCATGTGGCACTATAGATGCCACGACACTAAGGAAGGAAGAGAGACGAGAACCATGTGGCACTATAGATGCCACCACACTAAGGAAGGAAGAGAGACGAGAACCATGTGGCACTATAGATGCCACCACACTAAGGAAGGAAGAGAGACGAGAACCATGTGGCACTATAGATGCTACGACACTAAGGAAGGAAGGGAGACGAGAACCATGTGGCACTATAGATGCTACCACACTAAGGAAGGAAGGGAGACGAGAACCATGTGGCACTATAGATGCCACCACACTAAGGAAGGAAGGGAGACGAGAACCATGTGGCACTATAGATGCCACCACACTAAGGAAGGAAGGGAGACGAGAACCATGTGGCACTATAGATGCTACGACACTAAGGAAGAGAGACGAGAACCATGTGGCACTATAGATGCCACGACACTAAGGAAGGAAGGGAGACGAGAACCATGTGGCACTATAGATGCCACGACACTAAGGAAGGAAGAGAGACGAGAACCATGTGGCACTATAGATGCCACGACACTAAGGAAGAAGGAGACGAGAACCATGTGGCACTATAGATGCCACCACACTAAGGAAGGAAGGGAGACGAGAACCATGTGGCACTATAGATGCCACGACACTAAGGAAGAGAGACGAGAACCATGTGGCACTATAGATGCTACGACACTAAGGAAGAGAGACGAGAACCATGTGGCACTATAGATGCCACGACACTAAGGAAGGAAGGGAGACGAGAACCATGTGGCACTATAGATGCCACCACACTAAGGAAGGAAGGGAGACGAGAACCATGTGGCACTATAGATGCCACCACACTAAGGAAGGAAGAGAGACGAGAACCATGTGGCACTATAGATGCCACGACACTAAGGAAGGAAGGGAGACGAGAACCATGTGGCACTATAGATGCCACGACACTAAGGAAGGAAGGGAGACGAGAACCATGTGGCACTATAGATGCCACCACACTAAGGAAGGAAGAGAGACGAGAACCATGTGGCACTATAGATGCCACGACACTAAGGAAGGAAGGGAGACGAGAACCATGTGGCACTATAGATGCCACGACACTAAGGAAGGAAGAGAGACGAGAACCATGTGGCACTATAGATGCCACGACACTAAGGAAGGAAGAGAGACGAGAACCATGTGGCACTATAGATGCCACCACACTAAGGAAGGAAGAGAGACGAGAACCATGTGGCACTATAGATGCCACCACACTAAGGAAGGAAGAGAGACGAGAACCATGTGGCACTATAGATGCTACGACACTAAGGAAGGAAGGGAGACGAGAACCATGTGGCACTATAGATGCCACGACACTAAGGAAGGAAGGGAGACGAGAACCAGTGGCACTATAGATGCCACCACACTAAGGAAGGAAGGGAGACGAGAACCATGTGGCACTATAGATGCCACCACACTAAGGAAGGAAGGGAGACGAGAACCATGTGGCACTATAGATGCCACGACACTAAGGAAGGAAGGGAGACGAGAACCATGTGGCACTATAGATGCCACACACTAAGGAAGGAAGGGAGACGAGAACCATGTGGCACTATAGATGCCACGACACTAAGGAAGGAAGGGAGACGAGAACCATGTGGCACTATAGATGCCACGACACTAAGGAAGGAAGGAGACGAGAACCATGTGGCACTATAGATGCCACACACTAAGGAAGGAAGGGAGACGAGAACCATGTGGCACTATAGATGCCACGACACTAAGGAAGGAAGAGAGACGAGAACCATGTGGCACTATAGATGCACGACACTAAGGAAGGAAGGAGACGAGAACCATGTGGCACTATAGATGCTACGACACTAAGGAAGGAAGGAGACGAGAACCATGTGGCACTATAGATGCCACGACACTAAGGAAGGAAGGGAGACGAGAACCATGTGGCACTATAGATGCTACGACACTAAGGAAGGAAGGGAGACGAGAACCATGTGGCACTATAGATGCCACGACACTAAGGAAGGAAGAGAGACGAGAACCATGTGGCACTATAGATGCCACGACACTAAGGAAGGAAGGGAGAGGAGAACCATGTGGCACTATAGATGCTACGACACTAAGGAAGGAAGGGAGACGAGAACCAGTGGCACTATAGATGCCACCACACTAAGGAAGGAAGAGAGACGAGAACCATGTGGCACTATAGATGCCACGACACTAAGGAAGGAAGAGAGACGAGAACCATGTGGCACTATAGATGCCACGACACTAAGGAAGGAAGAGAGACGAGAACCATGTGGCACTATAGATGCCACGACACTAAGGAAGGAAGAGAGACGAGAACCATGTGGCACTATAGATGCCACCACACTAAGGAAGGAAGAGAGACGAGAACCATGTGGCACTATAGATGCCACGACACTAAGGAAGGAAGAGAGACGAGAACCATGTGGCACTATAGATGCCACCACACTAAGGAAGGAAGGGAGACGAGAACCATGTGGCACTATAGATGCCACCACACTAAGGAAGGAAGAGAGACGAGAACCATGTGGCACTATAGATGCTACGACACTAAGGAAGGAAGAGAGACGAGAACCATGTGGCACTATAGATGCCACGACACTAAGGAAGGAAGGGAGACGAGAACCATGTGGCACTATAGATGCCACCACACTAAGGAAGGAAGGGAGACGAGAACCATGTGGCACTATAGATGCCACGACACTAAGGAAGGAAGGGAGACGAGAACCATGTGGCACTATAGATGCCACGACACTAAGGAAGGAAGGGAGACGAGAACCATGTGGCACTATAGATGCCACGACACTAAGGAAGGAAGAGAGACGAGAACCATGTGGCACTATAGATGCCACCACACTAAGGAAGGAAGGGAGACGAGAACCATGTGGCACTATAGATGCCACGACACTAAGGAAGGAAGAGAGACGAGAACCATGTGGCACTATAGATGCTACGACACTAAGGAAGGAAGGGAGACGAGAACCATGTGGCACTATAGATGCCACCACACTAAGGAAGGAAGGGAGACGAGAACCATGTGGCACTATAGATGCTACGACACTAAGGAAGGAAGGGAGACGAGAACCATGTGGCACTATAGATGCCACGACACTAAGGAACGAAGGGAGACGAGAACCATGTGGCACTATAGATGCCACGACACTAAGGAAGGAAGGGAGACGAGAACCATGTGGCACTATAGATGCCACGACACTAAGGAAGGAAGAGAGACAAGAACCATGTGGCACTATAGATGCCACCACACTAAGGAAGGAAGAGAGACGAGAACCATGTGGCACTATAGATGCCACGACACTAAGGAAGGAAGAGAGACGAGAACCATGTGGCACTATAGATGCCACGACACTAAGGAAGGAAGGGAGACGAGAACCATGTGGCACTATAGATGCCACGACACTAAGGAAGGAAGAGAGACGAGAACCATGTGGCACTATAGATGCCACCACACTAAGGAAGGAAGGGAGACGAGAACCATGTGGCACTATAGATGCCACGACACTAAGGAAGGAAGAGAGACGAGAACCATGTGGCACTATAGATGCCACGACACTAAGGAAGGAAGGGAGACGAGAACCATGTGGCACTATAGATGCCACCACACTAAGGAAGGAAGGGAGACGAGAACCATGTGGCACTATAGATGCCACGACACTAAGGAAGGAAGAGAGACGAGAACCATGTGGCACTATAGATGCCACGACACTAAGGAAGGAAGAGAGACGAGAACCATGTGGCACTATAGATGCTACGACACTAAGGAAGGAAGAGAGACGAGAACCATGTGGCACTATAGATGCCACGACACTAAGGAAGGAAGGGAGACGAGAACCATGTGGCACTATAGATGCCACGACACTAAGGAAGGAAGAGAGACGAGAACCATGTGGCACTATAGATGCCACCACACTAAGGAAGGAAGGGAGACGAGAACCATGTGGCACTATAGATGCCACGACACTAAGGAAGGAAGAGAGACGAGAACCATGTGGCACTATAGATGCTACGACACTAAGGAAGGAAGGGAGACGAGAACCATGTGGCACTATAGATGCTACCACACTAAGGAAGGAAGGGAGACGAGAACCATGTGGCACTATAGATGCCACGACACTAAGGAAGGAAGAGAGACGAGAACCATGTGGCACTATAGATGCTACGACACTAAGGAAGGAAGAGAGACGAGAACCATGTGGCACTATAGATGCCACCACACTAAGGAAGGAAGAGAGACGAGAACCATGTGGCACTATAGATGCCACGACGCTAAGGAAGGAAGGGAGACGAGAACCATGTGGCACTATAGATGCCACGACACTAAGGAATCGAGACGAGAACCATGTGGCACTATAGATGCCACGACACTTCTGTGGAACCAGGTCTGCAAGAAGGAGGGTAAAGAGACAGGAGAGTGACGCTGTACAGCAGATACCATAAACATAACGGCAGAACAGAGTCCACAAGAAGGAGTAAGGAAACCTGTTTGGAACTAAATAATGTTCAGTATTTAACCATGTTACATTGTTCTGTATCAAAAATAAACCTAAGATACACTGCAAAAAGTGTTAAGTAATACATGCTCAAATGCTCAAATTTGTCAAAATGTGTCTTTGCATTTTACAGACCAAAGCGCTTTACAATGTTCAGAGTTCAGATATTGTTCCATTCTCTCCACACGGTGAAGTGAGACCTGAACACACTGGTCCATCAAAGCCTCCGACCAAACACCCTCTGTTCACTCATTCACTCATTCCATTCAGACATGGTACATGGTTTTGGTTGGAAGGGGAAACCGGAGCACTCGGAGGAAACCTATGCGGACATGGGAAGAACATGCAAACTCCACTCAGAGAGGCCCTGTTCCGACCGGGAATCGAACCCAAGACCCCCCCACTTCTTGCTGAGAAGTGAGTGTGCTAACCACGCTAACCAGGAAAGGTGGCTGAGTATAACAAGAACCAGAAGGAACCGTATTATAAAATAAATGTCACCCAACCACCACAAAACCCCAAACCACCCTCCCACTCCACCCCAACCCACCCCTAACCCCCCAACAACCCCACCCCACCTACCACCACACAACACACCCAACAACCCCCCAACACAACCCTACCCACATTCCACCCCGCACACGCCCCTGTTACAACGCACCCCTTCCCCTCCGCCGCCACACCCCACACCTTCACCACCAATAACCCCACACAGTACCCAACAACAATAACACACCCAAACCACCCTCCATCCACCCCCAACCCCACATAACCACACACAATATACCATAAAAAAAAAAACAAAAATTTGTAAACCACCCATCACATTACACCCACCTAACAACCATACACTCACCAACAAACCAACATTCACCACAATTAAACACAAACATTCAAAAATTCCACACACACACATTAACCACACATATTAAAACAACATAAACAAAACTTAAACCACACATCCACACACCCCTACCACCCCCCCCTTCAAACACACCAATAAAAACATTAAACAAACATTCAACACCCCTACAACACAAATTCACCCCCCCTCACCCCACAACAATAAAAACCGCTTGATGCTATCAAACATTCGCAACAACAAATTAAACACACAATACAAACAAACATTTAAACACACACACAGTAAACAACAATAAACACACAAATTAAAACCCCAATTAAAACACACACATAATACACAAACGAACAACACACCGTTAACACACACCGTTAAACAACACACGTTAAAAACACCCAAGCCAACACACAATTGAAAACAGAAATTAAAACACAACATGTAAATCACACACAAATTAAACCAACATTAAACAACACATTAAACAACACATTAAACACCACACATCCAACAACACACCTCAACCCCACACATAAAAAACCCACATTAATAAACACAAATAAAAACACGTTAAACACACCATTAAACACAACACTTCGGAGTCGCGGTTCTTTGCGTGAATTCTTGCCGTGAGAATTAGTTGAGACTCATATTTTTGTTAGTTAAAAAATGATACTCATGAAGTATCAATGTGCATCATCCTGTTCATGATGCCATCCTAATGTCATGAGATGTTCGCATATGTCATCATGAAGTCATATATGAATCATCGTTACAGGTAGAATGGGCTGTTGCACAGAGAGGTGTGGACGTAATCTCCTGTATAACTTTAGAACGGCTCATTTACTGCCAGGTACGTTGAAGTGAGTCTCGTCAGGTTCGAGTCCCGGAGTTCAGGTCCCGTGTCTCAGCCGAGTCTCAGTCAAGTACAATCGCGGTTAGCCAGAGTCTTCATCCGAGTTTATCGCGATTCATCTCGATCCTCGCAATTGAGTCTCAATCTCCAAATCTCAACCGGGTCTCAGTCGAGTCTCAGCCCGAGTCTCAGGTCAGAGTCTCAGTCCAGAGGTATCAGTCAGCGTTCTGTCCAGAGTCTCAGTCCAGAGTTGTAGAGTGAGACGACATATAAGTGTTTGCAAATCCAGAAGACATTGAAGATTTCAAAGAAGCACAAAAACAGATTTAGACCAGAAAAACAGTGTCTGAGTTTACTTTTACATGGACGTAAGAGGAGCAAATACACAAAGCGACTTCATGAGAGGGTTGCATATGATTGGATATAGGCTACAAAAGGCAAAGACGGAGGGAGATTTACAGTACCTGTCATTGAGTTACGCCTCTTCCCGCGTGATGGAGGGGTACTGTCCTCGGGGCTGACTGGGTGGGGTATCGTTCTCCGGCGGCTGATGGTGTGGGTATGTTTGGGGTGATGGTGGGGTATGTTTGGGTGGATGGTGGGGTACTGTTCCTCGGGGTGATGGTGGGGTATGTCCTTCGGGGTGACTGGTGGGGTATGTTCCTCGGGGTGATGGTGGGGTCAGTTCTTCGTGGTGACTAGGTGGGGTACTCGTTTGGAGGATGGGGAGTGCACAAAGCAGATGGGATGAAGATGACCTTTGTGTTGGGGTTTGGCGCTGGAGATTAGGTGGGTGTTAGCCCGGGCGTTAGCCCGGGGTTTAGAGGTTTGCGTGGGGTTTGGCTGGGGGTTTGGCTGAGTTTGGCCGGGGTATGGCGGGGTTTGGGGGGGGTTTTTATCTGACGGTTAGTGGGGGGTTTTGTTGGTGGTTTGGCTGCGGTTTGGCCGGGGTATGGTGGGGGAATGGCGGGTTTGGAAACGGGTTCTCCTGGATGGTTTTGTCCACTTAAACAAACATTAACCAAAATTAAATCAATCCCAATTACCATCAATACAACGCCAACAAAAGAACAACACATAAATAACACACAATAAACAAACTAAAAAACTTAAAACCTACCATTCACAAATACACACCATAACCGGCCAAGCCATTGAAACACCCCCCACATTAAAAAAATTACATACTTACAACCCAATCAAAACCCTTACACTCAACTTAACAAACCCAACACATCAAAACAAATTCAAAAAAATTAAAAACACATCCAAACACCACAATAAATACACACAATTAAAACCTACCATTAACAATCACGAAACATCAAAAAATCAAAAAACCTTACCACACATCAAACACAACATAAAACACACTATTAAACACCAACATCAAAGCCACACATAAAAAAATTAAACACACACAATAAACACCTTAAACACACATTACCAGACACACATTAAACACACAGAGTTAGGCCGGTGTCAGGGCCGAGTTCAGGCCGTTTCTCAGTCCGAGTCTAGGAGTTCGAGAGCGGGTCTAGGCAGAGTCTCAGGGAGAGTCTCACGCGAAGTGTCTCAGCCGGAGTTAGGCGAGTTTCAGGCGAGTGTCAGAGAGTCTAGGCGAGTTTACGCGGTTCAGGCGAAGTCTAGGAGTCTCAGGGAGTTCAGTCGAGTCAGGCGAGTTCAGCGAGTTGAATAAGCATACAAGATTAGACCAAAAAAAGTGATTCGATTCAGTACTGTCGGTGAAGTATCCCTCTTTCGGGTCGGACTAGTGAAGGGACTGTACTTCAGTTTGGGATGGTGAGGGACTCGTTTTGGGGTGGATGGTGAGGGAGACTCGTTTTGGGTGGATGGTGAGGAATCGTTCTTCCGGGTCGGATGGTGAGGGTGATCTGTTCTGGACAGATTGGAGTGAACAAAGCAGGAATGGGATGAGGTTGTCCCTTTGACGGGGTTTGGCTGGGGGTTTGGCCTGATGTTTTGGCCGGGGTTTGGCCGGGTTTGGGACGGGTCTCACTGGACTTGTCTTTGCTCCTCCTGATGGGGCGTGAGACAGAGCAGTGTGGTTGGTTATATATGTCTCAGGCAGCAACATTAAAACATGTTTTTCAGACCTAGGTCTGGTCAAAGCAGGACGGTCCACAGGCCAGCCGGAGGGACGGTTCGAGGGGAGGCGACCGTTGCATTGAAGTTCCTTCATTGGACACACAATACTGCCTGCTATAGTAGTGTATATGTATTACTGCTGCTGCGCCTACTTTGCTATGTACTGTACTGAGCTACTACTGCTACTGCTTGCGACACAGTGTGAGTGTTGTGACACATCCCCTCAAACAGGTATTCACTGTGGTTTTACGCAATGGTCAAAAAAATGAATCTGAATCTGTCCTATATGTACTATTGCTATACTGTATACTGCTAAATACTATATGCTACTATGCTCCTTCACTACTGGCTGAGAAATAGATCTGTACTAGCTATATATCTACTTCTATTCGACTTAATAGGAATATAAGAGTTCTTACTGTGTATGCGTGTGTTTGATGCTCAGTGGATCTTGCAGTGCTCTGTGTTGACGATAGAACAAAGGAACCAGAAACGAGAATTAGCGGAGGATTCCAGGAAACAGTCCACAGGACACCAAACTCGATACAGACCCGGCATCAGAACATGGAACGTCGACAGCACAGAAGTCCCGACACAGTCACGTCCAAGACACGTCTCGAGACAGACGGACAGGCTGAGACAGAACGTGCACGACACGGACGTCACAGGACACGGGACAGTCACAGACATAGACCCGACGCGTCACGAAGAGAAGGGCGCAGCAGAGCACAGACAGTCCACCGAACAGGGACGTCAGACAACGCCCCAGGGCGTCCAAGACACGGAGAATTTGAGGGGAAGTGTTTTCGCTCCTCTCAGTCGAGTGGATCACCTGTGACAGTCATGTGGGCAGGTTGTTTTTCACCTAGAAAGTTGGGTTCACTCAAGACAGCGTCTTTCTGTGTGCAGTTTGTATGTTCCCTGTTGTTGCATAGGTTGTCTCAGGTGCTCCTATTTCTCCGATAAAATTTTACATAGATCAGTGTGAGATTGGCTAGGACTGAAAGCCTCAAAAGATAGGCTTTTAAATATACGCATTTTTAAAATTACTCGTAAGTATGTTATTATAGCCGAGGTATAAAGATAATGTAGATTCATCACCATGTAATATTAATTTAATGTGTGAATGTTCTGAAACGTGATATCGGTGTTGAGTTGAGTTATATCATTTGATGAAGATATTATGCATTGTCTTTAAACTACTGTGTTTCCATGATCCTGTGACTGAAAGGTGGATGTTTTAACAGGTTCATGGGTTATTTCTGACCGTTGTCTTTCAGTTTTGCATGTGGTTAATGGGATTGACCATAAGGTCACAGAGTTTGGGTTGTGAGTGTGATTTTTGAGTTGTCGGCGTGTGATCAGACTGTGAACCTTTTTAGGTAGAATGGTTGAACAGTGTCAAAAACTAAAGGTTTGGGCCTATATGGATCTTTGGAGTGGACATTGTATGTTGCTGCAGTTGCAGTGTTTCATGGTTTTACCCTTGTTGCAAAGCGAGCGGTATTCATGGTTTACATGGTTGAGCCCAGGAGAGGAGGATTAAGGTTTTACATGGTCGACAGGGGGTAGAGGATTATGGTTTTACATGGTCCAGACAGAGCAGAGAGGTATTATGGTTGACTGTCTCTGACTCAGCGAGCGGGATTTATGGTTTTACACTGGTCCTGACAGAGCAGAAGAGGATTCATGGTGTTTCATGTGGGTAGACCAGAGCAGAGTGGATTTCATGGTTTGCATGTTCTGAGCTGAGCAGAGAGGATTCATGGTTTTACATGGTCAAGACCGAGTGCGAGAGATTCTGTTTTACACTGGTCCAGACCAGAGCAGAGAGGATTACTGGTTTTACACTGGTCCTGACAGAGCATGGAGAGGAGTCTGGTGTACACTGGTCCAGACCAGTAGCAGAGAAAATGGTCCGATGCTCGTTTCTGCTGCTGTGTCCTGAAGGTACTGTGTCTTATTATTATATTATTGTTAGATTTTTAGAATCTGTAAGGTCTGAATCCTGTCGGTCCTGTACTCTGTGCGGTCCTGAACTCTGTAAAGGTTGCCTCTGTGGTCGGAACTCAGTGCGGTTCTGAATTGTAGGTCTGAATCCATGTACGGTAGAATTCTGTGAGGTCTGAGAACTCTGTTGAGGTTCTGAATCTGTGGGTGTGAAACTCCTGTGAGGTCTGATCCTGTGGTCTGAATGCTGTGAGGTCTGAAATCTGTACGGTCTGAAACTCCTGTGAGGTCTGAATCTGATGAGGTCCTGAACTCTGTAAGGTCTGGAATTGTGAGGTCTGATTGTAAGGACTGAACTTGTGAGGTCTGAACTCTGGTGAGGTCTGAACTCCTGTGCGGTATGAATCTGTAAGGTTGAATCTGGTGAGGTCAGAACTCCTGTAAGGTCCTGATTCGCTGGTGAGGTTGAATCTTGTGGAGTGTCCTGAACTTCTGTGAGGTCGCGGAACTTGTTAAGGTCTGAATTGTTTCATGTTAAGATGATGTTTATTAGCTTTGCAGTAAAACTATTCATTGGAATAAATTTGCAATGTTTGCATCTGTCTGTTACATCGAATGATAAACATTCTGAGAAGGAAGGAGCTGGAACTGGTTTTCCATGGGCAGACGAGTCAGTGATATTTAAGAGCTTGATTAAAAAGTTCGAGTGTCAGTATTCTGTTGCAGTGTCAGTTTATTTACATTAGGGTAGAAGTAAAGAAAAAGAATTGATGGGCGCCCATTGCATGTTCTGATACAAAAGTTACCCATAAACACATTTCAATGACTAAAAACAACACAAAATCCATCAGTTCGTCTGTCCAGGATCGACTGTGACAATTTTTTTTAGAATAACAAGAAGAATTATACTTTCATTTCTCTGAGAGGTTGTTAAGTGAGGCCCATGAAAGAGAATTCTGAGTGTGATTCTCTAATTTTGGTAAAATACATTTATGTCACTTTACATCTATTAGTTTTTTAAATGTTGAAAATATTTTGAACTGAGATCGGACTCAGTACTTTAATGTCTTCTGCAGTTTGTGGTTATGTGCTCAGTTTGTCTGTATAAAACCACGGTAAGGTTAGCACACGACCTGAATCTCGGTTCCAAGATCAAAGTCCACATAATTTCCATTAGTTGTTTGTTTTTCTCGGAGCTCGTCGAGTTGGACACAAGTGAACAGAGGGAGACATTAGGACAGATGGTGGAGCGGGGGAATGGGCGAGGTTGAGTCGGGATGTGGAGCTCGCTGAGCGGCCAGATCTGTGGCGTGTCATGCTTGGAGAGACCATACTGAGGAACACAGAGCAGATTATGAGGAGTGTGAATCACACAGAGTGAATACACGAGTGAATCACACAGGTGAATCACTCTCAGTGTGACATCCCACAGATGTGACATACACAGAGTGACATCACAAGTGATGACATACGCCACAGAGTGATTCTCAGACAGTGGTGACTACATCAGTGTGAAGCACCTCCAGTGTGATCATCACCACAGAGTGACATCACCTCAGTGGACATACCACTGTGTGAACATCACGCCAGGTGAATCCCAAGAGTGAATTCCAAGTGTGACTACTAGAGTGAAATACACAGTAGTGCATCACAGAGTGTGAATCAAGAGTAACATCAAAGAGAGACCTACCAGTGTGGGACATCACAGTGTGCCATACCAGTGTGACTTCGCACCAGAGTGTGACTCACCACGTGTGACATCACGTGTGACATCACAAGTGTGAATCACGCAAGAGTGGCAGATGTCACACAGTGTGACATGCATAGTGTGAAGAAAAGCATTTTTTAGATACGGTGTTGCAGTTTCTTCCATAGGCTTTTTTGGATGGGTTTTAATAGTGTCAAGACTCAGTTACATGTGTCACAGCCTCCATTACACTGTGTTACAGACTCACATTAACTGTGTTAGATCACAATTACATTGTGTCAAGACTATTACTAGCTGGTGTCAGATTACATTATGTGTTAAGACTCACATGGACACTGTGTTAATGACTCACATTACACTGGGTTTCAGACGCCTCAGTTACATGTGTTATGAACTAAAACCAATATGTGTAAGATACATTACACTGTGTTAAGATATTTACACCTGTTCACTGATCACGTTACTTGTGTTAAGAGCTCATTACACTGTGTTTACAGATAACATTACATGTGTTACAGACTCAATTACACCTGTGTTACAGTTCTCACATTAATGTGTTAAGATACTTCATGTGTTACAGACTACATCATCTGTGTTCGGCCTCACATTAAAGTGGTTACCAGACCGTCAATAACTGTTGTACTGACTCACATTACACTGCTGTTACAGACCTCAATTATCACCTGGTTAAGACCTACATTCTGTGTTACTATATTTATAAATAGTAAAATAATCTTCACTGTAGAGAAATGTTGTGTATGATGTCATCAAATTGAGGATGAATAATTTATAAACAAAGTTCGTTATCTCAACATGGGTATGTAAAGATAATTTGAATTTAATATACTCCTTTGTTACTGTCGACAAGAAGGTTAATGCAGCTGTGTAAAACACGTTTAGATAACTATGGTCAGTGTCATGGGGGGCTGGAGGGGAGGATCCATTGGCTATTTAGTGAACTCAGAAATAGCATCCGTGTTCAACGAGGTTGGAGTGTCTCTTGTTTGGACAGTGTGACCCAGTTGTGCGACGTATTTTTTTTTTTTTTTTAGACGGTTTGTTCTGTAGGAGAAATGTGTCTGTATGTTGGATGGGTGACGACAAGGTTGTTGTTAACTGTGCTTCCTGCACAGTGAATAGGGTACTTTGTTTGTTTACTCATTGTTAGTTAAGAACGATGAAGATAAAGAAAAGATACACTTGCACTAGAAAGAATCCTGTATGATCGGTGGTTCTTAAAGCATCAATGTGCTGTTGGTTCGCAAATTGGTATGTTGTGACATCATAAAGGCGCTTGTGTGCATGTTAGAACGGTTAATCGGGGTGACCGACTAAATCATATGTTTTACAGTACATTGTATCAATTTATCTCTGAACTTTAATAAATTCCAAAGTGCTGTACATGATATGTCTTTTTGTGCATCAACCAGATTTTGGGTGTGGGACTTGATCCTTACACTAACTTATGGAAAGATGAAGGTGGTCCAGGTCGTGATGAGTTTAAGAAGAGATGTGTTTAGGCAAACTCCATTGTTTCAGTAAACTAGACAATGTGATATCATTGGTGAGGGTGGCCTCTGACTGTGCGCGGCGCTCTATGACGAGTGAGGGGATGGGGTGTGGCAGGAATATTATTGTATGTTTTTATTTATGTCAGTAATTTATTATTTCAATCTTTACATTATTTAGAGTATGAACAGCTAAAATGAAAATCCAGAGAGAGAGAAGAGAAGATTATAATAGGATCAAGGCAGTAAACTCACGACATGTCTCAGTGCGTCGCGACAGAACCATCATCTGAACCCTGGTTATAAGGGTGTGGTTTTAGGTCATGCGGTCTGTATATTTTATGGTGAATGTTATTTTGACAGAGCAGATTGGGTGTCAATGAGTTCGACTCAGGTCTGTGGCCTTTGCTTGATCTCAGTTGAGCAGAAGACACTCCAGTTTAGATCGACGATCCATGCCTTTGCTGGTGGTGTGGATGGCAAGTACAGAGGAAGGCCCTCCACCCATATCAGTATGTCAAGACTTCTCTCAGTGCGGTTAGAACTAAGATTCATTGTGCTTTGGTCCTGTTTTTGGAGTAAAGCTGTACGTCCTTGTTTATCCATACCCGTTTATCGATTCATAATTTTGAAACTGACTTACCAGTCCTTTTATTGGTGATGATGTTCCTC